TGCGCTGTAGTGCGTATTCATCGAAGTCGGACATGCCAACACCCTCCCCTGTAGAGGGGCAATATGGTCCCCGCGACGATGTAGACAGTATGCGAACCAGAAGTTTTTTTGTCATTCATTATAATTTTTCGTATACTTTCGTTAAGAGGTAAGTAATACTGTATTTATATTGTAATACTTTGATACAATTCATTTTGGATGCTTGTGTATTGTAGAATTAATGTCAGAGTAGGTTTTTATGTTCTATAATATGTTCTCCATAATTTTGAGGTAAAAAAATAAAATGATCAAGTTCGATAATCCCGCACCGATTCTGCCAATAATTTTATATGTGATTAATTTAACTTGAATTCTAGTTATAAAAAAAGATTTAAGTTTTGTTGTCAAAAATTATAACTTTTGTTAATGCTGAGTGTGTGATGAGTCTATTTACACACTGAATTATTATTAATACTATTTCCCACAAGAAAGAAATACTTAGAATTGTATTTTTTTATGATTACTTTTGAGTGCAATTAATGTTGGCACGATATTATCCAACCAGTTTTACAATACCGCGCCTATTTTTGTAAATTGACGATAATTTTTTTGGTTTGAATTTTTGAAGTTCTTGTTATAAGGTATTCGTACCTGAATAAATGTTCTAATAATTACTTTTTTTTTCTTTTAATATCAAACAGTTTCCTAATTATAGGTGAAATTCCTTAGGGGCTCGCTATTATCCAACTCTCCCCTAACAAAATTTTTACATTTGTACAAATTTATTTTCCCCTAAGTTTATTGGGCATTTTTATTTTCCTCCTTTTTGAAAATCATGCTTTTTTTTAGGCTACTCTGCCTGTAGTAGTCTTGTATATAAATAATAAAACATTAATTTATTCATACCTGTAGTTGCGTCGACGGCATTATAAAATATGGGTTGATAATGCTCAGATATGTGTAAGTTAAGGGCGACAAGTGTTTTAATGAGACATGATTTTTCATAAAAATATAATTATGTCAATTAATCTCTTCAAGATAAGAAATAAGGCCGCAATTAAATCTTCAAGTTTTTCATATAAACTTCGTGTAGATAATATTCACTCAGGGTAGTAGCCTAAGTATAAATATTATTTATTCGGCGATAAAAAAATCAAATTTTTATATTAACAATTAAGATTTATAAATGCGTAATAGCAATGAGGTCGAGGCTAGTTGGTTTTAGCGGGTAAAATACCTTATCGGGTTTCATTGATGTGTAATGTGAATTAACTAACCAACGGCTATTCTAAAGTTTACAGTTACCTTAGATTACCTAATAAAAAAGAAATCGTATTACAAAATATTTTACTTTTCCAGCCATTAGAGAGTTAGCAATAGCAGGTTGTGCTCGGATGGATTTACACCCACTCACCCAGAATAGAGGTCCAGGACTCGGGGACCATGACTTCCGTGGTGGTTCTGAGTACCCCCTCGTTACTCTTAGTCTAGCCGCAAACACGCACTAACTACCTACGAGAGGTATAGCTACAAATAATCAATCAATAAAAGTCTGTTGTTTCTGGTTTGAGTCCGTTTGGTGTGCATTTATTCAAAACTGACGTTAAATAAACAGATACCCCGCTTACACTTCCATTGAAAGGCACACCAAAATCACCTCCGGTCTTTTCATGTCCTGCATGGGAATTGCCGTTTAGCTCTTAACCTTCTTAGCGAAAAGGCTGGACTAATTTTAATAAAATTTCCATGGGGAGACATTTTTAGGGGAGATAAAATAAAATACACATTCAAAATGTCTTACGTTAGATTTATTGCTGACACTAACAGTCCAGTCCAGTGACCCCGCTGAACTGCAATTTGGTGTACGACCCACGTTACAAAATATAAACTAATCGTATTTACACATTAACTTATAATAAATAACCAATTTCTTCTATTAACCAAGTCGCGCTCCGCGAACGATCGATAAGGATGCATTACACATTTTTAAATAAACCAAAAGAAATTGTTTTAAGTAAGAACAACGTACTTCAAAAATAGCGGTCTTTAAAAGTAATCATGGGTGGAGAACACAGAACTCCTCTTGTCCTGTGCATTTTAAAGTAGAAGACCAATCAACTAGAAGTGAAATAGAATGTTCTAGAATTCTAGAATCAATTACAATCCTTAAAGATCCAACATCGAAAGCCGAACGGAGCACAAATAAGTCTAATTTACTAAAAAAAAACATCAAAACGCGAACCGTTTGTTTTGAAATACGAGATCATTGTTACAAATGTATTATATTATATGCAAATAAATATAATACGACGCATTATATGAACACAGCTGGTGTGATTACATCGCAAAACACCCAATGAACACTTCGACCATACTTGGGCTTAAAAGCACTCGGTACAACGCCTTTAGGCAAGAGGTGGCAAGTTTTGGCTAGAAACACGTTAGTCTTCAGCGAACTTTGTCGTTCGGTACGCCACCAGTTCAGGCTGCAAACGGACAAAGAACTGAAGAAAAATCATTAATTTTGTGATACTATCAAAATGGTAATGTATCAATAGCCACCCTTTCGATAATTATTATTACTTAAGCAAATAGATTTCTGACAAAAAGGCAATATTATTTTTTAGGTACATCTTTGCCTAAGAGGTTTCCTTGTTATCGCTCTTGAAAAGCACGATAACTATTATTCGCCGATTGTTACTATATAGAACTCTCTAGCGCAAGTATAGTCCAAGTCAAAAATAATTCTGTCAAATATATAAGTGAGAAGGGAAAACAATCGTTCGTCCATACTCGGGTCAGGTTAAAGGTGATCGCACATTTGGACGCACCGTTTTTCTTAATAGCCTCGCAATTTCGCGTAATGAGATGAGCTGTGTAAAGTGCGCAGTTAAATGTTCAACATACTTGCAAGTGCGGTTCGTGCTGCGTTGCTAACAAATGTGCAATCACCTTAACCCAACATAAATAGCGTATTATAGATTACATACGGTCAAAGCGAAGTCGATGTGCACGGTATTTAACACAAAGGTGTTCGCAATATAAAATAAACGTGTCAGGTGCGAGTTTAATACGAAATCGAAAAATATTATAGTAAAAAATTATTCTAAGTCAATAAGAGGACGCATCACACGGGGTGCACTTAGTGGCCTTAGTAATTCATTTATCTTCAATATATAAACCAGCAACACAAAAGAGAACATCCGAAAAACTGCACGTTTCATTTCATAGCGATAGATATTTGTGGACCAAACAGCACACCCTGCGCGACACCTCCCTAAAACTATAATCTACAATTAAATAAATAAATCTAGTTAATACAAGAATATTGTAATTATTTTGAGACGTAAATAGTTAAATTTACAAATATCGAAACAATATTTTACATTCGAATAGTAAAATGGAAACAGTGTAGAAATAAAACAAATTCTATATTGTCTATAAAAAAACAAATAATTAAAACTGATAATTGTAACATATTTTTTTGTATTCCTTCCATTCTAAACGTAGTGTTGTGACAAGTTAAAATAACAGGAAAACGTCGAAATTTTGTCATAAAAACCCAACTATAATTTACGTGTTTTTTTTTCAATTATTCACTTCTTCCCAGTGTGACTTGTAAATAATATTTATAGAATTTCAACTACACGAGTAGTTGTATGTTAAAAAAATACAATTTGTAAAAAAAAAGTTATAATTCATCAATGAAACAGATCGAAAGCAACTTTGTCAAAATATGATACAGTGAGAATTATGTAAAAACAATTAAAATAGTCGTATAATTAATACTAATATATTACAGAGTCGAATTAAAGCTAAGGATTTAAACATAAGCGGGGTACCTTTACCGAAATGCCCATATTAGTAATTTGCCTAGAATTATTATACAATTTTAGCAGACTTTGAGAGCTTATCTTATGACGCTTTTGAAAATACTTTTCAATGTGGAATATATTCATATACCTATCAGGTATTTGGGGAAACGGGGATATTACTAAAAAATAAATAAATTATATTTTTCGTACGTCAACGTACTTGTACCATAGCAAACATGGAAAAGGCCATAAAAATAAACACAGATAATCATAAGATAAAACTACCCTCAAAATACCACGCACGACAGATTGAATAACACATGAGATGGCACGTATCTATTATATCGGAAGTATTCGGTTTAATCACGTCGTATATACTAAGTTTTATTTACAGAAACCGGAAATCGAATTAACATTACTGAGGTAATTTCCTACGTCGAAAGTATCAAAAAATCGTGTCGTGCTATACCGAAAACCGCGTTCATTTACACACTTGGTCCTGTATTTACAAGATAAATTAACTAAATATTTACATAGCGACAAATCTGTGTTGCCAGACACTGCACGGATATGTATCAATGTTATTCAGAGTGTGAGCCTTCGAGCCAAGAAATAGCGCAAACAAACAGGCGTGATACTTCGTCGACTGTATTGAGCATTTAATTAAAAATTGCGAGTGTATACTGATGTCTCTTGTTTGTGATTTAAAGTTCATTTGGGGTTTGCAATCTGTATCCTGTTAAGACGTTCGTCCTCTGACGGCTCTTAAGACCCACCACGATGCTCCAGTGCGGGTTGGTGGCCGTTAACGAATTAAATATGTGATGGCAGTAAACACAATTCCTAGTAACATTGACTATCTTTACAGATAATACGTGGTCGCATTCGTGTCTCGATCAGTCGGTGGCCTTTCATTATTAAATAAAAATCACTTTTCGGGCTTTGCAAGAGATTTAAATAAAAAGACTCAACACTTCAAAACGTGTAGTGTTCTAGCTAACTTATTTTATTTTATTCGACTGCAACCAGACGATTCGGATGCCAGATAAATTTAAAATAAATTAACTAATTCATTTCACGTTTTGAACCGTTAGTGTTTTTTTTACGTGTGTACTACTCGCGTAAACTACAGAATTTACATTCTTTATTCAAGATACAAATTGCACGCCCGGCAACATTTCACTATCAAATTTGCATTCCACAATACTAAGCCTCCGTCGCAATGGGCTCGCGCGCGTGATGTATCTTCACGTGCTTATTGTGATTCGACTTATTGCTAGATGTCTTGCCGCAAGTGTTGCACGCGAACGGCCGCGCGCCGCTGTGCACGCGCATATGCTCCGACAGATAGTAGCTCCTGTGAAACGATTTCCCGCACTCGGGCACTTTGCACACGTACTTTTTCGTCGTCTCGTGCTCGCGCACGTGCCGCTGGCAATTGTACTTCCTGATGAACTGGCAGCCGCAGTATTTGCAGGTGTAGGGCCGGACCGATTTGTGCGCATTCATGTGCGCCGTGTACTCGGTCTGGCGGAAGAAGGCGCCGTTGCAGAGGTTGCACTTGAACGGCTTCGCCGATCGGCTGGTGTGCGTCCAGCGGTGAAGCTTTAGGTTCCACTTGGTGGTGAACGACTTGTTGCATATGACGCACGAGTGGGGCCGCTTGCCGCTGTGCGTTAGGAGGTGCGCGCGCAGGTTCGTGCGTAGGTAGACCTGGAATTAAGGGTTACTGGTTTAGATGGCATTGAACGGAATATATGTTGAGATATGTAGAAAGATGTATCAGGTTACTAACAGATTGGTTAAGGGATAAAAAGTAATAGAGATACACAAAATATCTAAACTACAGATGAGAAGATGACTTGCGGAAAATAGCTGGCCCAGTACAAAGTTGATAAGCAAATATCAGGAAACCTACAAGACTTTGACAGACAAGCTGTTCAAGAAAGGCAATCACTTTAAAATAAATTAAAATTAGAATACGCATTTAGTAGAACGCGTATAAAAAAGATATTGTAAGAAAAGGAGCAGCAATATAGGGTATGTATAGTGTATATTTTATTACTGATTTACGAACACGTTTGATAGAGTACTAATTGGTTCCATGAGAGAATTTACTGGACAATTTCCTAATATTTATTCTACAATGATAGTGAACCCGTTTTGTGTAGATCCTTTATTCATCTAGGTTTAGATCACACTGTCTCTCGTTAACGCTAACTGGACGATCTCGTTAACTGGACGATAAAACTAAGACAAAAATATCAATGCCAAAATAAGCTATAGATACGACTGTACGTGCGAAATATATTAGTTATCATTTAACTATAGCCTGACGGTTCGCTGCAAAGCATCCGACACGTCAGGCCAGAGTTGAACTAAATAAGTTTATTAATATACTTGCATTTTAAACCGTTAAAAGTATTTTATATATGTAATATTGTTTACGCGAGTAATACATGCTTTTCTATAGTGTTTTTAGAACGACTTCAAGTGTTACCTGTTTACAGACTGGACAAGTGACATTCTTATCGCTGCCCTTCATCTTGTCCGACAGATAGTACTCGTTGTGCGATCGGCGAATGTGCCTGGTGAGCGACGCCGCGTGCACAAACTTATCTCCGCAGTAGGGGCACGCTTTAGGCCGGTCTTCGTGCGTCTCCTGGTGCCAGAGGAGCTTCGCGCGCGAGTGGAAGATCGAGCCGCAGTGGCAAATGTAATCGCGCACTTTGGCCTTCTTTTTGAAGTGATGGCGGTCTCTGGAAACACAATTGTATATATTACATGAAGGTCAGGAGCGATGAGAATGATTTTAATTTTTATACAGCCGATGTAGTTTAACCCCAACCGAGCGAACCCCGAAGTTATTTGAAGTAACCTTTATACAAATGAAAATAATTTTGTTTTTATTGAAGTACCAGTAAAAGCTTAATACATTATTATGATATCTTTTGGCCTATAATAGTAATGGAGAGTAGGCATTCCCCATTTCAAGGTGTTCAGGACTATAGACAGGTCTAAAAGCTTAAATTTACTGCTAAAAACTAAAGAAGAAACTTAGAGGAAGAATAATACTAAAACAGGACCTTGACTTACAGGAAGAAAGTCCATGGTTACCATATATTTTTGTGTTCAATTTTTTTTATACCTGTGCTGCACCATGTTGGAATGTCTCCGAAAGGTCTCATCACAGAGGGTGCACTTAATTGGAGATAGCCCAGTATGGATGTTGCGGTGTTCACTCAATTTCTGTCGAGTTATAAACCGCTTTGGACAAACTTCACATCTGCAAATTAAATTAAGTATATTAAAGGAGAGCATTCCTTTCACACATTTTTAGAACATTCTGTATGTACAGAATGTTTCACTGGTACATGTTGAGTTAGGATGTGTTTGTAAGGCACTGCAAAAATTATTTCTCTATATAAAAAAAGCAAATGTCGGTCTATCAAAGTTTCACCAAGATTGATTATACTTCAACAAGAACAGTTTGATTATATAACAGCATCGTCAAACAGACATACAGCACTCACTTATAATTCTTTATCCCAAGATGAGTCTTCATGTGAAGGACCAGGTTCGCCCGTCTATAAAAGAACTTTCCACACGTGTAACATTCCAACGGATGAATCTTAAGGTGATTGTTGAACTGTTCAAAGTTCACCTGATCTACGTTACACGTAAAGCACATGAAATTGTTTCGCTTCTTCTTTTGTTTTATTAAGATCAGTTCTGGCTTAGCTTCGGACAGGGGGTCGAAGTCTTGTAATAGTGATGTTGTTATGCGTTCCTTCGACTCGAACATAAGGCTCCCTGAAACTGTACATTGAGATAAACCTTCTGAGGTAGATATAAATTATGTAGAGATTGTATATGTATGTTTTGTAAATTATGCCAAAAACATGAGGTTAAAAGAATTTATCCATAATCTAAAATAAAAAACGTTGTGTGTTTAAGTTTTGAGATATGTTATTTTATGATTTGTCATGTTTTGTTGTACATAGAAACATTCACAAAGCTTATTACCTAGTTTTTTTTTTATACATCCTTGGGAAAAGTGGACAAACTTTAGCGGACTTATGACGGACAAGAAGTTTTTTATTACATTTTGTTTTTATCTGTGTCCCATGTTTATGTTCTTTCTTTGCAATTTTCATATCTTATATGAAGTGTAAAAAAATTTGGATATAAAATAAAAATACCTACCTGACAGAGAGGGTTCATCTGGTTTCTCTTCCTTCTTAATGCATCTCGCCATCCGACTGTGTGAGTATGAAGCATTGCAGTGGGACCTCAACTCTTTTAAGGTAGGGAATTTGAGCCCACACTGAGTGCATGTGTGTAGACGAACCTTCGAGAATGACTCTTCTTCCCTATAAAGTTTATATCTATATATATATTTTTAAACTGTACTTGTCGAATTAGTTACTCTATTTTTTAATAACGATGGCCGGATTGCTCGAAATCCCAAGTATTTTTTCATAATGGCCCGAAAATTATACAATTTATAGAGTGTTTGATATCGACAACTTTCAACTAATGCGTCGGTCTGTCGAGTCGAGTGTATAAAAATCATTTATTATTAAAAGGATAATTTTCAAGGGAAACCATTTTCATTAATAATATACTTACAAATTTTCCGTCTTTTCATTAGCATCCACGTCCGAGCAATCAGATACCCAGCTCTCACGCGCTATCAAATCGTAGGGCTCCGCCGGCGTCACCTCGGGGTACATCTGAAACGTTGTATTTAAACAATTACAACTTGTCATCAACTAAGAATTAACGACTCACAGTTGTATTAAAGATACTTTAACAGAAATACAATTTTAAATAAAGAGCTATTTCTGAGTGCTTGTCTTACAAGCAATTTAGCTCCAAATAAATACTTCTCAGCAACACTTAAATTATCAGTTGCCACCCAATGGAGGAGCTAAAGAAGAACCTACGTTGGAAGTCGTATCCTTATACGACTGCCTTAAATTGTCATCATATGCAAAGTCACAAACAATCTACTAACAACTGATCAGGTGGCCTTCAACGGTGTCCCCAATAAAAATAATATAATAATCGTTGACATGATAATCTGGGATTACCCTTGGGAAACATAATAATTTCGGTAATGCAGTTTTGCTAATTGTCCTGTAAATAAACTTGATCTGCAAAAACAAATACAGAAATATTTCTGCCAAAATTAGGTTAGCGGAATCATACATTTAAAAAGTGATAACAATCTTACCCCACTCCACGACGACTCCATATCCCCGTTACTCTCTTGTCCGCTCAACTCCCCCCTGGGCGGCATCCGTTCATCGGCGCAGATATTCAAAGGCGGCTCATCTCCCCGACTTTCTTGCAAAACATCAGCCTTGCTATCCCTGTCACCTTGCCCCGGCACATTCTGATTATCCGACATATCATAGTCCATATTGCTCTCAGCGATCTTATAACTCTCGTGGATAAAAGTCGGCAACACAAACTCATTCTCCTTCTGCGACGGCTCCCCCCAAATATGATACATATCTCTCTCCTGGTTCTGTTCCCTCTCTGCCCCGAAACTTTCCACCCTGTCCGGTGTGAAGTAGTCCGCGTAAATATTGTCCCCGAAGTAATTCTCGTTGATCATGTTCACGAACTGTTTGTTCTTCGACGTCGTCTCCAGGTCTAGCAATTCGCGGTGATTCGAGTCGTCGTCAAAGTCAGCGGCACCCATGTTACCGTAGGTGATAACGTTTATCGGTCGCAAGATCTCCAGCGAGGCCAGGTCTCGCCCAGACCTATCCGCTTCGTTGCTGAACTCATTGCTCGAATTGATTTCCTCTTTAATCACCATGTCTATAGCTGAATACGCCTTCGAATGACTAATGGTCGACGGCGCCGTGGGCTCCAAGTCCATAGATTGTTCCTCGATGTCGGCGTCAAACTCGGAATCCTTGTTCTCTATTTCTCTCTTCTCAACGGTCAATTCGGTCTTACATTCCTTCTCGATATTTACTTCAAAATACTCCGATCTACTGGTGGATGAGGATGGCTGCGATTCAACATCAGTTTGAAGCGGTTTAAGATTTTTAATTTTTAATATTCTCTTATTTTTCTTCACGAAAATATTGTTTAATCTCAGCGGATGGTTCTTTGGTTTGGACGGTTTAGGTGCATTTGTTGCGGTGAGATCCGAATCATTGTGATCATTTGGAGGCTCTGTAACTGCCTGCGTGGCTGGTGAAACGTCTTCATTTTTAGAAGATAAACTGTCTGATGCTTTCGAAGTAGTCTGTCCAGCTTTAGAAGGGACCTCACTGTTAGCTGAGGGTTTTCTTTTATTCCTCTTATCTTCATCAGTTAGTGATTCTGTTTTATGACTTAATCCTGGCTCTTCCATTTGATCATGTTTAGTCACCGGTGTACACCGATCCATTGAATTTTCCAATAAATCACTACATGGTGATATGGACGGTTTCTCATTACAAATGAGGTCCGGAACAGGACAACTGTCTGAAAATTCAGTCTCTGCCCTCAGACTATTTTGCTTTGATGAATAATCTTTACATAACTGTGGATTTCCCACATTCTTTATTACGGAGAAACTATTTGGTATCATATTTTCATTATAACTACTCAAAGCCTGAACGCAGTTCTCTTCCAATGGCTGGCTCTCTTTTAAGTCTGGCAGGATTCTTTCTGGAGAATTTGCTCTTTGAATGTATCCAGAATCACCAGGACCAGTAAGATCCATGATTGTGTTGATCATGTTCTTATGATGCTGAACAGGCACTTCCACCTTAATGTTGCTAAGGATCTTTAGCCCTTTACAAGGCCCAGGTGTGGAGTCCTTCAATTCCCTGGCCTCTGATTCACTATGTCTTTGTGAAGAGTTATTTTCTACAGGCAATTGTGTATGTGCCATCCTTACTTCTTCAACTTCATGCATATCCATCATGGGACTAACCTCCATAATCAATGTTTTATTTACTTCATTTACAATGTTAGGTATAGATTTATCTATAGATGTTGGTATATGTGGCAAGTTATTACTAAATATAGGTGGATTGCAAGTCTTAGTTATTATAGGCTGAGGAGTGTTATACATACATGGACTACTACAAAACGGGTCAACAACCATAACATTCTGATACACTGAACTACTTTGAGCCATGTTTTCATGTGCACTCAGCACATGAGGAATATTTGAAATGTATGGTTTACCGTCGATGTTGTGTACCATCTCACGATAAATGATCTGAGAGTTTTGGGTGACAACTGTTGTACCAGTGGCTACATTCTCTGGATTTATTTGAGGGAATTGATTTGCCATTGGAGTCACAGTAGGCCCAGAAACTGGGACATTTCCAGTCATCATCAAATTAGTCTGAATATTTTTCTGTACATATGTTGGTGAAGTAGACATCAATACCGGATACGGTTTCACTCCAGAAGTTATATAGCCCAATCTACTCTCATTCTTTATGATCATGTTTGGTTTAGGAAGAATTTTAACAAAGTTTTGCTTTTTAACAGTCTGTTGAGTGGGCAATACAGTTGGCATTTTTAAATTTGAACTCAAGACTGGAACATTATAGGCAAATAGATGGTTTGTATTACCTGTGCTGTAATCGGAGCTTCGAGAATATTTGATTTCGGGATCATCCTGAGTCTCATTGTAGATAGGATATTGCTGGCTAGCACTTTGTTGCATTGTTGGGAGATTTGGAGTGTAAGATTGTCCAACTTTAGTAGTTTTGACAGAACAATCAGAAAAATCTGAGAATTGATTTCCCACATTATTCTCAAAATTCGCAGAGTTATTCCTTATGTCTGGTGTGCAATTCCTTGAGTTTGATGATGATGAGGATTTATTTCTACTTGGTGTTCTTCTCCAGTAACTACTTTCAGCACTGCGTCTGGAAGCTGACCATCTGACACTATCATCCGTCACAGGTGTTCTACTTCTGTACGACCTTTCAGAAATTGATGGAGTCGGTGTTCTACTCCTGCTGTCATTCCCTTTGACAGACAAGCTGCATAAGGCTTTAATAACTTGGTCTTTAGGGTGGGTGTCCAAGTGAGTCTCAAGAGACATCCCATTGTGGAGGTACAGCGTACATACGGGACACTGCACTCGTTGATCCATCTTAGATTCCAATATCGTAAATATTTGTAAAAGTCACGCACAGGGCACCCCTGGCGGTACGTGATGTGCTATTTAGTCCAAAACGCACACGGACAGCACCGCTGCGCGAGGTGCCTGTCACGTATATTTTTACAGTAAACACACAAGGCGAACTGCCCACAACACATATCTTCGTTTCAACTCTTAATTATCTGTTGAAAAAAAATCTACATAAGCAATCAATTCGAAACGTCACCTAACATGTGAGCGACCTAAAAACTTGTTACGCTCACATTGAAAGGACAAAAGAATACAAAAATGTGAGATAAAGGCCATTGAAACATAAAAAATCGAAAGCAAGAAATTAAGCAATAACTGTATTTTATGTGACTACGAACATAATAACTACTTACCGTATCACAATATTAGTCAAGTATTTTCCATTACACATATATTAACAACAATTATCTTCCATTTATTTACAGCTACACCTATTCTAAAAATATTTCCAAATAGTCCGACATATTGCAATATTTTACTATTCGACGTCTCGAATCTCGATCAAAATCAAATGATCTAAAGACAATAACCTCTACTCCACAGAGTATACAATTTGTGGTTGGGCTTAATACAGTTAAGATTTTGTCTTATAGTAGCCGTATAATTAACATCTGTGGTTTTTTATTCTTAATAATGTAAGTCTATGATGTATATTGTATAGTATATACCCACCATCCAATACTGTGTCCAATACCTCAATGCTTAAGCAAATGTCTAATTATTTGTAATTATACTATAAAAAAAAATATTTTACTTTGTAACATTAACATATTGTTCAATAATCTATTAAATTTTTACTAAATATTTTAAGATGTCTGATAACGACTATTCTCTTGCTTCAATAGGAGATTTAAGTGAAGATGGTAAATAATATACTTTAACAATAACTTATTAATTTATTTCATTTTGTAAGAACCTTTCTCGTCTTAAAAGTCATATGTTAAATATATAGATATAAAATAAGTTTGTAGAGATACCTGCTTACACGGCAATAGAAATGTGATGCAGACAAAAATAAAATTATTGAGTTTGAATAAAACATTATATTATGTTTATATTATAATCACTTAAAACTGCTACTCCTACTGTTTTTAAAAAATTACAGAGATTTTCGACTTGCTCAGAAAGTGGAGGGAAAGTAATGAAAGGAAAAGTAGAGAAATAAACAAAATATGGACTTGTAGACCTGATGTTGTAATTGAAAACAGACCTAATGAAAGTAAGTAAAATACCAAATTATTGTAAAACAGATTTGAAACGACTGTAATAGTGGTATAATGAATAAATTATATTGAGTCTTAAAACTGAACAATCAGGATTCAATAAAACCTCACAATTTTTGTAAATACAATATTATTTTATGGTGTATAACATGGTTGAAGAGATGCAGTATTTCATATTTTGTCCTAGTGTTTTAATTTAAAGTATATGTTTTAGAGTATTTAATTTATGAGCAAATAATTCTTGCCACACTTGATTGCAATAATTCCCTCGGAGCTATTATGGTGATTAACACTCTGGACAAACAATTTCCCAGAAGCTTAAGAGTAATGAGATATAAAGCAATGGTTTTAGAAAGTGATGGACGGTAAGTTATTGATATTACTTATATTTAATGTTATTTTACCCTATGAAAAATAGTTTGTCTTTAGTGCGCAGAACCTTTTTAAAATTCTAGTAGTTAAGTACTAAGCTTAATATAAATAGACTTTAGGAATAATGGTTGGTTAAGATTTTAAAAAAAGTTTGCAGAAAAGAACATTCTTTAGTGTTTAATAAAATTAGACTGGTACTAACTGTTATTGTGGAGATATATGTAGATAACTAATATAATCTAGATATAACAAAAAAAACTGTGTAATATTAAAAAAAGAATTACAGTTAACTAAGAAAGCTTTTTCTACAGTACAGTGGGTAGTGTAAAAAAAACAGGTTCTTCAGCTCCAAATAAATTTAAACTGCCCTCTATATTTCTAGGTATGAAGATGCACTACAAGTGCTGGATGAGATAATAAAAGTGGATGAGACAAATGCACCAGCAAGGAAACGTCGAGTAGCAGTGATGAAGGCACAAGGCCTTATAGGTGATGCCATCAAAGAACTGGTTGACTACCTAAAAAAGTATGTATTTCCTGTAATTGTTACCCACGACACGTCTACATGGAATAGCTTTTTTGGTGTTCTTATTTATTAAATTAATGATCATATTTATATTTGCTCATTTAAATAAAAACTATAGGTTTAATGCTTTGCAAGCAGCCGCTCAAACTTCAATCGGGCCGAGGTTAAAAGAATATAGCTCAAAGTTACCCATATATCTGTTTTAAAAGTTAAAATGTTCTATTTAAACATTTATTTTTGCGAGACAGACATCACACTTTATGGATATAGCTGTTACCCACAATTTTTTTAGATAATCTAAAGAATAATTTTTTTAATTTTTTTTTTTTTGCTTCTACAATGAGAAATATTTCCACCTTTTCTTCACTTGTATCAGTTATAAATAGAATTTGGTCAAGGCCTAAGCCTTCCTTCTATCCAACACAAAAACTTTATTTAAATCGAACCCCTAGTTCCTGAGATTAAACAACACAAACTATTTAATATTATATATTTATTAATATAAACTTTATAATATTACTATAGATTAAAGTTGACAAGTATGGTTAGTGCTGATTTTTTAAATGTCATCTTTTCAGGTACAGTGCCGATATGGAGGCCTGGCAGGAGCTTAGTGAGCTGTATCTGCAAATAGGGGAGTACTCGCGTGCGGTGTATTGTGTTGAGGAACTGCTGCTCCATCAACCCCATAGCCATCTCTTACATCAGCGAGTGGCCGACATTCGCTACACTATGGTAGGCCAGCAATACTTGAACCAATTTTTGCTTACCTTTATTTAGAATTATTTCTTAAATCTTCCTCATATCACATTTTATTCTTGTTTTAAAGCCGTACAAATTTAAATAAAACACTCTTAACGGATTAAAACGCGAAACATAACCATTAGGTATTCTATTTTAAGTAAGTTTGAGTGTAGCTTTTAGATATTCTGCAGTAGACGTGATGAGGAGAGGACCACAGTGATTAACTAATATGGTAAACGTTTAAAACCGTCGAAAGTGTTTTATTTAATGAAATCCTTGATCCCTTTTGTACTATATTCATTAAAATTGCTTTTATTTAACTATACCTACTAGCTCTAGTGCAAGTGAGCCACCGGCTTTTCTCTGGCACTTTGATTTGTCGCGTTTTTCGTCAGTGTATAGTGTATAGCACGGACGACCTATTATTATTTTCTTGCGGGGACACCGACAGAAGGCCGGGTGGTAAGTCCACATCGCCTGTGGACCATGCCGCCCATATCTGTCGTTGGCCATAAATTCATTTTTTTATCAGCAATGTCAAAATTTGTTTTATTCATTTAATTAGTCTTATTTCTCCAAACCTAGGGTGGCGTTGAAAATCTTGAATTGGCCAAATCCTATTACTGCCAAGCCTTGAAGTTGAATGCGAATAACATGAGAGCTCTTTTGGGATTAATATTGGTAAGTTCATTTTATTTTATTAGTGTCATATATAATCTAAGTCGAGAATCTAGGAACCTAGTCTGAGAAGAAAGAAATTTTAAATCTTAACGCATTGAAACAAAAGGCCTCAGATTTTAATATGGTTCTGTCCTCTTGGTGTTTGTGGAAAATTGCATTGGAAGTTCTTACATTTTTCGTCGGTAGTTCTTACATTTTTCGCTGGTAGTTCTAACATTTTTTATTGCTTTAGCAACTAATAATTTAACATTAGTCTCAAAAAAAAGAACTCATAATAAAATATGAACTATTTTTAAACAAAGTTTCGGAAGGAAAGTAAGATGTTTTCGCAAAGGTTTGCTGACAGTAAAAATTCTTTCTCTGCAACTCTTTCTACATCATCCGTGCTCAGTTTATGATACTAACAATTTTATTAACAGTGTCTTTGAAAATGTAACAGGTAACCAACAATCTACTTGGGCACTATAAGCCAACTGGCTGCTCGAAACGCAAGGAAGCATGGAAGTTAAGTCGATGGGCCCAGTCCGAGGTCACGAAGAAGCAGAGGGAGATGCGAGGGGCCGACGATAATGCGCTTACCAATATGATGCTATCTTTGTCTATAAGTGAATAATGCACATTCTATATAGATCAATTTAAACGCCTTTCGGGCCTTTGGGTTATTTATTAAATAAATAGTTATTAACTTTAAAAAGCAAAGAAATGCAAGTGTTTTAAGTTTCTTGATATCTATAAGTCAATAAGAAACAGATAGTTAACGCCCATTCATTGTCCTTGTTTATATTGGGTTGTGGGAAAGAGACAACACATATTGTAAATTCAGCCACCTTGATGGAGAAGTTATCGTTAGAGTTATCCCAGTAGGAACCCAAAGTACCAAATTACAAAAGTAAAAGCCAACCACCAAAGTAAAAGGTATTGTGTTTACTACAAATTCTCGATTACACCACATCTATTTGGTGGGGGTACGGTGTATTAATATTGATATGTGTTCGTTGGCTTGATATATTTCTTGTGAAAAAGGTTCTTATTATTAAGTTTATATATTTATCGGATACAGGTAATCTAATATACTGAATAAACAAACATCTAAACTTATTTATATACTCGTATTCATTGTCCGTATTAGGATCAATTTAGCAAGCATGATAAGACAACAGTAGGTTCAGTGATTGTGATGTGATCACTGTGAACTCTATGTAGATACATTAAGTAGAAGATATTTTTTCAAATACTTTACTGAAATACCGACCAAGTGCGACTCCCACTTGTGTACGATAAATTCCAAACCCACACATTTCATATTGATATCGAACAAATAATTTGCATTTCTTGTTTATCAGCCCCTTAAAATATATGTATATTTTTTCTTCGGCATTCAATACAACTTCCACTCTTTCAGTACTGAAACTAACACCCTAAATAATAACATTACAATAGGGAAAGTATAAAACACCATAATATCAATATAGTTTATTATTTACTTCTATCCTGCTTTGCTTTTATATAAATAGCACTATTAGCGAGTTCCTCTGCTCGCCTCTCCTTCTTTTCTCGCCTGGATATCTCTCCTATAGCAAAGTATCTGTCCCTGAAAATTGATTTTAAACCTAAGTACAGGTCTCCATAGCCCAGTGGTCAAACGTTTTTATGATTGGTTTATGGACAAAAGGCCTGTGTTCTAATCCACCGAAAACAAGTTATTTTAAAGAAAAATAAAAACTTATAAGTTACTGTTGTAATTAGTTATAAGAATTAGGTTTACTTCTGTTGTTGAGTTTAAATCTGCCAGATCCAAATATGATCAGAGGAGTCGAAACGGACATATAAACGTGCCCTCCATGTTAGTCCAAGATGGAGATACGCACTTTGTTTAGTTTGGAACAGGACAACAACAATTCTATATTATTAATTGGTTATGAACAGGTATTCTATAATCATTTTTATCAATACCTGAAATTATGTACAGTGGCGCGCGTATCGTGTGGCGTTTCGGGTATGTCGTCACTAATTTTCTGATAAGTGAGTAATCTGCGCGCTGTAAGTTTGGACAGCACCTGCTCCGAGTTGCTTACCAGCTTCATACATGGATGTGTAGGAATCTGTTCCTCTAGATATTCATCTCTAAAAAAATCAACATATTTATTATCCTACAGCAATAAAAAGTGTAAACTCTATATAGCGACACTAAGGGACTGTGCATTTTATGGCGTTATACAGAGTTGTTGTTAAATGGAGAGAAGAAACATTGTATGAAAAACAAGCTAAACCAACCAAAGCCAATTAATTTCGACGCTTAAGAGAGTTTGTCGTTAAATAGAGTGACGTTACATGGAGTTTACACTGTATCTGAAATTAATTAGTATTAATCATAAAAGATAATAATATTCCTTTTTTTACAAAGATAATAATATTACACGCACTTCATTGATTGATATAAAAAAATGCTTTCAATTTAAGGCGATTTTGTAGTGATAAACAACTATGAATAATATAAGTCTATATTAATACCTTTATACAGTTTAATACTAGTACAAAAAAGAAAGAATGTTAAACATGTAGTTTTCATATGTAAAAAATATTTTATATTATATAGGGTATAAAAAAATATTTTTACTCTTACCTTACAACAGGGTACCAACACACCAACCGTCTCCCCATATTAAGATGTCTAGCAGCAAAATTTAACAAGTCACTGTATATATGTGGTAATCCATACTCCACTTTGGACGGTATATGGTTGTCTAAATGGTGTTCTGATAAAGTATAGTTGTCTCTTTCTATGCCTATCTTCTCTGTAGGTTCTCTCACACCATATGGAGCTGAAAAAGATAGTTACAATTTTAAGGTCACTCGATTTGGCAGCCAGATAACTTTATATATATTCATATAACTTTCCATAACTCCCTCGAGGATTAACATTTCTCATCTATTAAGATGAGGCAATTAAATGTTTTTATTACTTACGATCTGTTATTATAGCATCAAATTTCAAACTTTCCTTCCACATTGGTAGTGAAAAATCACTCACAAGAACATCTAGGTATTTTGATTCTATTCCATATTGTTTTAAATTGCCTCTTATACTTTCCTCCTTCTTTCGCACCTGAAAGAGATCAAATATATATTTTATTACTTAAAAACATTTTTAAAAGGTTTGAGTTTATAAACTTTTATACGCCTATCAAATTATTTTGGTGTTGGCCATAGAAATCTATAGACTAAACTGAAATGCCTTTACGTCTTACCTATCTGATACTACCACAAATTTTATGTTTTACCATCTTCAAAACCAAATCAAAGACAGCAGACTATACTGTTAGTAATTTAATGTCATATAGAAAATATCAAAACCTCTAATTGTATGAAATACATACATTGTTACCTTTTGTCCCACCCTAGTAGGGCGTGTTCTAGCATGTAACATCATATAGTCTATATCTGATCCCCAAATGTAGCCTGAAAGAGGAGCATTTTCTTTATATAGTTACGTAAAATCCTGTTTCCCCTTCTGGGGCATGAGAAAAATTAGACAATGATGAAAATTGGCTTTTTATATTATATTAACATGTTACCTCCAAAATGAGCAGCTGCCACTAGTAAGGAACCTGATCCAACAAAGGGGTCTAAAACTATATCACCAGATGCAATCTGTGCCTGATTAGCCATTATGACTGAAAGCTGAGCATCCATGCTTGTGTTACCAATGAATTGTCGTTTTTTAAGTGAATGGACTTGTATTAGATCCCTTTGGCCATCAGCTATCTAAAATGAGAATATATGGATGGTTTGGATTCTCCGCCTCTGTAGCTGGTTAAACGTATTGCCTAACGTTGCGTTAAGCGCGAGAGGTCCTGGGTTTGAATCCCGGGGAAACATAAAATCGTTTTGGTCGGGTAGGGCGCAGAAGTCTGATCAACTACTTGTACCCGTAAAAGAACGGATCAGTGAAACGGCCACAGAATGTGTTCGCCCAATGCCCCACGAGGGAAAACGGGTTTTTACTTCTTGGATTGGTGCACTAGATAGTATGGTCTATCATATACATTTCACTTACCCATTTCCCAAAAAATAAATCACACGGTTCTTCAGGAACATTATTAGGATCTACACCATAAAACTCAATGTAGGAAAGTGTAACATCTGGTTTATTTAATTTTACGGGCCCGTGTAGTGGTAGATAACTGAATTTCTGGAATGATAGAAGAATCCTATCAAGTTTAAGGTTTTTTTAGTTAAGTTTTATAATAGATGTGGAAGATGTCTTATTGGTATTACTGAGTGAGAATCCTATAAGCCCCATATAATTATTACATCTCTACATAGAAAAAGTATGAAGAGAAAAAAAAAATGTTATAGAGCCATTATGCACCGTCGATTCAAAATTTACCTCAATTTTGTCAACTTTCTCCTTCATAGTGAAATGTTTACAAAAAGTTTCTACATCAACTTTAAATGATTTTTTAGAATCACTGCAAACTTCTAGTAATTGACAAGGACAGATATGTGTATCACTTATTTCATTATCAACATTTGGTATTATCCATTTATTGGAAATATTTTTCACTGCACTGTTTAGGTTTTTGTGTAACTGCGCTTCAGATTTAGCTCTAGACCATAGTTCGATGCAGTTTTTAAGTAAAACCGATCTAGCAGCTATTTGTTTTACACATGTTTCTGAGGGCAAATCCACTATCCAATAGGGTTGATGTTCTGATGGTTTCTCGACGAACTTTATAGGTATTTTTAGCATGGAAAGTATGCTTTGCATCTCCTGTAATTTCAGATGAAATACATATATAATATTGAACTTAAAAGTGTTAACAGGATTATAAAAATACTAACGGCATGCCGAAAATCCAAATGCTCATGAGCAAACCACATTAAATATCGTCGCGACATTATCTAATATAATTACCAATAAAATAAAGAACTTTAATATTAATACGAAACAGAATATTTTATAGAATATTATTCATTATCGTTTATATCAAATTTTTATAGGTTATAATGTATACTATTGCCATGTTAACGTCAAGTGGAATTTAGGTTATTGAATTGTCAATATTCCACAGATAAATAATTTTGTCTTCCCTATGTAAGACTTTGTAACATGCTGCATTACAAAATCTGATTTGCCATTTAAACAACAAATAACTATTTACTAGGAGTAAAATCAGACAAAATCTTAAAGTTAGTTATATTATTAATTAATAAATACACTAGGTATGGACAATATAGTTATCTCTTCTCCTGTTCTTCGTTTCCTATAATATCTTGGTATCTATCATGTAAGAAATCTAAATATGCATCCTTTATAGACCCAGAACATGCAACATAATGTCCACCAGAATGTTCAGCAACAATTGGTCTAACAAAGAGATTTATCAGTGATTCACTCATTTCTGAAAAAAAATGACAATGTATACAGATAATAATGAAAAAAAAATCGAAATACATAATAATGATAAATACATTATAAACCAAAGTACCTTTTGGTATAATCGAGTCGCTTTCCCCATAAACATGCAGAGAAGGTAAATCTATGTCTTCATCATAGAAACCTTTATGCACTAAGCTACCAGATCGAAATCCAGATGCAAATATTGCAAACTTAAATGTATAGGGCAGGTCTGTAAAATATAACAAAGTTAAAAAGCTAAAAAACGTAAAGTTAAAACTAGTTGTTTATGCAAATTTGGCTGTTATAAAATCCAAAGGTGGAAGTTAATAATTGTAGTACATACATCCTTTCTGCTGCATTGCTGCAAGTAAGCCCACTAGGCAAGCTCCCTGAGAGAAACCCATAAATCCATCAAATGGACCATGATCTTTGACCACTTCTTCTATAATTCTTAAAGAATCTTCAAAGCCTAAAGCCGGTCCACCTAAACACTTTCCACTGTAAGTGTTATCTTCAGCATTGAACCACCAAGACCTGGCATCTGTAAATTTATTAATTGGTTATAGATCAAATTGGAACTACAATTATAGCTTTTAGTACTATAAGGAATAAGAAGCTTAAGTACTGGTTTACTTAAAAAAAATTTTGAAGGAGTTGTATTTTGTATATATTTACTGAGTACTTTCCCACTTTTTAAAGAGCATGAAAGCCGAGACAATGCTGCATATTCAGGTAAAATTAGATAAAGAAGAATACTAGTATGTTTATACAAAATTAATTCAAATATAACCTTCATCTCCAGTCCCATCGTCAGAAAAAACTTTGTGGGGTGCAGATAAGAACACCAATTGAGCTAATTTCGAAACAGCTTTTCTAAATGAACCAATTTTTCCTTTAAATACCGTAGCATTCTGTATATAGCCATGGAACGCTAATATCTTTAATTTTCTACGCTCTGCTTTGTTATTTGCTTCTGAAGATTGGTTAGAAGTTGAATTTTCTTCAGACATTCTTTAAACTTTAGCTCTTTTGCAAACGTTTCCGTTATATAATATTCTCATATCAGGTATCACACAGTTGTATTTTAATTAGTAAAATGTTTATTTTGTGTATATATTTGACTTTTTATTTTTTCTAACTATAAGTTTAACTTCGACCATATTCCATAAGCCTATGACAATTGACAGATCGCTGTCTTGCAAACTGCTGTTATGTCTAGTGCAGACCGAGGAATTGACAACTGACAACTAATACTATCTGTGAACTTAGGAAGAATTTGGCGCTAAAATTTGCAAATGTCAAAACTCTAACGAGTAAACTGTTGTGTTTATACAAACTTTTGTTTTTACTTAATTAAGGTAAAAATATTCTTAACACAATGGAAGATGGTGATTTCGATCAAAGATTACGAGATCTACAAAGAGAATATTTGGAGTTTCTTGACGATGAGGTATGTACAACAATTCAAATCCCGGCGTTGAAGATAGGTTAAAACTTTGTCTCTTTTTTCTCTTAATCATAATTAAAACGAATACGTTCTTTCAGGAAGACCAAGGTATATACATGAGCCGAGTGAAACAAATGATAAGCGAAAAAGGAAAACGTCTTATTGTTAATATAAATGACTTGAGACGAAAAAATCCTGAACGTGCCAAGACTCTGTTGGACAATGCTTTTGAGGAACAAATAGCTTTTCAGCGAGCCTTAAAGGAATATGTTTCATCTATAGATCCCACATTTGCTAAAGAGCAGGAAGAATTCTTTGTAGCTTTCTCCGGGAGTTTTGGAACAAAGCATGTTACTCCAAGGAGCCTAACCTCAAGGTAAGAACTATATTTTATAGGTTCATGCTTCCTATTTAATAGTGAAACCCTGTTTTCCCCCAGGGCATGGAGTGAACACATTTGTGGGTCCATTGCACTTATTGGTTTCATTGCAAGTAGTTGATTACACTTCTGTGCCCTGCCTAACCAAATCTATTGTTTCCCTGGTCCTGGATCCCCAGTACCTTATGCCTAATGCAGTGTTAAGCACCATATATACCAGAGCTGATATACTCCTAAAAATTAAATTTAATAGAAAACATTTTGCACTAATGAAATTATTTTCAGATATTTAGGTAACCTAATATGTGTAGAAGGGATAGTAACCAGGGTGTCTTTAGTGCGTCCAAAAGTGGTCCGCAGTGTGCATTATTGCCCGGCCACAAAGAAGGTTATGGAGAGAAAGTATACTGATCTAACTTCTTTTGAGGCATTTCCTACTACTGCTGTTTATCCCACTAAGGTAAATTGTGTTTCACTACTTTATAATAAGGCAATAAGAATTGTTTATTTTTCTTCTATTTGTAAAAATCTAAATTGTTACTTATGCATATGGATCTTTTACCATTTCAAGAATAAATTAGGCTTGATTGATGACACATATATATTCTTAATATTATTGTTGACTATGGGATATAGTCATTAAGGTAATTTGTGTATGCAGGTAGTAGTGAAAAAATTCAGATGATAGAGATAATTTTTTTTTTTTAAAACAAGTAATTGTAGTTCTTGTTGCCTTTGCCCGACTACGAAAATTGTATTGTAAATTATTTTTGCAAGATGATATCATGTGACGTCTCAGCTCAACTTCAATTCATTCGACTTTTTCCAAAAGGCAGTAAAATCAACTGATTAACTGTTCTAACCCTTGGGTTTTGTATATAATGACCTTAGCATACAACAAACTTTGTATTAGTATTTATTATAAAAATAAATTATGCAGCCTTTAAAATGTATTTATATTAAATTAATTATATTTGTCCCTTCAAAAACTGAGAAAGTTCTTGTTAGCAAGAGACAAAAAATTATGAATTACAGATTTAAGTCTTTTATTCATTGCAGGATGATGAAGGTAATCCTTTAGAAACAGAATATGGTCTATCCAGATACAAAGACCACCAAACCCTCACAGTACAAGAAATGCCAGAGAAGGCACCTGCTGGTCAGTTACCAAGGAGTGTAGATATTATCTGTGATGATGACCTAGTGGATAAGTGTAAGCCAGGGGATCGTGTTCAAATTGTAGGCAATTATAGATGTCTACCATCTAAACAAGGAAGTTTTACTGCTGGTACTTTTAGGTATGGTACAAATATATTTATTTTGGAGGTCTTCAAGCCTTTAAAGTTACAATAGTTACATCTGAGCTGTACTGATCTTATGGGTCAGTTCTTCCAAAAGTTACAGACAATTATTCTTTTTCTGATATAGTACATATGTCAAAGTTTTATAATGTGTTTTAATATTTTACAGAACAATCCTCATAGCCAATAATATAACACAAATAAACAAAGACATGAACCTCAATGTATCGTTAAAAGATGTTAAGCTATGCAAGCATTTAGTGAAGAGTACATCTGATGTATTTGAGCTTCTCAGCAAGTCACTAGCGCCATCTATACATGGGCATGACTATATCAAGAAAGCAATACTGTGTCAGCTACTTGGTGGTATGGAGAAGATTCTGCCCAATGGCACAAGACTAAGGGGGTGAGTTTATTAGTCTAACTGAATTGAAAGGCTCTGTGGGTTGTGAGTTTGATTCCCACCAGGGCCAATTTATTTCTAGAGATCAATTATACAATGAATGGCTGAAAAATATAAAATATTAAAAACCCTTTGGAGAAACCGTAAATTGTAAAACTGCATATTTTAGTCAGTGGCTTACTGAATGTTCAGAGCCAAAAACAGCTTAGCTCGTCTTGTCTAAGTGAACCTTAAGTTAATCTGTTCTTGAAGCAAAAATCATTCACCAACAAAAATCTAAATAAATAGTTCCTAAGATTCCAAAGCTCTGATTCTATGCACAATGTATTTATTAAAATAATTTTATTTTATAGTGACATCAACGTTCTTCTCATCGGTGACCCATCAGTAGCTAAGTCCCAACTACTCAGATATGTGCTAATGACAGCTCCCCGAGCAATTACTACAACAGGTAGAGGCTCATCAGGAGTTGGTCTCACTGCTGCTGTTACTACTGATCCAGAAACTGGAGATAGAAGGTAGTATAAGGTTTATATATATATATATAACACAGATATAGAATATTGACCGTTATGAGACTGCTCTTAGATAATAATAGATATTGACAATTGAATGATTGTTTTTCTATTTGATTATATCTTATCTAGCAGACCATGCTAAATAGAACTTGCAGTTTGAAAGCAAGTATGTATTTCCAGACTTTATTACATTATCAAGCATAGATGGCGATGTCTACAAATAGAGTTTAATTTAAATAAAACCCTTTAACGTTTAACGCGATATATTAGTTCACGGGGAGACTCCCCACAGTCCCCCGTGACCACGGCTGCTGCAAAGCTTTCGGATGCTTTGCAGCAGAGTAGGGCCAAAGTTAAAAATCATTTTCAAATAAGTTTAACTAATATATCGCGTTTTAAACCGTTAAAGTGTTTTATTTAAATGTGTACTACTCGCGTAAACTATAAACAGGGTTAAATTTGTCAAAAGTATAGCTACTAATATTTTGTTACAATATTTAGTATTCAAATAATTTATGACAATGCATAACAGAGTACCAACAATTGAGCTTTTGAAAAGACTTGTACATCCATATTATGACTAATATATATAAATAATAGATATATATGTAATGTAATAATGTTGTCTAAATTATTGCAGACTAGAAGCCGGCGCTATGGTGTTAGCCGACAGGGGTATAGTTTGTATCGACGAGTTTGATAAGATGTCGGATATAGACAGAACGGCTATACACGAAGTTATGGAACAGGGTAGAGTGACGATAGCAAAGGCTGGCGTGCACGCTGCTTTGAATGCACGGTGCTCTGTATTGGCTGCTGCTAATCCTGTGTATGGACGAGTAAGTAACCCCGATAATATGTTGATAAAAATTTACCTTAGTATACATAGGAAAAAAGAAATAAGATTTTGAATTAACAAGCTATAGTGGCGCCCTATCGAAATTCTCATTATATTATGCACGATTGAGTGTAGGACAATTATGTTTTAATTCCAGTGTATATAAATCCGTTGAAGATTAATTCGTCAATTTAACTATAAATTAAATATATAGCAATGTTTTTTTAGTTCATTTTGTAAATTGTTATAGAAATTTAATTTGATAAAACGACTTTGTCGTGGACGTTTTTCCGATAATTTTTGTTTGTCTTTTAAGTAAAACTTTTTTAACGATTATTATATTAGTTAATAAAGTTGTGTACGTCTAAGTTTTTTCTTTCTAGTATGACCAATACAAGACCCCAATGGAGAATATAGGACTGCAAGACTCCCTGCTGTCTCGTTTCGACTTGCTGTTTGTGATGCTGGACATCGCTGATGCAGAACATGACAATATGATATCTGAACATGTGCTGAGAATGCATCGCTATAGGTATGAGACTCCTTACTTTACTATTGGGTTGCATAGTGTCTATGCAACCATTTGGGTAGTCTATAGCACAAAAGTTCTTAGACCATAAAAAGTCTTATTGGTAATGTTATTATATAATTGATAATTTTCAATTGTTTTTTTGATCCCAGGGTAATGATTTTTTGTTGGTCACTTGGCTTTAAGAATATTGAAATTCCATCCAAGTTACGAACTGTCCAGTTAAAAGCCGTTAAATGTCTGCGATTTGGCTTTAGTCCATGGACGTCAGAACTTGCAAAGCTAAAACTATGTCTAAGGCATCGCATCTTGTTATTCCTAGGCCTAGGGTATTTAATTTCACCTTCAATCAAGTGAGGAGAGGAGAGGAGGTTGCCCAAGTACCCCATACTTGGGCAACCTCCTCTATTATAAAAACTACATTATATTAAAGAGGTTATATTAAATACATGCTTAAATCTTATTAATTGGACTCAATGATATAAGAACCTTATAAAAGTAAAAAAAAACTTAATTATGAAGTTGGCACAATATTAATAAAAATACCCAATTATATGTGATCTGTCTCTGCTTGTTACAGAAATCCAAAAGAGCAAGACGGCGAAGTGCTTCCCATGGGCTCAACTGTAGAAATGTTGTCCACTGATAATCCTGATAATGATGATAATGAGGTAAGCGGGATATTAAGGACTACGGAAATCTTAAAACAATAGTTAAGTTCTTAAGTTTTTGAAAGAAGGAGAAGAAATAAATTTAAATAAAACACTTTAACGGTTTAAAACGCGATATATTAGTTGCTACTATAACAATAAAACGCGATATAATAGTTTAAACAACTAATATATCGCGTTTTAAACTGTTAAAGTGTTTTATTTAAATGTGTACTACTCGCGTAAACTATAGACAGTAGAAATAAATTTATTTATTACCATAAGCTACACAAAAACATGACTTATAACTAAGTATAAAATAAAAACGCCTTTTGAGTTGTTTATTTACTTGCTTGTAGGCAAATGACGATGCGATTTACGAGAAGTACGACCCACTATTACACGGGCGGACTCGCAATAAGAAGGACCAAATCTTCACCACCAAGTTCATGAGGAAGTTCATCCATATCGCCAAGCTGATCAAGCCGAAACTTACCCAGGAGGCGTCCGATGCGATCGCTGATGAGTACGCCAAGCTGAGGAACCAGGATATGATGGAGAGCGATGTGGCCAGGGTAAGGATTTGATAAATAGAATTCGATATCTATCGATTGAAAATAAAATTATAAAGGTATTTGATAGAAGTTATAATTAGCAAATCATAAATTATGTCGAAATTAGTCTACCCGTTATGATGAGCCTTAAAAATCTTTAGATTAGATGTGGGTAACAATTTTGCCAATTCCTGCGCTCGCGCATGTTGCAGCTCAGAATCGAACATCTCAAAAATAATATTTGTTTGTTATTGCTTTACCATTAGCTTACCTACCACAAAAAGAAATAAACCTCAGATATTAATTGGGAAAAATACATGATTCCAGACCCAACCTGTGACAGCCAGAACCCTTGAAACGCTGATCCGTCTCGCGACTGCCCACGCTAAGTGTCGGCTCAGCTCGCAAATTTCCGAACAGGACGCCCTCACCGCCATAGAGTTAGTTCACTACGCTTACTTTAAGAGGGTAAGTAGTACTCTTTTTTTTGTCCCACTATGCGGCTAGACTAAAGGGGCATTGGCCTCGGCTTGGATACCAATGTCGCACTGTTGGGTAAGTCAGCAATGGTTTTAGTAGATTAAACTAACGAGGCAGTTACCGATTTTAGATTAAAAAAAATATATATATGACACGGGCAGGACTTGAACCGGCATTTACAGCATTCCGAACTGTTGCTCTAACCAATTGAGCTACTGTGTCCTACACGTCATCGACGAATATTTTTTTTCCAAAAGTTTTTAACAAAACGCACAATGTTTTTTATATTATGTTCTTTATATAGTGGTTTGTATAAGATTATAGTATTCCAAATATTCAAATCCAAAATAGGTTAGGTAGGACACCTCGTGTTTGGAATTCGCATTAAACGACTTACATAAAAAACCCACTATCCTACTCTTTACTCTTTGTTATGTTTCCTCAGGTGCTGACAAAAGAGAAGCGACGTAAGCGACGCGCCTCCACCGGTGATGAAGCGAGTGACACGGAACAGGCCTCGCAGCCCAGGCCCAAGAGGACCAGGCGAACGGTAAATATAAAACACTTTTAACGGTTTAAAACGCGAAGCGACGACTCAACGTTTTTAATGCTCTGCGGAAGATGTGGTCACAGGTGGGATAACGTTAGGTCAAGTTAATATTTCGCCTTTAAAACTGTTAAGTTTTTTTTTTATTAAAACGTGTAATACTCGCGTAATCTACATAATTTCTTTTAGTATAAGAAAATTGACCTCTAGACGAGCGAAAAATACTGTTGAAATATCTTCGCTAGTCAGGTAATAGTCTTGTTATACTTTTTTAGTTTCACGTAAAATAATAACGTACATAATAATATTTTAGCAGGACGGTGAAAACGCTGACCCATATACGTTCTCGTCCGATGAAGAGGCGGAACCAGTGTTGCGGGCTGCGAGACGATCCCAACCGGATCCACCGCCTCAGACTTCTGTCCCTGCTAAAACTACTATCGACAATAAGAGGTACGTACCATTCATGTATTTGCGACAAACAAACTAGACATCTTAGAAACACGAAATAATACAACTTAATATTTAATCTATACTAATCTGAAGAGTTTGTTTGTTTATTTGAACGCGCTACCCTCAGAATTACTGGTGCGTATTGAATATAATTGATGTTCTCTTGTTAGTCCAGCGTTTGAAGAACACAGTCAGGAGCGAAGAGACAGCGAGAAATGTGGAAAATCGGGGAAAATTATTCATCTTTGTGAGCTTCCATTGCGTGCGCTTCGAAAACTGTTTAAGATACCCAAAAATTATGAATGATTAAATCCCCCAAACGATCTAAAAAAAGTCCCCGACCATATATCTAATCGTTAAAGATAAACTTGTAAGAACGACGGGACGTGGACTACGTCGTCTTGGGTAACAGTTGGATTTTATAAATATGAGGGAGAGGTTAGGAAAAACAAATTTGATCTCCACAATAACTGTTCTACGCAGACCATGTCGCGGATACAGCTATTAATAAATGATGAGTTTTTTGGTTTCATCCGGTATAGAAAATTGTCCAAAATATTTTAAAATTACTGTGTATATTATCTACCCTCTACATTATTTAAAAATAATACACGGGCGAGACTTCTGCTTTTAGTTTTTAGACCTAATATATTTACACTATTTTCACTTTTCAGATTAACTCAATTCAAATCGGCCCTACAACAGTTGTTCCGCGACGAGAGGGCCAATTCTCTCCCACTCGACAGAATAACTCAATACGTGAACGAGAAGTATTCCCATGCGACATTCGACTCGGGCGAAATAACCGCCGCCTTGCATCGCATGACCCAAGACAACCAGGTCATGATGGCGGACGATATCGTGTTCTTGATTTAGACCTAGAAGCTACTCCAAAGAAATAGCTCACAATCGAGTTAAAAGATTTGATCTGAATTAAACTGAAAATCTTCAGTTCAATACATCAATAGATACTTTGTGTCTACGCCGATTAATTGCTACGGATCATTAAAATAACCTAATCATCGAATATTAACAATCTTAGCTTGTTATAAGAGTTTCTCTTCACAACTCAACGATCATTTATGAACTTAAACAGCCAATAACGAATATGTAGTAAAAAAAATAGCCATTTTATGTTTCGTCTTTGTTTAGCATGTGTTTTGATTAAGAGTTAAGTGAAGAGAACTTACCTTACTATATTTTTCTTTTTTGTGAACGGCCAGTGTTTAATTTCAGTTCTAAGAAACTTCATACATTAAAACTTATTGCACGTCTTTATTGGAATCGTGTGTCAAGTTGCCTTATATCTTTTTAATTGGACTGCCATTGCAAGTTTGCCATAAGTACAAATCATCTATCTACCGCCTAAGTACGTATACAAAAGTAAATCACACGTAATTTAAGCGCCTTAGTAAGGATTTTTGTATTTTTTATCAATAAAAATGAAGATTAGTTACAATCTCGATTTATTTGGAAAAACACATTCTACCCTTAGGGGTTGTCCATTAATCACGTGACCTTTTTTTAGAATTTTTAAACCCCTCCCTCCTAAGAGTTAAGACCACCCCCCTTCTCAACATCACGTGTATTTTTAGTACCTACAATCTTAAAATTTTCTGAATATTATCTTAATATAAATACAGGTATAAACTATAATCTTATTTTATTCTGAAATTAAGGACATTATAAAAATGTCTACACCATTTGTTTAAAAATCGCGCGTTTGACGAAAAAATAAATACACGAGATATCTTACTATACCCCCTCTCCCCCCTTGTGTTATTTTCGTGATTTTCGAACACCTCCCCCCTTATCAAGCCTCACGTGATTAATGGACAACCCCTTATCTGATGGGTATTAATGTCTACAAAATATTCCTATGATTTTTATATGTAATATCACGATAATATACTGACAGAGCGTTCGTGACACTTGAAATATAAAATCGAAGCCATATTGACAGTTATATTATTTTTCATCACCCTAAACTTTTCTCGCATATCGCAAAAAGTAGTTAATAATATTATATTATGTCTGGGAAATTGTAAAGAAAACCAACAACATCTTTACAAATTTAAACTGTTGTATATTTTCAGGTACAACAGTTACCAATATACTGGTGTAATTGTATTTATATTTGTCTCACGAATTCTTCATTTAACATCCACATCACTTCCTCTGTTTCCCCTTCCCTTTTCCCTTACCAGCCTGTCCCTTATTTTTGTTAAATTTGTTAAACTTATTCACCTTCCCGCCCTGCACCTTGTGACCTTTATTCCTGGGATTAGACTTATTAAATTTGCCATCATTGCTCGGGTACCGCTTCTTCCCTTTAAAGTCTGTGTTTCTTGTTTCGTTTTTATCTTGGTATTTCTTTTTTAATTTCTTATCTAATCTCATTTTCTTGAAGCCTCGCGGTTCTTCGCCTTCGTTTGACTTTCTTTTTCTCGGATTTTGTGTAAAGAGATCTGTAAGAACATTTTAAGTTTTAACTTATTGAGTAATGATGTTTATGATTTCAATATATCTTTACACTACAAATCTATCGTTATTATTTTTTTACAAAACTATTTTTTTTACGGGAGCACCGTTTGAAGGCGCTGTAATCAGTCCCAACATTGTGGACCATTTTATTAATTTCCCCCGTACCTTGTTCGGGTTCAGCACCAACTTCTTGTCTATAATAGTCTGCATCATCATCTTGGTCGTCACCATTTTGAGTTTCAGCTGCTGCTAGTTCCATTAACCTATTTGTGATTTAAACAAGATTTAACAAGTTAGTATAGTCTGTGTTTAAGAAAATGTAGTGCTATTAAATGGAAAAAAAAAATTTGGCAATAAGCATTGAGTAACGGAACCCTGTGTCAAATCACTAGTTCTATCACTCCTCAACTACTAGTTTTTTGTTTCGTTTTATAATTTTTCAATTCAATATGACCAGAAGTTTACTTTTCTATTACCTCTGGTTCTCTGTCATTTCTTTCTTCTTTTTAATTCCTTCAAGAGCTTTCTGTTTTAATTCTTCCTTCTCCTTCTGTTTCCGTTTTACGTTCTCTTCTTGTTGAGATTTACGTTTTTCTTTCAATCGCCTGGAAAAAAAAGATTTTTGTTATTTGCTTTATATTAATCATCATTTCACGAGTACTTGTTCGATGTCATTAATGATGAAATTCTGAACAAACTACCTCTTCTCCTCTCTTTTCTTTTTGATTAATGCTTTCTCTTCTTCCGTCTTTTCTACGAGTTCATGGAACAGAACCTCACCATCCATTAGACCATCTTCAACCTGAGAAAATATTATCAAGCAATTCATATTTTTAAGAACACAACATATTTCAAGCTTAATATTATTATTAATAAGTATTTATTTATTAAACAAACGACAATATGTATATATATGGACCAATATATAGTATACAGGACTATTGATTATTATTATACAAACCTTAATCAATTGTAAAGAAATCCTAGGCCCAAGCTCCACCAGCCTAATGGCCGACTGTGAATTCTCTGCTGCACCACGGCCAGCCAAGGTTTGTGGTAATGTCACCCGGTTTGCTGTGTCATCTTCAAACTCACTCTCAGATAGCAACGCTGCTCTGAATATGAAAATAATAAAATAAAAATTTGGCTACAATTTGTTAATTGTATGTTGTTTATGATCTCTTGAGCCTCAAAGTACTTTTTGATGATATTGATTCAGATATACAGATTAAACTCACTTGTCAAAGAATTCAGATATATCTTTACACCGATTTAGGTTAGGGATCTTTCCTTGTACTATCTGAAAGAATAATAAATATATATATTATTTTTAATTCAATGAAACAATTACAAGCTTTAAATATTCAGTTTACCTTTTTTACACCTTTGTTTAATCCAACTGGTATTGCTCTTATAACATAATGCCTAAGATCTATTAGCTTTGTTGATGGATTGTAGTTCATTAGTACACATCTCCTAATGGTTTTTAGTTTAACCTAGACAAACAAAATAATAATTTAACCCTTGTTTTTAATATCATAGACAAGTTAGTTATAACAAAAAAATGGTAATGTATAAAAAAATAAGACAAAAAAATAACTATAAGTCTCAAGTGACAAAAGTAATTTGTAAAAAAATATATATACTATAATATACTAACCGTTGTAATATTTATGGTAGGAAACATATTTTGAAACATGGTAGCCATAAGTTTCATGTGCATACCTTCACCAGAAAAGCTATTTAGAACTATTAAAGGTGCATTCTGAAATGACCTTGCGTTTACATACTGTTTACGCAATGATGATACCACATCTCTGGCTAAGCTGTACTGAAAATAAAGGACAAAATTAGAAACTTTTTTGTTAATAAATGAAAAAGGGTTGTTGAACGTTACTTTTCATAAAACCTTGGAGTATGGAGCTATTCATATTAATAAGAGACTCTAACATCAATAAATGTGACTATTCTCAATTGTAATAGTCAGAACAAGGAGTTTTATATACTTTTTGAAATTAAACTATAGAAATATCTTTAATTTTAAAATGTTATGTTTTATTGCAATTCATTGAATAATGATAAAAAAATAAGCTAAAGAGCTGCACAAAGATGAAAATGTCACACCATTACCATATGCATGTAAGATATTTTATGTTGTTGTCTTATGCAAATTGTATAAATAATTAAATAAACAAGTTAAGATTGTTAAAGTTAACGTTGAGACAATTTTCTTGTGGTGCTATGTCCTTACAATATTGATTAGCGTTTTTCTAAAATTTAGTGTCAGATATATAGGACAGGGTTAGACGTTTCTTACATTATGTATCCTAAAAGTCAAGGTAGGACCTCGAGGCAATCTCGCAAGCCGCATATAGGAACCCTGTTCTGTTTCAGTGAAAACCATCATATGTGACACATGTAAATATCCAGATATGGAGAGAAAATCCTTAATTGTGTTTTTCTTTCTTTCCTAAAATAGACAACACAGTTAAATTCAACAAATTTATAATTTATTTGTAACTGTGACACTTAGTACAATTTTTAGACATTACAGGATTTTTTGAGAACAAAAATATGCTTTTTATATACAATTGGAAAATATGAAAATGCTATGCTATAGCAATAACTTGAATAAAATAGTTTGTTTAATATGCACTTAGGGCTTTTGCCTTTTACCTTGATTTATTAACAGACTTCTCAGAATCAATATGTACTACATATGTACAACAGTATATTTAGAGAAGATGGATGAGTGATACGAGTTATGGTTAGATTTGTTTACCTTCAACTGTGATGCAGTAAATGGCTCCATTATTTTCCTGAAGTCTTTCGTCAGGTCTATTAGATCTTTTGAACAGTTTCCCCTATGAATAACAAAAGAATGGGGTGCTTTAACAACATGTTCCGGTTCTAACGCTTCTTTTGTCGCTGTATTGCGTTTAACACATTTCCCTTTACGTTTTCCCATGTTTTGTAATTACAGTTTAAAGAAGACACCTTCAACACAATATTAGTATAAACAATTCAACATGTGTTTTAGAGGTTAGGAACTTGGATAATTAAGTGTATACATTTGACATTTGGTAATATCTAATACAGAGTATAGAGATAAAGACCTACAGATGTTAAACAAAAGTTAGTGATAACAAACTGCCCGACTCGGACTATACCATAACGTATTAAAATGTTTTTTTTTTATTTTCTCCCAATAAATTTAGTATTCTAATTATATATATATATTTATATAATATTTGTGTACAGACTATTTTTAAAGGAGTAAAATGTGCATTGGAAGGCTGGAGATGTAATAAATATATTTATCACTTTCGTTCTGTAAATATAAATTTTAGGGACAAATAAAAATACAGCAAAACAAATCAAAACAGCTTTATTTTTGCTGGTTCTTAGTACATCCCATACTTGCACATGACACTACTAATTTACACAAGTCTCTTGCCTATTGTTTGTTCACAATGTATCATTCAATATTCTTACAAGAAATCTAGAATGCTACATAAAATTGTCATATGATTATTGCTGTGTACTTATCTCGATAAGGTCTAGGAAAAAAAGCGCATTTTTAAGACATCCCAAATAATCTATAAGCTCACATTATTTCATATCAATAATAATTATATCTACTTTAAAGTGCAACAAAATGTAATACTATCAAATGAGATAAAACGAAAATTTAAAAATGAATGAATGAATGCTGTTACACTACCAAGATTCATGTACATACAGACAGGAAGAGATACATTACGTAGTTGAAATTATATATGCATACTTTTATCATGGTTATATGTATTTAACCTTTTCGTGTGCAACAATTTTATTTATAGCATTTTCCTTTGTGCAAGCAAGAATACTGTGATATTTAACATGGGTAACGTTTCGTTAAATTTTTTAATTCAATATATCGAAATTACTTATTAGTGGGCAACATTGTGCAAAACATTTTAATATTAGTCTAAGAGCTGCATTTATTAACTAACAATGCGCAAGCGTTCTCATGCAAATTGCTCTTATTAAGACGGAAAACTTTTAAATAAAAATTAAGGAAATCATTACAAAATAAACATATACAATTACTATTTAAAGTATAAAATGTTAAGGAACATTAATCATTTTGGGGCCTACCGCGTACATTATCGGATCAAGTAGAATAGATAATGTGTTATAATTAATTTAGTTATGTTCTGTGGTAGACCCACTAATAATTAATCTTTTGGATTGATGTATATAAAAGCCCTATTAACCCTATCAATTTAACTATAATCTATAGACCATCCTATTCTAACATTAGTTAAATACCATAATAATAAAATTTAAAATCAAAACTGAGAAGCATATTTGACGCCGTATCTTCAACTAAGATTGACTAATTTCAGGCAATCAAATATACATTTTATTTAAAAGCTTTAGTAACATTGAAAATGGACTTAGTTCAGTGTTAATAAGTTAAGTCAAATGAAAACTATATATTTACTAATATCACTAAAGTTTTTATATGTGAACAAACTTTAGTCATACTTTTTTTAAAGCAACCCGCCTTTAAAGTTTTTAATACAAAATGTTTACAGGATGCAACGAGTACAGACGTTTTAATGTTGCCAGACTTTTAAATTTAAATGACAATAAATATTAATAATATAGAAGTAACTACGTCTATTCCTGTAACAGATAATGCAAAGAAAAAAATGGCTTAAGCGCGCCGTCATGAATGTATTATTGAATACGTAACGATAAATAATCAATGAATTCGAAAATTTTGTGAGAAGCCTAGGACACGCGGTCTAGTGAAATGTAACATACATCTAACATACACAAGTCACACGCAATACCTAGACATAATTACACAAATATCACGATACAAATTACATTAACCCGTTACTATACATTATATTAAACTTAATCTGACACAATGAATGGGGGGAGGGGGAAGCTTAGTTGCGTTTGAAATTTACAGCTTAGACGCAAGTTAACCAGCTTCAATTTGGATTTAGAGTTGAAGAATAACAGTATTTGTTAATTAAGTGAAAGAAGCGGTTTGAATGTGAAGAGTAGTTATAAACGATAGTAAAAAACAATATTTCAAAAGACGACAAAGTAGCAATAATATAAATAGTACCACTATTCCTAGATTCGTTTATCATTGACAATGTTAAAAATTTTACGACATCTTTCGGAAACATGCGAATATTGCATGAATCAAATGGTTTAGTAAAGTGTTGAGATTATTGAGCTATTATTGTAATTCATTTTTATGTAGTTTTCTATTTAAAAAATGCGATGTTCAATCAACAAGAAGACATTCAAAAATACTACAACAAAATAGTGTTTAATTTTTCTTGTCTGTTAGGTGTCAGAACGCTTTGGTGACATTAGGGTTGTCATATACTATATTTTTTGTGTTGATGTTACCAATTTCGAAATGTATTTTGAACTACTAGGTATGTATAGTCACCAAAGTCTTAAAAATCTCATCGCAGATACTAGATGGCGGTTGTATCACAAGAGCCACAGTTGAGTTGTTTAGTGTTGATCCATCTGAAATTTTTTTGAAAATGTTAAGGATTGTGTAATTCTCAATAAAAGGCAATTGACTGTACTTTAAAGAACATACAGGAATATAAGCTATTACAAACCATCATAGAAGATGAGAACAATAAAAAAATTGTTGGAAGATACAGAGAGATATGTGAAAATTTTTGGGAAAATTATTAGAACGTTATGTGCCATATTATTAGAATGTTTAATATCTGTTTGATCAGTCTATAAATATGTATAATGAAATATTCACCTGTTCCTGTCCATTAGTTTCTTGGGACTTCATGACATCAGGCAAATCCGGTGGAGAGGAGTATGGTGTTAGGTCCAAAGCTTCAAATTCGCCATTTTCTTTCCTGAAAATATACAAGGACTTAAGTATACATAGGTCATTTGGTATTCATTTAGATTTGGATTCTGTTAATAGTTTTAATTTAGTGTAAATAAATATTTAAAAAATATATATTTAGATTTGTTTATGTAATATTCTTGTAAAGTGTTAAAACTCTATTTATACATTTTAACACCTTTTTAAGAATATTTATCATCATATCATAAAGATAAAATTACTGCAAACCGGAGTTATATCTGATTAAAACATTGCAACAAATTAATTGTATTGTAATCATACACTAATACTGATAAAAATTAAAATTATCTAATTGCTATGGTTACATAAATATAGTTAAATAATTTATTTTGGACAAAACAGAATTTTAGAATCTATGAGTACAACCATTAAGTTTTTGTATACCTGAGGGCAAGTCCTATTGGGGCTGGGCACTGTGCTTTAGCGGTAACAGAAGTCAAACCATACTCAGCTAATGTTTTCTCATCTTCCATCAGCTGACTGTCCTTGTTAAATAGCATTTGACTTGGTGGTGGGACTTTCAAGATACCTTAAAGAAATAATTGAACTTACAATAAAACAAAATAATCCAATAAAGTAAGCTTCAAGTTTAATTTTTTATACGCCTAGTAACCTTGTTAGCCTATCTAAGTAACTTCCAACATGATGTTATAATATATGATTATGATTAAAGTACTAAAAAACACACAAGTATTTTGTACACAGCGAGCTCTTTTCCATCGTGACGATAAAATTACGAAGCAATACGAGTTGCAATAAGACAATGTCTTGCTACTAAAAATAGAATTATTTCTAGTAGTAATACAGAATTTGCTCACCCTCAATCATTTTCTTTAGTTCTAATACAGTTGTTGTATCCTTCGCATCCGTGAAGATGGTTAACTTTTTTCGCCTAATCATTAAAAAGACATCCTGAAAACAAAAACCGTTTTGAGGTTACATGTAATGAATCTTCACTTATATATTAACACGAAATAGAATGTTCCTTGAGTGATAAAAAAGACTACATAATATTTATTATTGTTCTAACCATGTTTAAATTATAATTAAAAACTATAAACTATAGTTATTTTATAAAAAAACGCTTCAAGGCGTACAAGCAAAATTAATTCGATGACAACTAAATAAATACAGATAAGATAAAAATTACTTTGAACACTGTGATTGTCAATGTCAGGGATACGAGTTAACGTCAGTTACTAATCATCTCGTCTAATACTGTCAGCGGTTATTATTAAGCTTACATAATCTATGGTTTTTGCATTTTGCAGCTGCCAAAGTTGCTTGTTTTTTTGGAATGTGCAGTAGTTTTTCTGTCATTTACAATGTTGTTTGTTTTAATAGTCTTTATTATTTCTAAATACTTCTATTGATTTATTTACCGGCTATTTATAAAATGTGCGATATTAAGTTTAAGGTTTGTGAAAATTGCAGAACCAATTGTGGGCAGATCTGAAAAACAGCTAATTATTGCTAATAATACTTTGTTTTAGAGCTCACCAAATTGTTTATTCTTACAAGATTTAACCAATACAGATTTGTTATTATTTAATAATTACTTGTTTTAGTGAGGCTGATAGTTGTTTGGGGCGAATTTTAATATAATGTAGCGCCTAAAATATTTCCTATAACCTAGTAGGAAAAGCGTCAGAAATGAATTCACAAATTTGTGTAAATTGTAATAATTTAAAATCAATAAATCAAACTGATAATCGGTTAGTTACCGAAAGCTGCGGTCACATAAAATGTATGGACTGTCTTCTACATGAAAAGTCTGGGTGCAAAGCTTGTGCTGATAGTAATCAGAGTCAGGATATTAGAATAGAACATATTGAAGTTTTTATTGAAAACGGCAACATGTATGGTGAACCTGACGAAGTTAATGGAGATGTTTGTGAAGAACTGTGCAAAAAAAAGAAGCCAGAAACCTCACACATTAAAGTTGAAACAGGTACTCTATCTTTTTCTAATAATCTTCTTTTTTTTTTTAAATTTCTTGCCTCATTTGCTAAATATTTAAACATTTGTGTTTTTGTTTTTGTTGCCTAGCATTAGTTAAGTGTGAAAGGTTCAAAGTTCAAATCATGACAAAACTATATAATTAAATCAGTCTGTTACAACACAGAAGGTTTGAGGAACTTCTTGCCAGTAATTAAAAAACCAATAAGTAAAACAGTATTTCTTACTAGGTGTATGCAAACAACTCCAATTGTAACATTAGTGTATATTTTTCAGATACTAATGGCACTAAAAGTTACCATTGTACAATTTGTCATAAAAGATTTCATGCACGCAATCATGTTGCATATCATGCTTATTGTAATGGACAGAGGAAACCTTACCAATGTGGAGAATGTAAACAGGTAACATTATAGATATTAATAATAGGCCAGTCAAGTTTGAGGTTTATTTGATGAAGGGTGGAATACCCCACTGCTATAACACCTGTTTTCCTTTTGAAAATCTCTCCATTATTTATGATGAAACACCTATACTAATATATGAAGCTGAAGAGTTTGCTTGTTTGTTTGTTTGAAGCCGCTAATCTCAGGTGCTACTGGTTCGAATTAGAAAATTCTTTGTTAGGTTAGAGCATTTACCTTTACTGTAGAAGGCATAACATTGACTAAAAAAAGTTAAAAAAAAAAACAGAAAATTATTCCTACTTCTGGGTTTCCGCTGTGTACTCTACGAAAACGGTGAAATAAAACCCAAAAATATCAATGAAAGAATAATTCCTCTTTAAATAATCTAAAAAAAAGCGACAGTAAATGTCCTTTTTTTAAAATGAGATGTGGAGATTGCAAAAACCAATTTTGATGCCCAAAATAACTATTCTAAATAGTGTAAGCAACATATGTCTGTGTGTTTATCAACTACCAGTTCTCAAATCAAGGGCTTACAATGAACGAGTAGAACTGGCAGTAAACTCGCCATCACTCCTCAATGTATGAGAATTTATTTTTAATTTTAGACATTTGTATCACAATCACACTTCAAGTATCACACAAGAGTCCATCGAAATGAAAGAGCATTTACCTGCGACCTCTGCCCAATGAGCTTCGTGCAGATGTCAAAATTGAAACGCCATAAACTAAAACATACAAGTATGTATATAATTATAGTGTAGTCCTTGTTTTAGGTCTATATCAACCGATTTCATTCCGTGATCTTTTTGTCATAGTGTTGAAAACCTTTTCTATGCTATTTTTATAGCTTTAGTATAGCCCAAAACATTTTATAATCCTGCAAAATGGGTGAAATGGCACCCATTTTGCAAGTGATGTGTACTGATCAGCTGACCTGCAATTAGTGTCCCCAATAGAAAATAATAATAATACATTTTATAATTACATACATGTTTTCTTGGGATTCAAACAATAAATTATATTATATAATGTACAATATTGTGTTAACACTTAAGTGACTAAATGTCTTTAACCACAAATTAGTTAATAAAGTCACCTTTTTTCATATTATGGGAAATCATAGATTCCAACTATTTATTTCATGTTACAGAAGAAAAGAAGTTCTCCTGTGGTCAGTGCAGTAAAGCATTTAATAATTTAAGTGCTTTACGAAAACATACTCTAACTCATACGGAAGAAAAGCCGTACTCGTGTGACACGTGTGGAAGAAGGTTTCGGGACAGTTCTAATTATAGAAAACATGTTGCTAAGCATAAAGGTAAATGTTTATTATTAATGATAAAGGAGGACAGACAAGGAAGTGGTTCTTGATGGATGGTGAAATACCTCACCCTTGATTTGTATTGTCTTTGGAAATCCACATACTGAAACAGAAATGCTCCCATTCAATGTCCAGGATTCCAAACTTAGTCTAATATGTAACCAAAAAACTATAAATACATTAGGCCTGTTAGAGCCGGTGAGGATCGAACCCCTGACCCTCAATTAGTAGCCATACATAGTTATCCCTGGACCAGCATGCCAGTCAAAACCAGAAAAAACAAGCTCTGGTGTACTCTTCTTAAAGGTTGAAATTTTTTATGACGTTTTCTTAAAGAGCCGTCCTGGTCCTGCAACTTGTGCGATCACATATCGGATTCACGTCGTGCCATGGATCAGCACTCCCGAACCCATGGTGGTACTGCAACTTCGGTGATAATGACACGACGTAAGCACAAATGTCCCCGCTGTCCTCAAGCCTTCCACTCCCGGAAAGATATGAGGCGACATATCGCCGTGCATACCGGTAATTATATAGAGTGCATATTAGTTAAATAAAATGTATTTATGCACCGCAGTTTAGTAGATATTTAAGGCTTTATATTTATTGCTTTGCTCAATGCACTCACACAGATTATAGCGCTTAATCATAGAATACATAGATAAACTCATTTCATTATATTCTTAGATTAAAAATAGTTATGTGAGAAATGTAGCAATGTTAACTATTTTCAGATTCCAAACCTTTCCGGTGTAAGCTCTGCGATCGCCGTTTTAGACGGAAAGACAATCTGGAAAGGCATATTCGTAATACGCACCCGGATTTCCTTCCTGCCACAGCAGTTGAGTGCGACGAAAACGCTCTCAAGCAAATAGCTAATAGCAACGCAGACATACCTACAGAGATAAATCGAGAGACTTATGAGAAGAATGAAAAAACTAAGCTGGAAATACTAAACCCCCTCCCTCCATTACCCGAGGAAGTCATTCAGAAACATATCACCACCGAGAACGTCTCATCAAATAACGTACGGACACGTAATGTTAAAACGGAAAAAGTCACATCCAGAAATGAAACAGATAAAGTTTTTATAAACAGAATATCGGATAACGTGATATATCACAATGAAAGAGAAGATAACACGTTTGATAAAGAAAGACCAGATACTGAAACGTATAATAGCGAAGAAAGCGATAACATCACCTATGATGACGCAATAAGTGAGGTCGTCACATGTAAAACAGAAGTAACAGATTACGTCATACTAAACACGGGGGCTAAAGATTTCACTACATTAAGTAACCTCAAAGCAGATAAAATCACACGCATAGACAAAATGTCCATTATAGAAGCAAATAACGCGAGACAAAGCGTAATTGTAGAGAAACGAAACGTGAAAGTAGAAAAACCGCCGAGTCCAGAGAATGAATATGTCCACAAGATAAGGAAGGCCATCATTCCGCTGCCACCAATTGATCAGGAGAAATTTCAGAGTGTGAAGCGGGGGATTTTACCGGGCAGTGCGACGGAAACTCCGATTAAAAATGTTGAAATCTACAAAAAGATTTTATATGGAAAAGTGGATAAGGATCCCAGTGAAGTCATTCAGAGCCCTAAGATGCACTGGCGGAGGAAGATGGAACAAGATATAAAGTGGTAAGTAATCATTGTGACTTAGATATTTATATCAAATAACTTATTCATTTTACTTCACTTATTTAAAAACAATTAATTAATGCAACAAAATTATTTTATACTTTTCAGACACTAAGAAAGCGATGCTGATTTGACTGGTAGGAGCAGTTTAATTATAAATAGTATAACCGCAGCAATAGAGTGACAAGACACTCTACTTAGTATTATAAGTTTGAACTAAGGGAAGCGACTGAATTTAAAGAGTTTGAATATTTAATTTGTAAAGGTTATTCATAGAACTGATACAGTATAGGGTTTTATTCTATGGGCATTGACATGTTCTACTGTTTATTCTATGGGAACAATAAAAACCTTTGGACGACCTTCTTAATATTGTTGAGTTCAACGCCATCTGTAAGCTATGTGACGTAATGCATAAAATATGTTGTGGTCAGAAGCAAATCTTTAGTAGTTGTACAATTTGATTGTGCCCTTAGTAGTGTATGTCCAAATAGTTTAAAAAAAGTGTTTATCAGTTTTAAATGGTACCTTTATACTGTTGCCTGCCTTTTGGCTATGTTGGGTGCCTATTTGGTCTTTTGAGACTGGGTTAATGGTGGGAGGAGAGGGAATATTTGTTATTACGAAGGGTTATGGACCCGACATGAACATACAATTGTGTTAAATAAATATCTAAAAAAAACTTCAAAATAATCTCCCACTAGTTCTGGAAACGAATTAAAGGTATGTAGTATTGTCAACGGATACCTCATATCTATTAACTAAAATCAAATTCAGGTACCCATTTTCAGGTCACCTTTCATAAAGTTATAAAAAAAAGGCTTTGATAAGTATAATGTTTTGCTCTTAAATTTTAGCATATTATACCCTCTCTCCCTGAAAGAAGAGTTATACAAAGTGTATTCTGCGGAATAAATCATTTCTGTAACTCCCTTAGCTTGTAAGTGCGTCAAAGACGCTTGGTAGTCGTGGTAAGATTAATAAGTATTGTTTTATTAAAAATATTTAATCGTCAATCAATTATGTAATATTATGCTATTGTTTTCATTCTAAATTATAAACTAATTTGATTTGTTTTTGAACTACGGCTTATTATTTATTATAAAATGTGCTATATATTTTTATACTAAGAAAAATGAAATGGAAGCCAAAACTATGTAAATTGATCTCAATGGCAAAATTTGAATTTGATTCGTTAATGTGTTTTGTCAGTTCAGATCTATATTGTATCATGCGACGTACAGAGATTTAGTAATGTTGCAATCAAATTGTAAAAATCTACGTCCTGAAATCGTATGGGCATATTCTTTAGCTCTGTATTCCACGTAAAAGAAAATGTTACCATAAATTGGTTTTTAGTGAAGTAGAAATGTAAGAAGTCAGTTAGGGGCAATATGTATGATCTCTAAAAATGACCGTGCATATACATAAATACGTCGTTTTAACGTGACATCACTTGTAATATTTATATCTCCCGGCGTATCGTCTAATTTGATGTCTTCATAAAATACTTTTCCTTTCTCGAAATCCATGCTTGGCATTTTTGACAGTAAAATCGTTGTATGAAAGCCAATCTGACTTTTTGTTTACTTGTATGTAATATAATACTAAATAGTATAATATATATTACACGGTTTAACGAAACAAGGTTAGACACAAGATTAGACGATAGGCCATACTAAGAATGGTGTTGCGAAAACATCCTAATTTTAACCATTCTTTCTTAAGACGAATAAGCAAATTCGATTTTGTGAGGAATTTACACATACATTACTTGTTATTGAATGTAAAATAAATATAGCAATATGATAAAATCAGCAGAATTGTGAGAGACACGTTTAGCTTGTAATGTCGACTGAAGATCATGATCTCTAACACATTTTGATCTCAATGATTATTTATATAAGTACAATTCAAAATCGATTGAATTTCACTGTACTAATAATTTTAAATAAATGAATTCATCTTTTCGAAATGCGATTTAGAAACTGCTCAATACCGTAACTATTCTCGGTGGTTGAAAGAATATAAAGTAGCGGAACATAATAGATACCCAGTGCGACGCCTAAAATAATTACAAGGCGTTGGGAATGTTTTCGACGTTTGTATTTCTTAATAGTATGACTAGTTTATTCTTATTATGATTTGAAATGCATTTTTATTGATGTGAGCTAATGTTTAACATGTCTGTTCAGTGGTTTAGTATATATTAAATCGTTTGCTTTGGTTATTCAATTCACAATGTGGAAATAACTTCTGTGAAAACCTATATTTTATATATACTAAATAGTATTAAAGTCCAATACCCATATTCGATACGATTTACTAATGTTGTTAAATGTACGACTTGGCATGTCATGGCCAATTTTAACTTAGACATTATACCCTTCGCAAGAATAAAATGAAATACTTATCAAGAAAACTATTTTTATTCGTTGAGCAGCGAATAATATTAAGTTTAATAAATTGTAACTACGTTGGACGTTTTGGGTGCTCTTCAGCTGGTCTGAAAGGTATCCGTAGTTGGTAAGGTAATGGTACCTCAAATGCAATAATATCCCTGATAATTTTTACTCTCGTGATTGTCAAGCCTTAAGTGAACTTAGGTCTTTTTTGCTACTTTTGTGAAGTTAAACTTTTGAGCATGAAATAAATTGTGTTAAGATCGCCGTCTGTTTTATTTGCACACAATATAATGTTCGTTATATCGAGATGTATGGAAAAGGCGAAACAATATTGGGTGCACGCCAATGTCGGTTGCTTTCAATGAAAGTTCAGGGTCGGATTTAAATATAATATTTTTTAGTCTAAGCGAGGTTTTTTTTTGTTCATTTGTATGTCGTTTTGATTTTCACATATACCAATTGAAAAACAAATCTGAACTGAAAAAAATCAGTATGGGGTCGACATCAAAGTTAAGATTGAAACAGGCGTTTACCAAAGCCAATATAATTCGACAGTGCAACTTTTTTAGATGCTTCCTACCATCAACTGAAACCCAATGATTGTCTGTCCTTCTCTATCATTAAAAAAATCTCATCATTGCCGTTCCTTCTTAATCATATTGGTGAGCCAATTCACGGGCAAATAAAAGTACAAAATCTTCACAAAATTTCGCATTAATAATAGAACTATATCTTAAAAAAAAATACTCCGCTTCCCATCCGATCTCACCATTTCGTACAGTCGATCACTCGTCTCACCGATCGCACTACGTCAAGGAGTTTCTTCTCAGTTCAGTGTCAATGCTAAGAATAACTACTTTTTCTATTAGTTCGCGATAATTAAACGAAACTAACTGAGGGCTAATGCTTAGTTATTATAATTGAAAATGGAAGATACATTCGTCACCTCAGTTCTGGATTTGTATCAAAAGGGCGATTGGAAAAATATTGTGGAAACCTATAATAAGTACCCGGGGAGGAACAAGCTGCTCTGGGTCTTCCCTAGCGAAGAAAATTTTGTTTTTATCAGAAAAACTTTAAAAATGCTTTCATGTGATCGCGTACTTAGTATTGGATGTGGCAGCGGACTTCTAGAATGGATGATTTTTAAAGCAACAGGTAAGAAAATATCTTGGATTTTAATATCATTGTATTAAAAATAACACCAAGTACTTACCTTCGTATCTTATGTCAAAGAATTAGAGGTAATTTTTGCCTTTTATTTTATGCCCTATGCCTTTTTATACAATTTAAAGACGTACAGCAAAAATATAAACTTAATTATGATTAATTTTTCAGATATTCCTGTATCGGGGATAGAAGTAGATGGAACATGGTGGAAGTGTAAATATGCCCCGCCCACATTTATTGACCTCTTTATCACTTCGCCCGAGTTAGACAAGGACAAAACCACGATTCGTGTCCTAACCAACTGCAATAAAACTGCCATACTCTTTTGTTATTTCAACGATGGTGTTGCGTTTAAGAGTTATTTGAAATATTTTTCTGGCACAGTTTTGATTATAATTGGTCCAAATAAAGAGGGCGTGCATACCAGTCCTAAGCCTTTCGGAGATGTTAGCGAAGAATGGACATTATACGCTTCGCAAGAAGTACGCGATAGTTCTGATTTTATTGCTATTTATTGTAAAAGTGATAAGTAATCAATATATAGGCTTAAATATGTTATTACATTATATTAAGTATGAGACGAACACGGTCGATAAAAAAATATAACAGCCTTTATTATTCTTTATACCTAGAGATAAGTACTTATATCATACATCGCATACAAAAACAATCAATTTTTCATTAGTTCTATATTCTTAACGTTTATTTTATTTGTCGACGGTCGAACTGACGTGTTCATCATTGGATCCTTCTTCCCTTGAATGTAGTTTGGAAAATCTGCGTTAACTTCGTTTGGCATATCTAAGCTCTCTTTCTGACTGACGAGGGGCACTTCAGCGACCATCCTGTTAATGTCATTCATTTCCGAACTATTGTTAGGTTGGATATCGTTCTCCAAGAAGTGAAAGTCGTGCATCAAGTAGAACGGTTCTAGAGGAAAGTTCACATCGTACCGCGGCAATAGTTTGTTATCATCAGAATTATCATCTATCTCAATGACGTCATTCTGGTCTGGTAATTCCGGTATGACCATGGTAGACAGATCTAAATGCCCAGAATACTCCGGTATCAAATTGTCTATCAAGTACTGATCTAAGGGCGGATTAGTCGCAGCGTTATTTAACGGTATATTGTAAAACGCGTCAGATTTAACTTCATTCTTGATTTCGCTCATGTTCTTATGTATATCTTCTAACGGGGGCGAGGCTTTATATTCTCTACTTAAACCTGGATTGTTCATCAAATTTGCATTGCACATGCGTTCTAGGCTCGGCGACTGCGTGTTTTGTTTTATTGTCGCCTCTAATTTAATATAACTTGGATCATTCGTTTGTACCTTCTGAATTGGTGGAAGCATCGTCATTGAATTTACGTTCATCTGTTGATTAAAGGAGAATATTTGAGGATCATTCGATATGTCGCTCTCTACTGGCGTCGTCACTGTATCCAGCATGTTCTCTTGGGCATAGTTCATTATGTTATTAGGCGAATCGCTTAACGCCGGTTCGGGTGGGAGCTGCATGAACTGTGTTGTTATCAAATTGTTGAACGTCACCGGGCCACCTAAGCCATACCGTGCGTTATCCTCCAACTGTTTGAAGGCCATTTTCTGTTGCGAATGAAACATATTCACTTGATCCGGCCCTTTGAGTATTAAATTGCTTTTCACTGATATTTTTGGTTTCTTACGTGGAGCACCGTCATTGTCATTATCGCTTGAGATATTAACAGGGGAATGGCTAGATGCTGGAACGGGAAGTTTCTGCGTTGGCGTTATAATAGGGCCGCTGACTTTTGTCATCGGTAGGGATATCTTATCTGCAGGTTTCAGGGTTATATTATTGAGCATGGAAACGGGCACAGGAGGTAAGCGGATAGGAAAGTTGGCCATTATATTATTGCTGATGCTGTTAGATATGGCCGAGTGATTGGAGGCAAGCAAATCGACACTTCCAGTTTGGCGTAAGCTCTGCTCCATTGAGAGTGTGTTGTTTAGATAATGAAGATTTGATTGTGGCTTATCATATGACATTTGTAGCGGATGTTGTGAATTGTATTGATGCCGATCAATAAGTGGAACATTTGAACTATCACAAATTAAATAATCGGAATTATTGTCGTCTTTACTCAAATCGGTGACAATATCTTGGTTGCTATAATTCGATGGTGTTTCACTATTTGATGATGTTATACAATAGTTCTTGGGATATTCCTGCGGCGTAGTATCCGGAAGACTGTCGCAGTCGAAGACTTCATAAGGGATTGGATTAACCGTTTTAGGGCTGGAATCTTTGCTTTCACTAGCCTTGCTCGTCTGCACGCTGTTAGATTCTTCTTTTGCACTGGGTATAGTCCAACATTTGCTATTTTCTTTCGTCATATCTACTAATTGCACCTCATTGTTTTCGCTTTCAAGTTTATCAGCGTGCTGGGTACTAAGGTGTACCGAGTATTTATCTTTATTGACAGTTTTGAATTGACAAAAGGCACAGCAGTGAACATCGTCTGAGTTGTCTGGGTGTTTCGAGAGCACGTGGAACGCGAAGACAGTGGATTGTATGGCAGTGTATGGACAATATTTACATTTGTATGTGCCCTCTTTTGTATGTCCTTGTTTGTGTCGGCGTAGTGCGTTTCTATCGCCTGACCGATAGGAGCATTCATCACATGCGTAAGGCTTATCCCCTGTAAATGTTTAGAGGTGTTGATTAACATATTAATTTTACGAGTGGTTAAAACAGCAAGGTGTTAGAACTGTTGCACACAGTAACTGTACAATTAATGCCCACTAAATAATCTTTCCAACTTTAACTTTAAGATATTTGTTCAGCTATCCTAATTTTAAATTTGTAAAGATCTTTTTGGCAGCAATATAAAGTATTCTCGTAAATAAAACACTTAACGGTTTAAAATGCCAAATATATTTGAAAACTTTATTATTTTTTACATGTTATTGCACATGAAGGCACTATATAATTTAAAAATTGAAAATAAATTGAAAAATTTTTTGACTCGGGCAGGACTTGTACCGGCATTGTCAGCGTTCCGTGCTGTTGCTCTACCAATTGAGCCACCGAGTCCGAGGACTCGACTTGCTAGTTCAGCTTATTGAAAAGTTTATAGTGGTATATTTCGCGTTTTAAGCCATTAAAAGTGTTTTATTTAAATCTGTTGTAACTACTTGCGTAAGCTACAGACACTATCTAATCGTTGGTCTTTCTTACCTGTATGAGACCTTATGTGTAATTTGAGCACCTCCCTCCGCGCACATGTGTAGTCACAATGACTACATTTAAATGGTTTCAGCTTGTTGTGGACTGTGTCAATGTGCTCCCTCAATGTCCTTTGGTTTGTCAATTCTATCTTACAGATATTGCAGGCTGTCGCATTATCCTTTTTGTGTATCATCATATGCTTGGATAGTTGATTGGAATTTTTAAATGCCTTCTGACACACTGAACCTGATAAAAACATTTTGAAATAAAAATCCATATCAATTTATAAGGTTTCCCATGCAATTGATGGTAGGAAATAAAAATTGTAATTATAAGTAAGAACATTCATTATTGTAAGTTTAAAGTGTAGCATCCAAAATAAAGGCTTTATCATTCATATCTTAACCCAAAAATTCTCTCCAAGGAGGAAATGAGTGAAATGGTCAGCTGATGGTGTGGACTGATCACCTGGCCTTTTAAAGGTATCCCCGATAGATAACAAAAATAAAATAGGTATGTATGAGAAGCAAACTGGTTGAGAAAGTCTTATACAAATTATGAACTTCAGGCAGGAAGAAAAACTTACATGAATATTCTCTTAATTTCCTATGACATTTCATATGTATATTCAACAATCTATGCCTCTTAAATGTTTTGTAACCGCAAATATCACAGCTAGGTAGCTCTAAATCTACAGAATGTGTTTTCCATAAATGTGTATGTAACTGTTCAGCTGTTAATAGAACAATTCCACACTCAGGACATTTCAATTGGCCATTTTGATGGCACTTTTTGTGATATGCTAATATGTTTGTGTCTTTTAGCCGTATATGACATTTGTTGATTGAGCACAATGTTCCCAGGGTCTCTCTATCAGTATTTCTTGGTTTATATTTGTATGGTTTTAAGGTATCAGTGGATGATTCTTGTTTAGGTGAATCAGTTATCTTTGTACAATGTATAGATGATATTAGATCCGGAGGCACACTAGATACTTGGATGACATTACATGACGCCGTGGAGGTACTAGGCTTAGAGACCTTTACAAATTGTGTGGCTACATCTTCTGTATATACAATGTTTATACTAGCTTCCTGTATGACTTCTTTAGGGTCTATTTTCTCAAAATTAGGTGTGCTCATTTTGTTTAACTCTTCCACAGATATGAATGCAACACCTTTAGGCAACTGCTCACTGCTAGTACTAGAGACATCTGGTACAATTTCTATGACCTGTGGTATTTTGACTGTATTCTGTGCAGTGGGTGGCCCTGACCCTGTCGGAGGTACATCCTTTTTTAGTTTAGCATTTTTCAAGGCAATTTGTACTAAACTTTTTACCATCTTCTTAACATCTTTTATTCCCATTTTGTGATGGTTACGGAGGTGTAATCTTAGTGATTCTTCTGCATCAAAATGACTTGTGCACCCAGGGCAGTTTATTTGTATGTTATCAGCCAGACCATTGCTCTTAGCTAAATCGGGGTGTACAGTGAATAAATGGAACTTTATGTCGTCTTCAGCTAGAGCCATGTATGGACAGGCCTCGCATTTGAAGAATGGCGTGGAACCCACTGATTTTTCCTGGTAGGACATCACCTTTTCTTTTTGCACTGGCTTCTCTTCGTCTTGATTTGGAACTACTACTGCATTCATAATAAAACATTGCGAGGACATATTTTCTACACGTACATGAAATTTAATAGTAACATTACATTTATATAAACGATTTTTAATTACTACCAAGTTCCATTAAAAACAGATGAAAACAAATTTGAAAGTTGACGTACCACTGTCTAAACCTAGTGTTGTGTCAAGTTCAGCAGTGATAATAACAACACAGATAGTTAAGATGAGGTTACTTCATTATTTAAGTCAGAATTATTATCCTACTTTTATCTTAGGGTTTGGACGTGCGTGTCTCCTAAACATTGACATTGACGTTTACTTATTGCCGAATACGTTTACAAAACGATACCAACAATTTTCTACCGGTGTTTTCTTGTTGTAACTATAACAAAATGAGTGTAAGTAATGTGAAATGAATGGAATATTGTTAATCTAAACTTCTTTTAGTGATCATTTCATTGTATTCCAGTTGGAAATTGAATCGATGGTGCGCCATGTATCTCCAATCAACCCAGCGGTGTTTCCCCATTTAACTCTTCTTTTGTTGAGCATTGGGATTTTCTTCACAGCGTGGTTCTTCGTATACGAAGTGACGAGTACCAAAAGCTCAAGGGATCTATTCAAAGAGCTTCTGCTATCACTCGTAGCATCATTGTTCTCGGGATTTGGTATTCTCTTCTTGCTGTTATGGGTGGGCATTTACGTCTAATAGTGAGCTAGGTGCATTTATTTACGGTACTATGTAAATCTGTATTTTTATAAGTTTAATTAAATGTTATTTTAAAATGATTCTTAAACATTTAATGCCTAACCTCCAAATTATCTATATACATTATGTAGTCTTAGTTAAAACTTTGAGTAATTACTGCTTGTAAATGTTTTATTGGACTGAGACATTGAATGAACAAAACCTTGGGAGTTGGAAGCACAATCTTATTCTGCTGTAGACATTACTTCATAATAATGATTTCAAAGTAAAAGGAATGAAAATCATGTGTTATTTGTGCACTAAGATAGTAACATTAAAACAAATACTTATACCAAAACAATTATTTTTAATTAGGTACTTTCACTAAAAACCCTTTCCTGTTTCCTTCGAAATTCTTCATCCAAAACTACTGTCTCATGCATTCTCTTGGATGCTAATGTTTCCACTCTCTCTCTGATCATTTTGTTTGACATTATGTATTGACTGGATAATAAACAATTAATGGGAATGAAACGGATTATAATAAGTATTTCTTTAAACTCTCATTGGAATAATTATGAACGAATTTAATTTTATATAGAAAAAAATAATTTTCAAATGAATATATTCTTATGTCATTATTTTGATTTTGATCAGTTGTATAGAATTGGGGTTATAGATTGTTCCTGGTATTCAAATTACAAAAACTCTGCAATAAGCTTTATTTAATTACCGAAAGTGTATGGTATCCAAACGATAAAGGTGGGTGATCTCAACAGCAACCACTGTTGCTATTCTTTTAGAATCCTTCATCAGTAATGCAACTGTTCCAAAATGGTCCCCATCTTCCAGGTGGGCTACCTGAGATTTATATTTAACGAATTTAAGCAAATTTTACTATACAAGACTCCTTTGTTTAATGGTTATTTGTGTATATATGTTGTTAGTTGTGTCCTATGAAAGAATATCACTTCCTAGGAACTTATTCGCCCTAAATATCTTTAAATTACCATCTATCTCTCAGGTAGAGCAAAACTTTCACACAGTAACGTCAAACTAGAAACTAGAGAATACCTCTGCTCCTTTCAAGGTATAAACAGCAACAGTCCCATACGCAATAAAATATACACAATCTCCGATATCGCCGGCACGAACGATCAAGTCGTTAGCTAAATATTGTTCTGGTTTGAGGTAGCTCATGAGTTCTCCCATCATGTTAGCAGGTAGGCCCTTCAAGAGCTTTACTTTTTGAATGAATTTGTTGCATGTGTGCATTACAATTTCGTGTCGTAATTGATCTGAAAAATACGCCGTAACAAAAATTAAAGGACGTTGTCTGCTTCTGTTTTGCGTGTAGGAGTTGAGTTGGGTTGGTTGGGACACTTGCTCTCAGATGAAGCGCAACAATTTGTGCTAGAACCAAAATTCAACGATTGTTATTTAACAAGCACATTTTACCAGAGGGTTAGATTAAGACAACCCCAATCCCAGCTATGGGTCTAAATTAAACCGCTGATAAATGAATAATAAGAAATTTGCGCCTTATTTGTATACAATTCATTCGCAAGAACACAACAAAATACCTGATAGACAGTCCAACACGGCTTCTTCTTTGTAATATGCTTTTTGATATTTATATTTATAAAAAGTTTTAACGCGATTCTTTAGTGGTCTTGGAAACTGCTTTTGTTGCATGTATGCCTTGAAACATTAAAAGTTGTTTATGATTTCTTAGTGTAGACTTTCAAGTAATGGGAGTCACTTACTTCCACTTGATTCATCAAGCCATTGTACCGCATTGTCGAATTATACATAGTCATGTATATCTTTAATAGGAAAACTGAAATGAAGTAGATTTAACTGAAGAGTAGGTTAGGCTCTCACCGCCTCCCTGGCTCAATGGTAGAACCAATTGTATGAACTGCATTGTATGAAATGCAATTGGTTTTACAATACATAACAATGAATAAATCGTTTTGTTAAAACATAACCTTCAATAATACTATGACTCATCGATATAAAATAAAAAAATATACTTATCTTTAAGAAATAAACGTGAACGTTGTTTTATACGCCATTCGAATCTCGGGGAAAGATTTTACGGCCTAAAGCAGATCTACAATATTCGTCCAGCTCCGATTATAGACATACAAAAACAATTTTAATACCCACCAATTGTATAAACCATGAACATCGAGGTATACAATATGATCAACGAATGTATCACGAATTCTTCGGGATTGTTGACTTTATATGTTGAGAATCCAGTACCTAATAACATGATTATGGTTGATAATTAATACTGGTATATAATAAATACTGTTTGGACATTTTGGATCGTCTGTGTTCTACTCTCTATAGACTCTACTTTTGTCCTAAACATTATGCACTCAAATTTACCGAAAAAAGTAGACAGACACACGAAAAGTGCCTGCAAATATCTGTCGCCGACAGAAAAGTTTGTTATATCTCCGTCCCACGACTTAAGAAATGTGTTGTAGCCTTTTGGTACGTGGCCTGTCCCTGATAACAAGCATAGATATGAATAAAAATCATGAATATTAAACGCAAATCATAATAAAGAAGCTGAATATTGGTTGCCAGTTTTAATGAACCCTTCAAAAACTCTAGTCTCGCAAGGATCTAGTACTTTTAACACGGAATAAATTTCCCTAAAGAGTTAAATTTCCCACGTGCGAGGTATGAAAGCGTTTTAGTGTAGATTCTCTAGTAGTACAAATATTAATTCAACTTACAATAATAAGTCAATATTGCTGGCGTGTAAATAAAACAGGTAGACCAGTGCATGGACATTGCAAACAATATAAAATGTCGTATTGTACGGTGCCATACAAATGATCTCGTGAATATCTAAAACCATACCAATTTCTGATAACTGAAACATATCGTAGAGAAAGCAATATCCCAACTGATCCAAGCTCAATTTTACAAGTGTTCTTTGTACTTTCCGCTAATACTACACATAAAATAATTAATGGTTCAAAACATGAAATACTGTCTATAGTTTACGCGAGTAGTACACATTTAAATAAAACTCTTTATCGGTTTAAAACGCACTGCTGCTGCAAAGCATCCGAAACGTCCGGCCGAAGTTAAAAATTGTTTTCAAATAAGTTTAACTAATACATCGTGTTTTAAACCGTTAAAATATGTTTTATTTAAACATGAAATATGTTATTCAATTTTTTTAACTACGACCCGGCCTGACTACGCTTGCTTCAGAGTATACAAAATATAGGGCCGAATTTAAAATAACTTAACGCTTCTAAATTCAGGACCGACTAGCATTTATCTAGGATGGCTATCTAAAACCGTTTTCAGTTCAGCTGTATACAGATACACGTTTTTTCTTTCAAGAGCCATCAAGTACCTTAAGAGTGGCGTGGAAATTATTGATAGTGGATCGCAGCCGCAATATCCTCAGTAGGGGAAGCAAGTGCGCCAACAAGTGCCATCTATAGTTTTGCTGTCCGCTCATCAGCATCATGAACGACATGGGAACAGATGACACAAAGTCGATCCAGAACCAAAAGCGGAGGTAGCGACTGAAAATTGGACCACTAATCTGTGTTTGTTATTTCTTTAGAGGATAACGCAGTACAGTCACAATCATTCACACCTGACATTCTGTGTTAAAATATTTTTGCAGAGAACTGTTTGCACTAACATGATCATAGACCACTCGCCGATGCGAACGGCGACGCGTCTTGCGACTGAAATGTAAAGCTATTTACCTATGGCGAGCAAAACAAATCATACAATAGTTAGCATGGTCGCTTCGTGCTTGGCGTGCTCAAATATTGTGGCGCTGAGCTAGTGGAAGCAAAATGTACACTTTATTAATCTTGTTAAAACCCACCAAGCTATCTGTCTCCTTTCCAACACAACGTTAGTAAGACTGTCTTGCGGAAACCCAGTGTTGAAACACGTAGCAACATCTAGCAAGGATATTAAATGGAGACATAGCATCACAAAATCTATGTTGTGCAGGCGTAACGGGTTTGGATAGTCTATTATGTAGCACAGACGGAATGTGGAACAGCACATGTGCAGGATGTTTATAGTGGTTGTGATGCTGTTCCAGTAGAGGCTGTAAAGAAATAATGTAAGATAAGGGTAGTGAGTGAGCAGTAGTGATTCTGTGCTTATAGGTTTTATGACAGAGGACAACAAATAAAGAATGCTTGGTTGAAAGTTATGTCAAATAAACCTGCTATATATAACCACCTATGGCCGTCAAACTTTGGGCTTTCGTTCATCTAATGGTAGTGGTGAACTGCGCTAGACCGCGCCCCGTCGTTCTTGTGAGTTATCTTAAGATAAGATGAAAAATTCCCCCGTCTGCTACATTTTCATCCTATTGATCGCAGCCTGCTTTTTGTAACTTAAAACCTTCCTTGATAAGTAGTTTAACTGACAAAAAAATGTTTTATTAGCTAGTTCCTGAGATTAGCATATTTAAACGAACAAACTCGTCAGCTTCATTCATTAATGTTAGTATAGATTCCTGGAGTAACACTCGTACAATTCACGTCAGTCTCTAGTAAAAAACAAATGGCAACCTTATTAGACTCAAAGGATGTATCACATAGACTCCCCCTTCGAACAGTTGCCTCTGTTGCTCTGCAATCACTGCAGAGTAACTTCTGTAGTGGTCGAAGGTGTCGGGATGGTCTTGAGATATGAGGCAGCCGTTACGAACGAATTGTTTTACGTTGAACTGTAAACTTCGTCTTTTTTGGGCCGTGTTATTTATATCTGTAAGGTAGAAACGTAAAAAAATTCGACTCAACTTTACATACATTCGATTTTGATGGTGGAGAAGGGTGGAGCGAGAGGGATGTATGATATTCCCCCCCTTTAAGGAGAAGATGCAATTGCTCATCGTTTTTTTTTTCAATTAATTTTTGAAAATTTTGAGGTTACGACACATTTTTCAATATATTGTATACATTTTGAGAAAAGGGAGTTAGGCGATAGAATGGGGGGATGTTAGAGAAGGGTAAGATTCCCCACTTGTAGAGGGGGATGCAAATCCTCATAGATTTTTTATTATGAATTTCTTGCGAAACTTCTGTACTTTTGTATTCTGTGCCCTACTCTTTCGAAATAATCATTGTATCCTTGTGTTCAAACTAAAGTATAAAACTCACGCAATCCAATAACAATGCGTTAAATATTAAACTATGTCTGTTAATATTTAACGTATTTTAATAAACAAAATTCATACCCAGGCCTAAAGTACACTTATGATATTTCAACATTTCAGCAAAAGTAGACTCTTCTTATAATTCTGAAAAAGTACTTAAATATATTGTTCAATAATACTCTGACATTAAGAAGTGTAAGTAATGAAAGACATATTATGTCAAATTATCCAAAAGGTATGTGGTAGGGTATAAAGAACTGTTCGTTATTATCTATTAAATAAAAAACTTATTTTAAGTATTTTTATTTAGATGTTTACATTCCAATCTAAACTTGTTTTAGAGATATGATAATTTGCACTGTATTTACAGACATACGTAGAAATTACTGTAGGATAAAAAACGAGCAATATTTTTTGTGTTTATTCACAAGATATATTACAATATTTACATACAAATATAATAAAAATAGGTTTGCATGTGTCTTATTCACTTTTGAAACTATTTTAAACATCGAATTATTTATAAGAACAAAAATGTAAAAAACTGTTTAATATGACACCATTTTATTGATACGCGAAAATTTAACCGAAAATTACTTTTAATTTTTATTATTAAGATAAGTATACAAATTAATTCAATATCTGTGATCTTGTGAAATTCTATTTAAGGCGTATATGTTAATAATATGTAATTATTAATAAAATACTTCTATATCGGTTATTATTGTTTAAAATAAAATTATCTTCCAAATTTTCTATTAGCGAATTCTGCACTGAATGGCGTAGGGTTGAAACCGAAGTTGTTGTTGTGTGTCGAGACCTTGTCAGTCTGGAAAATGAAAATTACGTATAATTGTCGTAGGCTATAGAAGGTCAAAGCATAGTCTACAAAACACTTGCTCTAATAGATAATAGCAGTGAGAGCGGTTAACTCAATTGTGAGTTCGGAAGTTTGATTCCCGAATGTTCACCACGACTATCTTATGATAGAAAAGTCTAAAGCACTATTATGTCATGTAAAGCATTATTTCACACTTCTTTATGATAGAGAAGGATAGATAACCATGAGATTCACTTCATGGATGGTGAAATACTTCAGCCATATGACTTCTTACAAGCTGCGATGTCGACCTATGTTGACTTAAGATCGATCGAATCGCGATTTCTTCACGACTTATTTGCGGTGGTTCTGGGACCCGGTCGGAATTTCGATATTCCTACCATTCTTTTAATATCCAGATTTTCAGACGAATTTTGCCATAAATCGCTAGCATTAGACCAACGAGTCCGTACCGAAGACCCCAGGTTTTCTCAGATAGATTATAATAAAAATACCTCGTCTCCAAATACGATTCCTCTAGCGGAATTGGTGTCCGCCGGCGGGAAGTAATCTGTGCGAAATTGTGGAAGATCTTCGATGCCGATTAGGTCTGAATCGCCAGAATCCTCACTGTTAACATAACACATACATATTAGATAGCCCATAAATAACTAGAATTGGAATTAGAAAGTTTTCTGTCAAATCTCGGGTCCCGTAGCAACAACAAAGTGCTCTGTGTTATTCGTCATGTACACGTAAAAATATAAATGTGTATGCAACAATATTTTTAATATTATAATTATAATATAATTTGAGAACACTTGTTGGACTGGTTGGTTTTGACGGAAATTGGCAGTTGACGGTTTTAACCGTTTGAAACGAGGAGTATATATAAGTTAACTTATGAATACGTGTTTATTTATATGATTACTAAAGTACAGACATTAAATATAGGTTTAAGTTTGGTGAAATCCCTATGCCCTACGGGGTAAGGGGTGAACACATTTTTGTGTCCGTTTCACTGATCGTTTTTTTTACAGGCAAGTAGTTATCAGATTTCAGTGCCCTATCCGGCTGAAATAAATTGTTTCCTGGCATTCGAACCCAGGACCTGTTGCGCTCAACGAAATACAACCTTTGGCTACAGAGGTGCTAACGTTTAGTGTAGAAAACATTTGATAGTCCAATTTGATTTTTTTTTTAATTTATCTCTCTTATTAGTTGAATTGTATATGTACCGAATATGACTACCCTTACCTGATGGCATCAAAGTCTGGAGCCCGGATGGCTGCGTTCCAAATTGGGTTAGAACCCTCAGCAGCGTGCTTATTAGTTCCAGGGGCGGCGAGGCCCAGGCGGTTCAGACCTGAATCTTGCGAGCCGTATTTCGTCATGGACAACGCTTTAAGTTGGCGATTTAAACTGCGTCAGAATATTAACCATATTAATCCAATAAAAAAAGGAATCAAGAAAATCTTAGTAACCCATACTAATATTAAAAAGCTGAAGAGTTTGTTTGTTTCAACGCGCTATTCTCTGGAACTGCTGGTTCAAATTGAATTCTTTTTGTACCGGATAGACCATTTATCAAGGAAGGCTTTAGACTATATAACATGTAACATATTTCTTTTTAAACTTTATTAATAAAACCACAATAATTATAAAAACTTATAAACTACTTATAAATAATACCTTATAAACAGCGGTTTTTCCAAAACAAATTGAAACAGACAACAAGAAAGAAAGAGTTGGAAGATATAAACAAAGAAAGCATTTAAAATGAAAGATAAAATTTACTATAACGATGCGACCAATAGGAGCAAAGTAAATGTGGGATCAATGGAGCAATTAAGCTGCTAGCGGCAGAGTGGCCTAATAACAAAAAAATAATTTCAATAAGGCGGAAAAATTAATTTGTACTATTATTTGTGGTAACAATTTTCGGTCACTGTGCATTAACATTTTTAGACTATAAAAATATATACATGGCATAAAATTGCAGTTGCTACTCTGCCTCTAGCGGCCTAAATTCATCTTTGTCGGCTCCCGTGTGAAGGTTCAAGAAACCGAAAAATATGAAAGTAGTACTTACGCTCTGGTCTTCACGATAAATGTGATCAGCAGTATAATGCACATCAAGGTCAAAATCGCTGCAAGACTTCCCAGTACATACAGCAGGATTAGACTGGTGTTGGCTTTAACAGTTGGACTGTCACCAGTCACTAAGTCTTGAAGGTAAAGACGCTCAGTGTTCAGAATCCTCTGGATTGACCCTAGCAGCTGCGAGTCACTGCGAAGCCTGTAAAAGGGACTCTTTAGTTTTTGCTGAGATCTACATAATACCACGAGCAGCGGGTAAATTTTAGTCTAAAGGTATCAACGCATAATACCTATTGACTTACGTATGTTCGCTGCTAAAACGTGGACCTTTCTCTTCGTCTAGCTCTAGCTACGAATGCCGAGTCATAGTTTAAAGTCCGAAATATTTTTTTAAATTTTCATTATAATGTGCAAATGTCCTGGTCATTGATAAAGCTTACATCTTTTACGCGCAGAACACAACAACTGGGTGTTCACCTTCAATATCAACACTGTTACATTTAGACGGGTTCTTTGGTCGAAATCGAAATATAACGAACCGTGGGTTCGATTCCCACAGGTTTCTAAGCAATTTATAATTTTTCTGAAACATGTTGGACTGCGTTTGGAAAACTGGATATTAATTAGGCGGTAGGAATATTCCTACCACCCAGTTAATATCCAGTTTTTATCTCTAGTCACATGACCAATGATAAAAAACTGTGAAGTTTAATCGCGCTTCGGTTTCAGTTTGTAGATTTCCGAATATACGTTGACAGCAGTTGTAACATTATATGGCTGGGGTATTTCTTCCATCAAGTAAACTTCATGCTTGTCTGTCCTCCACTATCATAAAAAGAACTATCACCACTCACTTCTCAATAACCTCGACGGAAACAGGCACGTTATCTTGGATGAAGTGTGCCCTGACTTCGGTGACGTCACTGCGAGCGACACCATTGTCATCTGTCGCCGGAATGACTTGGTCCACGTTGCAGGTCATCGCGAACGACGAGCTAAATGTAGATTCAATCTAAGGAAAGATAACGTGTAAAAGGTTCGCTGCAATTACGATAAATAAATTGGTAGAACGAACTGACAAAAGTTTTTTTTAATTGCAAAAGAGTTAATGTTTGGTTGTGCCTCATGGTGTTAAATAAAAAAAAACAGCCTACATTGTAAATTCTTGTTGTATCTTAAATACTCACAAACTGCGTCCTTCCTTCAATTTCCTCCAGTGTGTTCATGAACATGAAGAACACTCTGTTCTGCGAGGAAATTAAGTAGATTTTGACTTGTGCTGTATCCGTTGCATCGGCTGAAATTTCAATGATAAAATTTGATTCACATACGAAGTATACTTCCGCCCGAATAGGTAAAAATCCCCTAAGGGGTTAGTAAATCCGCAAAATTACCTATTTCTAAGGCTACATTCTAAGATTACTATATATATTATGTACTTATTGTCGCCGACCCTATAAGTCTATCTTTTAAGAACGACCTGACGCGACTCACTGCTAGTGTGTACATAAAATCTGCTTGCTTTTAGTATCATTTGATTTATTGCCCCAAATATCTTACCGGAATCAGTAGCAACAACGTTGAACTCAAACATGCCGTGCATGCTAGCCGTAGGTTGTATAGTGAGCGTGAGAACGCCAGTCTGTGGATGCAGTTGGAATGCCGAGTTCTTTACAGCTTCAAGACTTGGATCCACGACCATTGATGACATGTCTATTGTATATGTTATAGCTGCATTCTCAGAGTGAACAGCCTGGAAAATGGGGGGGGGGGATGTGAAACATAATAAGCTAAACTTATTTAAATGTTTATTATGTCAAAGGCTGTAGACTTGCAAAACTAAACACAATTGGCATTAAAAATTCTAGGGGCTATAGCTTCTAGGGGTATACAAATAAAAAAAATATCAAACTATATATTTACCAAAACAGTCAAAATAACTCTGTTGATGGTGTCTCTAGTCGAAATGCCTTGAGTATAAAGGTCTCGGTCGAAAGTTGGTCTCGGATTAGCTTCCCTTACCTAAAGAGATAATGAGACTTTATTAGCTGCTACTCATTGTTAGTAGAGTGCTTTTACTACGCTATAATACGCTATATATTACTTTTTGAGAAGGACTTCCCAATATAATTCTTTGGTATTATCATCATGAATCATTCAATCATAGAATGTCAAGAAGTTGCGCTGTCGCCCTATTAAAGTTCACAGCCTTTTTAAATGGACGGTGCTTCGTGATCCTGAGTTTCAATATTTCTACCACCCAGCCTTACCAGACGAAGACCGTCATTATTAATTGTTTAGAATCATTTTGGATTCGGTACAGACGAGTACGTTAAAGCCGTTATTGTAATAAATAACGTAATATAAATTATACCCGACGACTGAAAAGTCAAAGCAATAATCAATAAATATTAAGCCTAATCCTCTGGGTGTAGGAAAGTGAATTTCACATTTCACTTGGGTGATGCATTTGGTTAGTCGTAGTAGATGTAGATGAAGTTGGTAAGTCTTACTAGGTGTCAAATATGTAAATCTCACCTCAATATTGACAGTCAGAATGGAGGCTGGTAAAGGAGTAACAGCGCTCTCAGAATTACTGGCAGATACCCTGATCGTATGGGAATTAGCTGCAGTGCGATTTAACGGTTTCGCTAGCTGTAAGATGTTCTGAGTCCCATCGAGGTTGAAGAAACCGTTCTCGTTACCATCTATTAAGAAAAAAGGCAATTGCAACAAAACTGCTTCGAATAATGAGGCCCCTAGAGGCGTAACTACAAATTATGACGTGTCTTCTTTATATTTCTATAGTCTAAAAAAGTTAATCCAACCTTGTTTCATGTGTAGAAAGAATATTAATGGACTCAGGTGTGCTGCAGTTTTCTTAGGTTCATAGGATCTCAATTAATATGATTTCAGTTTTAGTAGATTACTTATTCTTTACTTTACCAATGATTCTATAGAAGATTTGGTGACAGCCATCGCCCTCGCAAAGATGGTTTTTAGGATCGTCGGCTCGTGGGAGATTGTGTTTTTCTGATAAACCAGCTTCCGTTTCTGAAACGAGTAAATCATATAGCTAAATAACTTTGTTTTTTTTTCTCCTTCGAATTTTTATCTGCTTTTCGACAACCTTTAGTCTGTCTGAATCTGCTAGTTTTATATAATAAACTTACCGATAAAGCTAACAGTAGTTTCGGGATTAGTAAATACGGGATCCCCCTGTGTAGGTACAAAGGCAACCCGAAAAGTGACATCTGTGGAAAGTTGTTGAGGGTCTGTGCCACCATCCGTCGCACGAATTGTTATCTGTTGGAAATTGTTACGAGAATTGAGAATTATATAATTTAATCTGTGTTCAAATTTCCAGAGAGTTTTTTTACACTAAAAGGTTTTTTACCTCAAACTCCTTAACTGTCTCTTGGAAGAGTTGCTTCAATGTTAGTATTCCTTGGTTTTCTCTGTCTTCTAATATAGTGAAAAATTGAGCAGCTTCGTCTGTAAAAGATATAACGTTTTTTAGTATTATTTTAGAATTGTTTATTATTTCTTTTTTTTTAATTTCAAATTGTTAGATTATTAGTAACTTGCAACATACCATCGCCAACCACTTCAAACTTGACACGTCCAGCTTCCAGACCGTCTTCGTCAGTAGCTTGTACTTGGTCCAAGAAGCTATTGCTCACTGTTACGAGGACACCGTTTACACTAGCTCGTTCCTTGAAATACATTTTGAAAATAGTAAAATTATTGTAAAATATGTAGATCGGTAAAAAGGTATTTCAGTACTACTTAACTAAGTAAGTAGGTAAGTGATCATGTAAGTATATTAAAACTATCGTTTTAACTAATCAATCTCCCACAGAGGAAACCCTCTGAATATCTAAAGCCAAAATAGGTTGTCATCGACAGCGTTCCGTGTAACTTTGATCTAACGATTCTTTTTAAATTTATTTACGTTATTTAATCCATATAGTGCAATAAGATTTAAAAAATATTAAAGTGTCAATCTTGGTCATATTTATAATCCCGCCTTATCCATCCATTTATCAACTAAAATTTATTAACATCCCCCACGTTAACGATTAAGCGTTAATGGATCAAAATGCGATTAATTTTGTTTTTGTCGTAGAATTTAAATTTGTTAAAAACCTACCTACCCTTGCAAGTCGTATGAGGCTATTAGCTTTGGGAAACACAAACACGGGAGCGTAGAAGTTGTAAGGATTGATTACGAGTGAGTATATTCCTTCCGATGCCAGTTGTGGGTCTCCATGGTCGAAGGCCTGGAAATAATGATTCTCTCATAAGCATTTGGAGCGGCGCGTGTTTTCCTCTCTACAGGTTTATTATACTGCCATTAACTTCCTTAAGAAGGTCACAGGAGAGCAGTAGACGAATATGGTACAAATAAATAGATTTGAAATCTTATTTAAATTTTCAAAAAACTATATAATTTAAAAATCGATTTCTTTTTCAATTTATTTCGATTTTTAAATTATATAGTGCCTTCATGTGCAATAACGTGTAAAAAATAATAACGTTTTCAAAAGATACAGAGCTATCAAGAATAAGAAAACCAATTTAATTAGTTTCGAAGATAAGAACAAAAAGGGGACCTTTTACGAGTCTAGAATGTTTTCCTTTACTTCTTTGTGTAGGTGTACGGAAAGAAATATATCAACTTACCCGTATACCAATAGCATAAGTCCCCCAATAGCCCTTCAAGTCAACAACGGTTTGTATTTCGCCTACATTATTATTGAATTCCTCATTCCACGAGGTTACCATTTCAAAGAGATCAGGCAGTTCCACATCCCTGTTAGATAATGTAAGATTGACTATTTCGTAGCCGACTCGAGAGTTTGGTGTGTTTGGGGCATCACGGTCTGGAGCGTTTATTAATCTTGGTAGTTTTTGACCCTGGAACATATTAGATCTCATATACGATATTCATAAAATATATAATGGAAATCATTAGAAGTTTCAATGGTTGATTGTGGTCAATGCTTTCTCTAATATGCCTCGCCGTTACTATTGGCCCAGATTTGATTTGGACCATTTAATTACATGTGTAAAGGTTAGACTTCCATTTCTTCTTTACATGAAATAAAGGAAAACTCTGAATCAAAAGTTGTTAAACTGACCTTCTTCAAACCTTCACTAACAGACCAGAATAAAGCATCTCGTTCGGGTAGCACCGGAGCATTGTCGTTTTCATCAAGAAGGGTAACGATTATCTTAACAGTCGCTGAATTTCTATTGCCATCTTGAAAGGGAAATATAATCATTACAATATTTTCCAAGACACAGATTAAATACAAACATTTATATACTTATTTGGGAATATTTTTAATGTACCTCCTTCAGAGTAGAAGTTGTCAGTAAGAGTAAAAAAGATCTGAAATTCAGGCTCATCTCCATCTCTATCCAGAACTTGGTCAGTAGCATAGTGCACGTAGACAAGACCTGTATCTAGGTCAACGCCGAAGAAGTCGCGAAGTCGAGGGTTCACAGCGTATTGAATCTGGTAGCGAACCGTTTTGTATATTGCTGTCGATCAAAGATTTTCAAATTACTGATGTATTGTAAATAAATTAAATTTACATAATTAGTGTGATATATTATGTATATAACACAAACCGTTGAAACACTTTAACGGGTTAAAACGCGATATGTATTAGTTAAACTTATTTTTAACTACGGCCCGATATTACTGATGTTTTGCAGCAGCCGTGGTCCGTGACCGGGGAGACTACAGATGGAGGATGTCTCTGACGTCAAATTAAAAACTGCTACGCTAGCGCCATCCGTTCCGTCGAAGTTGCTATTTGGCGAAACTGGCCGGCCAGTTGCGCAAGCGTAGCAGTTTTTACTTTGACATCAGAGATACCCTCCATCTGTACTATGCGCCTAAACTACGGACTAATGATAATCACTCCAATGATTAACAATAATCACACTAATGATTTCCTATTTTATCATATAGTCCACTTAATCTTATTTTTAGCTAGTGTTGTTTTTATAGTTACACAATGCATGCCTCGTGAATTAGATTTATATATAAATATTTGGCATTCGTATATTTAAGTTATAAGATTCTGTAAAAGACTTGTTTGATTATTTTCATTCCTTACCATCTCTGTCTGCATCGATAGCCGCAAGTGTAACGATTTCCGTGCCGTTCACTGCATTTTCGTTAATTGTTACATTTACGTTGAATTTAGTGGTATCAGCACTTGGGACTTTATTGTTCGTATCTACAATTGCTATTTTTATCTGTAACGAAGGTAATACGTTTTCAAATCTGCGTTTTGTTTTTGCCTTATTCATAAATTTATCAAATCACAACTATTTTTAGATATACAGTAAAAGCTCCTTATTCGCGCTTCCTTTATTCGCGTTTTGACTATTCGCGGATTAAAAAAATGCGACGCAATTCATATATTGGCGGCTAAAAATTTCTTTATTCACGGCTCTAATAAGTACATATTACATAATAATAAAATTATTCCAATAGGTATCCAACCCAATACCCTTGTCAAATGGACAGATAAAAAAATTAAATTAAATCTTATTACAACTTTGCCTAAAGTATATTGTTAAATGATTTTATCGTCGAGGACTTTGATAAAAGCCGCCTTCGCCGCGATCGGTGTTTTTAAGAATGTAAACAAACAGAATAAAAGCAATAGTAAATTCATACAGTAAATATGGCCACATATATGGGCATATATACCGCTCCCGTCGGAAATGTGGCCAATTTTTCTTAACTGTTTTAAATACTATTTATCGTTTAATGTCTTTGCATTTTTTTTCGCTTCTATTGTAAAGATAAATAGCAACTCTTCATGAATAAGTGCTAAAACTTGTTTATTTTAGCTTTTATTATTATTAAAAAAGTATAACAAACCTTAAGGCGGCCATATTCGACCCAGGTACCTTTTATTTGTTTATTTTGTCACTTAGGAACGTATCCCCTATAATCCCATATAAATTGCCATTCCGTAGAATTCACGGTTTCTGTAATCGCGGCATATTTATGGAAGATATACCCCACGAATAAAGAGCTTTTACTGTACATAGGGGTTTTATCATCATCATCGACAGGGTTTCCACAAGGTAAAGCTGCAAAATATGTCTTGACAGATGATATGTTAAATTTTTCCGGTACCGGGTGTCTATAAATTTATTTTACCATTCAATTTCCTATAATTACCTCCCCAGCGGTGTCGTGGTAATCAATGTCGGGTGGACATTCCGCCTCCAAACATTTGTCGCTAGCAATCACGGTGTAATATAGGTTGTCGCGTGGTTCATCTGCGTCTATAGCACCATCTTTATCGACGGAAAGCAGACCAGTTGTCAAATCTATCTTTATTAAATTTTCTGGTGTGCCATTGCGCGTGCTGAAATTTGACTGCTGAATTTGAATGTGACAGGTTAATACCCTTATAACCATACTTTGAACTATTACCATGTCGCAAAGAATAAAAAGAAGTATCGAAGAATAAAGAGCACAAGAGACGCCTTTTATTTAAGTCCTAATGTAAATTTTGTTTTAAATTTCATCTTTTATCATAAAGTGTCGCACACTCACCGCAACGTGTAACGAACTTGGTTGTAAAGCGGTCCGTCAATATCGTTAGCTTGAACAGATCCAACAACGACGTCACTTCTGGAATTTTCTCTAATGGAGAACTCCTGAGACAGTGTGCTCTCGGTCCAGACCGGGGCATTGTCGTTTTTGTCTATTATTATAACGGTAAATAGAGCTGAAACAAAAAAATATAAAAATAAGGTCAAGCAATAATATTTTTTTAATTTACACATTCTTCACATGATGGCCAATCATATTCAATTAATTAGAAAAAAAATTATGTATTAGATTTTTGTGTAAGTTTTATTAAACTCAATCGTGTCATTAATACTGTACCAAAACTTAAACAAAAATTTGAGGCGTTGATCTAATGGCTACCATTAGACCATTAATTTTAATCAACGGCTGTTTCTATCCATGCCGGGTAGATGATTAATCAATTATAATTTTTCCAAAATATCTTGTCTTCGTTTGGAATATCCGGATATAAAATGTGGTAGAAATGACGAAATTCCGACTCATGCTTATCTGTCCTGCTCTATCTATCTATATATGCAAGACCTGGGAGTCATGTGGTTTTATGATAGACATCATAAAAGTTTCCCAATAATGTGAGCTCTTTTTAACGACGTACTCTTTTCCTTTCAATTTTAAAAGTAATTTAAATAAACTAATAGTTATTGGAGAATATAGAACCATACATTCGTCATACGTATCTCCGAGTGTAGTGTTCCTGTCTATTACTCTAATTGTTAGATACAGCATTTCAAACTCTTCGTAGTCTATTGTGACTCCAGGACGAACACTCTTCACGACGATTTTTCCATTCGCCGTTCGACGGTGATCTTCTGGATAATTCGTTTGTATTTCTACACACCTGAAACGGTTATAGTAATTAAACCTAACTTATAATTAATTTATTGTTTCTTAGAGTTGGTCATTTAAAAGAAATTAATACTTTTTAAATATCAACTGACAAAAACACAAAGATAACAACAAAAAATGTTATAGAATCTATTACAGGTAGTATCTCTTTTTCAATCGCTGCTAATACTTTATATATTTGATTTACACACTCAACTATCTTATTTTGTAGTTTGTGTTTATTAAATTACTTACTCTCTATATTCAGTAGCCGGTGTTGCTCGACCCTGCTTAGTTGCGTACGAAGTATCCCAATCTATTTCAAAGTTCAGATCTGCTGTGGTGTCTAGATCAGTGGCTGTTATTTCTTCAGTTATCACGTGGCCTGCTGCAACGTTCTCGTCCACTTGAGGGCTTCTACGGGGCTAAAGAATTTCTGATTAAGATATACACTAACCCCACTTGAACACGTTGAAATTTGAATTATATTGAAGTCAATTTAAATTAGATTCAACCTGCACATTGTATTCAGTTACTGAAAAGCATCTGCAAGTTTGGGGCGGAGTTATAATCTACTCGCTTATATCGCGTTTCAATAGTTGAACGTTTTTCTTTACAGAAAAAAAGGCAAATAAATCTTTAAAAATTATTTCCTAAAGCGCGAGTAGTTAAAGTGTTACTGTAATGTTAAATTAAAAATCTATTTAGATTAAAGATATTTTACGAGACCAATGCCAGTTCAAGCCCTGCCTGTGTTGAGCTACCATGTAATTGTATTATTATTTATATGTATCTTAGTAACCTTAAAGACAAATGTCATTATTTTGTAGAAGAAATTTTGAATGTCCTTTATAACATGAAACTTACCAATGTCAACCGAGGTGGAGTATTATTAATGTCATTGAGTTTGATGATGAGTTGCGCTGTCTCCCTGTTGAATGGCTCACCAAGAGTGTCAATTGCGCTGACCTTTGAAAAAATATTCTCAAAATAAATACGAGGACAAAATACTAGCTGAACAAGAAACATCTAATTGCTCGTTAAAGAGTTTAATTTGAAGGAGTTTTATCGAAATTAATAGTATTAAATACCTGTACATAAATCTCGTTTTGTCTCTGATAGTCGAAGGAATTATTGGCAGATACAACAATCTCTCCGGTTGAGCTATTGATATTTAGGTAGTTTTGTGCGTTGCCTAAAAGAGAATGTCTGAAAATTTCGTTAATATTAGATCGATCTTTAAAATTTTATATTAGTGTTACATATTCGTGAGACCTCGCCCTAGACTAGTAGCCTAGCCTAGTAGAGCAGTAGTGTCCAGCACTGTTTCATATCTCTTTTTGTTCTAACTTTTCAATTTGCACACAATTCATCCTTGTCAGTTTTTATCAGTTTCATATAAAATGTTTTTAGTGCATCAAACAAAAGAAAAAGTGTGAATTGTAATTTACCATTACACAGGGCAGACGCACGACTGTTTATGCTTTCTTGATTGATAATTCTATTGGCCGATATTTTATTTAACTGTACACAGCCTAAGATTTCTTGCGTTTCACCCGGATAGCAAAAAATACTCATAATTTAATAAATTTAAGATTTTTATGGAATGAAATGGATGGAAGCGTGCAAAATTTTGCGTTGTCTCTTCCACCAGTTGTATGTTATAAATAGAAAAATGCTTCAATTACAAGTAAGTTGTTCATATCTTCATCTTTATAATCTTTAAACCGGAAAGTCCTTTTTCTACTTACACTACTTCGTCATTTATATCTCTATCGTTGGCCAGCATAGTGCCAACAACGAAGCCCTCTCCTTCTGTTTCATCGAAGGTGACTTCTTTTATAGATTCTTCGAAGATTGGCTTTTCATCATTCCAGTTGATCAGCTCAATATTGACTGTCGCCACTCCATATAGGTTGGGTCGATTGATATCGGTTGCTATCACCTACGAAAATTGATAATGATATTGAAAACTAAAATAGGCGAAATTGGAAGTACGACTTATCATTTAACCCCCATGGTCATTTTTAATTATCGAAACTCGAAAACATGTCCGAACCCAAAATTCGGTCAAGTAGGTACAGCAAGTATTTTCCCATATAAAACTCTTATTGGCGGTACTAAAACTTACTCTCAGTTGAATCTTCTGAAATTTGACATCTTCGTAATCCAGCATGCTGTGGTTTTGAGTGCCCAAAATGAAAGTCTGCTTTTGATAACCCACTGACGGAGCTACGAAAAATGCGAGCTCTGCCCCTTCCGGATGTACACTTTCCAAACGTACAGTGTATTGAGCATTTTCACCCTGCAAATATTTTTTAACCTTAGTTTGTGTTCAAGAGAACTATTCATTGGACGAAATATTTGTGTATGAAATGTCGTAGACAAATTTAAAACTTATTTTCATCTTTACTGATGTTTTTATCGTATATAACGAAATTTGCAAACAAAAGTTGCGGTAATAAAATCATTTAAGTTATAATTTAAAAATCGAAAATAGAAAGAAAAATCGACTCGGGCAGGACTTAAACCGGCATCGTCAGCGTTCCGTGCTGTTGCTGCTTGATCATTAAACTTATCAATAATACAAAGACACATGTATCGTTCAGTCAAAACGCTTGGTTACTAAGGGAATCTCATATTATACAGGGCGCTTACCAAATCCTTATCATTAAAACCAAACTCCGTGTCAAAGTTTAAGGTTTGTGCAGTTTCCTCCATAATCTTAACTGAATACACCGCTTGCAATGGTTCGGGTGTGCTGTCGTTAACATCGTCAATAATGATAACAACGCTAGATGTGGTCGATAAGCTTTCATTGTTACTCTTATAAGCTGTGATGGAAATAGGGAATAACTCCCTCTGCAATGCATCTCGGTCTATGGATTTAACTTTTAATGTCGCGCCTCGATAGCCACCTTCTATAGTTTCGATGTCGAAGAACGCCGCATCTGTTGGTGAGTATCGAAAGGATTTTTAGCAAAGTTTTCTTGTACACACAGACTTCTAGAATATGAATAACATAAAATAGGGCGATCTCTATTCTCCGATGATTGTATTTTGCTATGTCAGCCACTTCGTCCGCGTAGAATAGTTATTTGGAGCATCCAAATTTGTTTTGCAAACCTCGTCTGCTTATATAAATAACAGTCGGGGGTAACAGTTTGAATGTATAAAAATTCAAACTGTTAACCCCGACGTCGTCTCGTCCCATCGTTCTTATAATAGACATATAGTGCCGCAGACATTTTTTAGATAATCTAAAGAAGAATCATTCTTTTCAACATATTTCTGACTATCTTGAGGCGTTTTTTGAGCGTACGCAACGGGAGCACGCAAAGGTGAATAATTTTCCCCATTTTTTTCACATGACTGTCTCTTTGCTTCTATTCGCCACAGCGCGATGTTTGTAGCCTATAGCCTAATGTTCGTAATCAGCACAAAAATATTTTTTTAAGAATTCGAATAAGTAGTTTCTGGCATTAGCGCGTTGAAACAAACAAATTTTGCAGGTTTATATATCAGTAAAACGGTTGGAAATAACTCGGTGTAAAAATGTTGTTTGCAAAGAGACAATGTTATTTGAATTTTTCGTATATCTTTGTAACGTAGCGAAGATAAAAACTAACTAAACATACCTTCAGGCTTGGTTTCTATCCTATAGAAAATAGGTTTGTTAATACCAGTGTCCCCATCTATAGCCCTCACTCTAAAGTTTTTTTCTGTCTTCTCATTGAACTGTTGTACAGCGAATATCTCCACCCACCGTGGCACACGATGTTCCACGTTTTCCACTTGTACCATCATTGTTATTGTGCGCTCATTGGGTAAAGAATCCTTAAAAGGGGAAAACATTTTTATCTACTTCAGATTTGTAAAACAACAACATGAGCAAAATACCTTGAGAGATTTAAAAAAATGGATTTTGTATAATGTCAATAAAATAAGTTCATTCGTTGGTGTTACCGCTCATATCTAATGAGATTGGGATTCTATTCCCACCGTCACGGGTGGTAGGACTATCAAAACTCCGCCCAGGTCTCTGTCCACAGAGGGCTCGTTGATCTAATGGTAGGAGGGTATGGTTAACAATCAACGGGTCGTGGGTTCAGTGCCCACCGGGTCCATCATGTTTCTGATTTTTCAATTTTTAATCTTCCCAAAACATGTTGGACTTCGTTTGGAAATCTGGATATTAACCGGATGGAATATCGAAATGCCGGGGCACGAACCACGACAGATTCAAAGGATGTCAAATTTCATTGCGTTTCATTTTACGTCCGTGTATTTCCGAATAATCAAAGCCAAAATAGGTCCCTGGGTTATATCAGCTTCCATCAAGTCAACCCCAAGCTTCTCTGTCTCTATAAAAAAGCCGTAGTCTAAATCTGCGTTACGGCTTCAATCCGTAGATTTTCCTATGTTCAGGTCAACTAAGTCGTTGCGGAACTAGAGAGTGTAATAAGAGTATAATACACACCCGAGCGGTAACTCTGAAGATGTGTAGCGCATTCATCTCGTAATTCAAAGAGACGTTGAGCCCAATTGTCATCGTCATTTTCCGCCAATCGGACGATATGTCACCACCGATGACGTGGAAGACTTCGTCGTCGTTTCTGTCACTCGTAATCGCGAAGGTCATGGCGCTGGTACTGATTCGACCGTCCTCGTCTGTCACTTCATAGACGCAACTGGTTGGTCCTGGCTCACGTAATTCCTAAATATGATCAAATGAGAATCAGACTACGTTATTTAACGATTTGTCTGTAAAAAAAATAGATCAGAAAAGCGTATATGTAATTGCCCCTTACCCCAGGGGAAACGGGACTCTAATTTTGTCGAGAAATATTGGTGCCTAACAGTCAAAAATAATTTATTGACGTTTAATTTAATTGCGCATTTTTTCTCCTTATTAACACGTTCTCTGGCGAGAAAAAAAATGCAGGTCAGTGATGACCGCGTTTAACAAGGATTTTCGTTTCGTTCTTACAGACCGTTGGTAAATGTTATCAAACTAAATCCTATATTCATTGACCCTCGTGGCCCTGTAGTTGCTCTATATGAAGTTGGTTTTTGCAAAATTACAAATTTCGATATACAAACAATCATTTCTACTAGAAAAATGTTTACTAAAACTAAATAATATAACCATTTTATTACCAGGTAAAAAAAAAATACATATATTAATTTGTATGAACTTATCAATTAATTATGTATGAAGATAGGCAAAGTAACTCAACCCAAAAAAAAAGTTTATCATGGCACGTGTGTGTATAATAAAAAAGTACTGAGATCCATTTTATAGTCTTGTTTCCTTGCAATTGAACGTCAAAATATCTCGGCCCATTTTGATGAGAACCGCATTTTTCACTCGGCCTAAACTGAAATTTCGCTGCCGGTCAGCACTGACCGCATCGGCAGAGAACGTGTTAAAAATCATGTTTTTTGTTATCAGGCCACTCTGCCTCTAGCAGCCTCAATTGGTATAGAGGAACTGTCCCTATTTACTTCTTTGTATTGAAAATAATTAACGTTAACTCACGGGCACCACGCAGGTTTCGAAGGCTTGTATGATCGGCGCGTTGTCATCGATGTTGACAATTTGGAGCCTCACAATGGCTATGAACCTCTCACCCGGAATTTCTATCTCAAACATGTAGGTCCTCATAGTATCAGTTTCGAAGTCCTGCCTGGATGGAATTAAAAGCTGATGAGTTTGGTCGTTTGAAAGCGCTAATCTGAAGAAAAACTGAATTCGAAATGAAGAACTATTTTTCGAGTACCTATCGAGGGAGGCAATACAATATGAAACTAATACGAGCGAAGAAACAGGGGGAAATGTGGGAAATACGGGGAAAATGATGAAATTTGAGGGCTTCATCATTCTCCCCGTATTTGGTGAATCTGACATGAATCTGGTGACAATGCAATAAGAAAACGAAGTAAAACGTTGAACAAAAAATTTGTATGAAAGAATTTTTCTTCTTTAGATGATCTAAAAAATGTTCACGACAGTACCTATGTATTATCTTTTTTTTTAAGAACACGCGATAACAACGAGACGCGAACGTAGGTATCAGCCATAATTTATAAAACTGAGGAGGTTGTTTGAAAAATAAAATTATTTCACGCGGACGAAGTCGCTGGCACAGCTAGGTATAAATAATTAAGAGACCCACCGTTGAGTAATGATTAAATGCCAAACATTGTCGACTTTTTCAATTTTAGGGCCGAGTCTGCTAAAAGTCCCTGCTACTAGCGGCTGCACGATTGTCGGTGTTGCAGTACCTTGAAGGATAAACTTTTATTTACAAAATATAACCAAAGTATCCTACTAAAATAATTTAGTGAAGATGCTTAATAAGATTACTACTTAACTTATTGCTTATATAAAACTAGTTAACAATGGAGGGAAGGACGCAAGAGGTGCAGGTATCAAAAAGTTGAAAAAACTCGATGATGACGTGTAGGACTCGGTAGATCAATTGGTGAGAGCAACAGCATGGAATCCTGTGGATGCCGGTTCAAGTCCTGCCCAAGTCGTAAATTTTAATCGATTTCTAATTCAAGTTACATTAAGTGTGGTAAGCATACCTCGATAATTAAGTCTGGCTATTGAGACAGGCTCTTTTATTTCTTCGTCCATGTAAATAATCTGGGTCCCGGATGTATCCGAGGCTGGGTAATAAGCGTCCATGCAGACGTCATTTCTTTCTGGAGCAGGGAACAGAGGACGTTCCTGCCATTCCTTTCCTGAACACATGGTATACGATATATACCTAAGCGTATAAAACATTTTACACTTTATCAGACATTGGAAAAATTTAGATGTAAATTGGTGGTCATTTGAGTAACTAAAAATCGTAAAGTGAAATTAGCGCTTGTTTTATCTTTTTTATTACGTTTACAAAAATTGTTTCTGGAATGTTGTGTTATTATAAAGGAGGCAAAACAGGCAGCCCTATACTATCTTAACAATATTTTGGCTTTGGATATTCGGAAATCTTCAGACTGTAACCGAATCCCGGTTAAACTTACCGGCCGCTTCTTTTGCGGACGGTGGTTAGTGACCCTGAGTGACGGTAATTCGATATTTCTACCAGTAGCAGTACTACTTCAACTCCATGTCCAGATTTCCAGACAGATGTTAAGCATGTTTCAGAAAATTATTAATTAATTGAAAACCCGTTGATTATATGCTGTCATTAAACAATTTAGCTAAATTATTTAATTAAACTTTAACGTTGCTTGCCAAGTTGGGATTTTGCACTTTTTGATTGTGGTAACATCGTGATCCGTACTTCGAAAATAAGACCTAATAAAAGTACCTGTATAATTAGAAATATTATTATAATTAGAAGTCGCAAAACAGGTTTAGTTTTAAATTGTCAAAAAATAGAAGAAAAGTTGAAATAATTTTTCGTTACTCCTGAAAAAGGGGACTAAACTTGTCCTTCGCGTCTTATTTTTGTAAAGAGGCTATTTACCTGTCACTATTTGCTTCTTACCTTTCCTTACTGCCTTCTACCTAACTAAGTTAAACGCATTTAAGTAAGCGAACTACCTACCTTCAATGTTTATATCTGGCAAGTTGTCAGGTTTAGGCAGGCGCGGTATATTTATCATGTAGCTGCATCGTTCTGGTTCTGAAAGTACAGTGCATTAAAATATATGTACTAGTTGATTAAATTGAAGAGAAAAAATGGGAAAATATTAGTTTAATACTTACTTTACCTATTATGCTGGGATACATTTATGATTTATAACATAATTAACTTAATCTTGACAAAATAGTTTTAAAATCGTAGGTATTCAATTATTTCAAACATACGATTGAATATGACTTTGACAATTGACAAACACTTACCCCTAGACCTCCCCACTTTTTTTTGCATATTTTTGTTTGTCCATTGCAATATTATTTGTTAATAACATACTAATTAATATACATTCCACAATTAAAAATGCTTTCTTGCTGGTCAAACAGTTTTTTAAAAAGATTAAAAAAAAACTTCTAACGTTAAAATTAAAATTGAATTCGTGCTGACATTATAATAAAAAAAAACTTACCATCACCACGAACGAATCTATATTGCACCGCACACAATGCCAATACTATGACTAGCTTCCCCATTTCGCATGGTAAGGTAACTAAAAATTAATTTAAAAAGTTAAATAAGTATACATAAATTTCTCTTTTTCGTTCGTACAAAAGTACGACGAACATGTTTCAGAAATATTAGAAATTGACAACAAAACATTGGTACCGGTGAGAATCGAACCCAATCCGTTGACTATTAGGATACATTGCTACCATTAAACCACTGAGTCGTGATGAAACTGATCATCACGAACAGGACACGGCAACTCAATTAAGAAAGCTTTACGGGATGGCGAGTTTCTTTAAACAATCCCACGTTTTATAACTTTAATATTTTTCACATGTTATTGCATATGATATAGGTAATAACTTACATTGAATGAAAGATACAATCCACAAAATCAAGCACTAGTAACGAACACAGAGTTTTTAATTATTCATGCGAGAGCACTTATTTCGCAATAAAGTAAGCTTCAACTGGAAAACTTATCAGTCCATTATATGCCGTGTTCGATAAGATTCCTTGATAATGATAAGTTATTTATTTTCATCGATTAATAGACAAAGGCGATTATCGGTCGCAATTATTAAATTAATAAGTAGGAAATGTCTTCATTTGAATATGTTTTTTTATTCTTTCACACTTTTATAGGACTTATAATTGAAAATCAAATTAGGAGCCTATTTATATAGGTTTTTGTAGCCTAATGGTAAAATGTAACCCTCGCCTGAGCTGTAGACTGAGCTGAGTCAAAGTCAAAAATCATTTAAATACTGTTCATAGTTTACGCGAGTAGTACACATTTAAATAAAACACTTTAACGGTTTAAAACGCGATATATTAGTTCAACTTATTTGAGATTTATTTTTATCTAATATATCGCGTTTTAAACCGTTAAAGTGTTTTATTTAAAAATCATTTATTCATGTAGGTAACTATGTACACTTATGAACGTCACAAAATTAAAGAATCTAACTTTACATTTACTACCAGTTCTCAAATCAAGGGCGTAGAACGAACAAGAAGAACTGGCAATAAACTCGCCGTCTGATTGTTTGTGTTTCACCAGATAGCACATTAAGAACAGCGATAGTCATTATTGAATCAGTAATAATTTTCGTAAGCTATGTATTTCTGTTGCAAGAATGTGTGCTTGTAGAAATCACAATTTTTGTTTAGATCATTTTAAGGATAATCATTTTATCTAAACTAATATTATAAATGAGAAAGTATCCCTGTATGTCTGTCCGGCTTTAACTCCGAAACTACTGAACTGATTCAAATGAAATTTGGTACACAGATATTTTAGGCTACTTAATGCCAAAAAAGGGTTGATAGGAGTTTAAAAAGGGAATGAAATTTTGTATGGAAATTCGTGGTTTTGGAAGCTGAAACTTTCTTCTTTGGCTTTTTGGGAATAGGAGTAGGAATGGGAATAGAAGTGGAAGTGGGCACTTACAACAGAAGAGAGAGATTAACGCCTTAACAAACAAACTCTTCAGCTATATAATATTAGTATAGATAATATTAATAAATACCTACTTCTATATGAATGTATTTGAACAAATAAAAACAATATAGCTTAACTGATAAATCAACACACTTTTATCGTATTCGTCATCGTTGCGTATTTTAAATCGTTGTCTTGACTTCCTGGATTCTTTTAGTTATTAAGTGTTTAAGATTGGAAACTTCCGAACACTGTAAAATAACAGGTAGCTACGCCAGCTAGACCGCGTCTGTAGCTAATTGGTTATACGTCTTGCCTACCAGTACGTAAAGCGAGAGAGGTCCTAGGTTTTAATCCCGGGGAAACAATAGATTGTTTTGGCCGCGCAAGGTACAGAAGTCCGATCAACTACCTGGCTGGAGCTTGGAAATGTGTACGCCCCATGCCCCACGAGGTGAAATGGTATTTTACTTTTACACTAGCTAAGAGGCCTGACTTCAGCCACCAAAATTCAGTTCCATATTTAGAAATGTTTTATTTTTATTATGTAAATAACTTAGCTCTAACTTCTAACTAGATATTGTCACTCGAGTGACTTGGTAGCTCAACTGAATAGAGCAACAGCACTGAACGCTGTGGATGCCGGTTCATGGCCTGTCCGAGTCATCCTTTTTTTTTCAATTTATAATCGTTTTTTATTTTATTTATTTAGTGACATTATGTGCAATATCATGTGAAAAATATTAAAGTTTTCTAACATTACGCTACTCCTATATTTATTTATATGTTATATTATTTATTGCACAAAACATAAAAATATTACAAATTAAACTTATATACTAGAATGGAGAGCAATCGGCGGCCTTATCGCTAACAAGCGATCTCTTCCAGGCCACATAAAGTTATGAAATGTTAAGAAAATGAGATGTGCAAGATAGGCGAAACAAATCATCTTTCTCTACTTTCCGTGGAACGCTAGCCGCGAAAATTCGCACGATACCAACGCCGACGCGACTAGCCAATGACAAGAGAAAAGATTGGATAGAATAAGAGCCAAGAAGTCGCGCGAATGATCGCTTCACAGGTCGCGTCGTGATTCCGTCTACCTTCGTGGCTGCAACAATGATAATACAAAATGTTAGTTCTTATGCTTTAATCTGTAATTATGACGCATGCTATCAGTATGAGTACTTTTATCAATATTATCTGTGTTTAGAAGCCGAAGTTTATCAATCGCTAAATGTTATTGCGATTAACTGTTTTAATTCTTTCACTTCTACTATTACTAGTCTATACCTACTAAACATATTTTGATCGAATGAGGGAGAATAAGAGTAAGTAATTTAGAGTAACTAAACCATTATCTAAATAACAATAAGACCAATAATAATAAAAAAAAAAAAATAATTAATAATAACTATTCATTTATTTATATCCTCGACCCCTTTATCTCAATTACTCATATTATTTTACTTTAAGTAGAAAAAAAAACAAAATTGTGTTAACAAGTACAGATAAATTCGGCCATTCAGGGCTGCTGCAAAGCATCGGAAACGTCAGGCCGTAGTAAAAAATATTTTTTAAACAAGTTTAACTAAAATATATCGCGTTTGAAACCGTCAAAGTGTTTAAATGTGTACTACTCACGTAAACTACAGACGATATTTAAGTATAGATAAACACAAGATGTCAATTTATACAAAGACAGAGTGAAGACTTTATTGAACAAATAAGAAAATATAAAAAGAAATAGGTTGTTACTAAACAATTATATTACTAGATATATGCATTTAAAGTTGAAATACAGATTAAAAACCATTTCTGCTTCCCATAATTATTTATTCGTTCTAGTTACGAAACTTCCTTTGTTCCTGTTATGTCGTTTTTAGGTTAAATAAGTTTTGTGTTTAATTTATTTTTTGATTAAGATTCTATTGCTTGAATCATATGAACATCACGAATGCACCAAATGCGTCCATAGTCCACCCTCTAATTACGATATCGAGTAAACAGTGCGTACAGAAAAGTGTGTGGTTTATTCCTAAACACTTATTTGTACGCTGACATTGAGCGGTGTCGCGTGGTTATCTAGCGCACGTTAGAAGATACCGAGTCAATAGTAAGTGATTTTATTTAATAATAACAAATAAATATAATCAATTGTTATTTGTGGTGAAAGAATTTTTCTTAAATATCTTATAATCGTAATCGTAATATAGCTAAGCTTTTGCTTGTCGTAGTTTTTTTATTAAGAAGAACAAGTTAAATAAGTGAGTGATCTTGTGACAACAATGCAATATTATTTTTTATTCTTTATATAAAAAAAATAATATTTTATCAATGTGTATTTGTTAAACAAACCGTTCTTTAAGTGTCAGCGTAATTTGATTTCAACAATTATACTTAACTAACAAAATAATGATATTCGCTAAAGTTCGTTTATTTTTGTATTTATACTAAGGTTGAAGGTAAGTCGTAAACTCAAATACTTTTTTGTGTCGCCTACCTTCGCATTTGAATTCTGTATAATTTATTAGTTGTATATGTGGTTTTATTTGAAGATTTTTTAAGATAGAGGAGGACATACAAGCGTGGGGTTCTACTTGATGGTAGATAAACACCCCAGCCAATAACATCTAAATTAAGATCTTTAAAATACTTTAAGGTGAATCTATTTTAAATATAATAATTCATTAGCGAATTCTCAACTTTAACTATGACGTAAAACGCAACATTTTGCTTTAGGCGAGGGTAGGACAATATTTTTTGTTACGTGTTAATGTTATATTACTAGCGATTCAAATAAAAAAAAATAACGAGAAGCAAGTCACTTCTGTTATAACAACAACTTGTACATTGTAAATTTGTACCTAACGATGAAAAAATAATGTGTGTAACGTCATCTTGGAGGGCGATTCCCAGCTTAGTAATATAACACATACGTCAATCATATTACATTTTTATTAAAACTAGCGTCAAAAGTAATTCCGTACCACAGATTTTTCTACTTCATGTATTATCATGCAATTGGGAATCGATACACTTGCGTTTATAAACACCATATCTGTGAACACGTATTGATTATGTACAATTATAAATAACAAAAAAACAATGATAACCTTTGTTGCATTAATGAAGCTAAGATGTAAGTTAAAACAGTTCGCGTACGATCGTAATTCGCGACGGTTCGATATTAAAAAACCAAAATGGCGACTAACGGCAAGGCGCGAAGGAAAGATGAGCATTTAATTTCAATACAAGTGAATAAGAGAGCCCAGGGCTTGGTGGCTCGAATGGCGAGGGCCTATCTGAAAGCGGTTAAAGAAAGCCAAGAGAATGTAACTGGTATGAGTTTGTGAGAATGTAATTTACACTCATTATTGTTTAGATTTCGATAAATTTAAGAATACACATATTAAAATAAAACACTTTTACGGTTTAAAAAGGCGATATATAAGTTAACGTAACCCCGTGACCACGGCTCGTAACGTGGCTCTCCGTGACCACAGCTGCTGCAAAGCATCCGAAACGTCGGGCCAAAGTTAAAAATCATTTTCAAATAAGTTTAACTAATATATCGCGTTTTAAACCGTTAAAGTGTTTTATTTCAATGTGTACTACTCGCGTAAACTGTGGACAATATTTGAAGAATACACTGTTTAATTTTTATACATAGATAAAAAACAGACCATAATTTCTACTAGTTTCTGTCAAGACAAGCCTATTTTCTTTTAAGTCCTTGAGGTAATCAAGGACGTCCTTAGAAATATATCTTTATTAAAAAGCTAATATCTACTGGTAGTAATTTCCTGATATGTATAATGTCTTGTCTTCAGTGCCTGCCGTACAAAGAAGGGGCTTTCCGAAACTGGAGTCATTGGAAAGAGTAGTTCAGATACCTATAGTGGAATCCGGTATTGGTGTTACAGAAAAGATATATACAAGAATACGCGTAAGTTCATTCTTTTCTTCCGGTACGTTAGAGTTTAGCTCTCCATATAACAATTGCCTTGAACCTATATAATGATTTTAGTAAAAGGACTAGAAATTCTTCAATGTAAACTATTTATGTGAATTCAAGCATACAGGCCCAGACTTAGTTCGCTGATTAGCAGTAATAACATGTACTATGATTTAATTTTTATTTATTTGTGTCTTTATAGGAATCCAACCGCCTTATCCGCTGGTATTTTACTCTCGGAGAAAAGTCCTTGGACATAGGTTTCCAGCTAGCATTGCCTGCTGTCCACCTCCTGGAGACGCCTATTCATCAGCTCGATAAACTTCTCTGTAAAAGCTTAGATGTAGTGGAGAAACAAGTGCCTTCGATATACCTTCCACCACAAGCAGTAAGTTGTTTGAATGTAAAACTTACGAGTTATACTTAAGAATTCTCTGCTTTCTGTTGTGGCAAAGTCGCATACACTAAAGCAAGAAAATATGTATTGAGATAGCTACTGAAGCGATTTTTTTTGGGGTGACAATCAATAAACATTATTAAGATGAAATCATGCTTGTCTGTCCTCCATGTTTAGACAAGACATAGTTACACAGGTTTAAAACGCAAAATGTATTTGAAACCTTTTTTAATCTAAATGGGAAATAAATATCTTTAAACCGAACTTTCCCTCGACTGCAACTAACATGCACCAGGCATACTTTGAAGTTTGAAGCATCCGAAACATCGGATCGTATTGAAGATATTCAATACATAAAAATGTACGTTAATGCTACTTCGGTGGTTTCATCGTGTCTGCTAATAATTCCTCTCTGGCCTTCCTTGCCGATTATAAAGTACATAAACAGCATAACAAAAATAATATACTTACTAAAGGTCAGAATATATCAGACGATTACGTACGCACTCTCTTCATAACATTTTAACTGATAATTTCTGGAAAACAATATATAAACAATACTATACAGCAAAAACTAAAACTTGGACACTCAGTTTCGGAAGGATTTTTTAAGACTGAGTGTAACATTACTAGAAATTAAGTTATCTATACTATATACTTTTATAAAGCTGAAGTGTTTGTTTGTTTGTTTTGAACGCGCTAATCTCGAGACCTACTGGTTCAAATCGAAAAAAAAAATGTGTGTCGGATTTATCGAGGGAAGCTTAAGGTTATGACTTTACGCTGAGACCGATAGGAGTGGAAAATGTAGAAATATGGGGAAAATTATTCATCATTGAAAGCTCCATGCGCTGCGTAAACGGGTTGAACCAAAAAATATGTACTGTCTATAGTTTACGCGAGTAGTACACATTTAAATAAAACACTTTAACGGTTTAAAACGCGATATATTAGTTAAACTTATTTGAAAATGATTTTTTGTCTCCCCGTGACCACGGCTGCTGCAAAGCATCCGAAACGTCGGGCCGAAGTTAAAAATCATTTTCAAATAAGTTTAACTAATATATCGCGTTTTAAACCGTTAAAGTGTTTTATTTAAACAAAAAATATGTATGAAAGAAACATTCCTCTTTAAATTATTTTGAAAATTCGCCACAGTTTCTATCTTTAAAGATTAACTCGCACGAATGCTATAATTTATAAAGCATACGGGCACAGTTACTTTGATATATATATTTTTTACTTTCTAACATTTGTTCTTTTATTCTCCGTTGCCTGAAATCTGCATTAAATTTTTCTAATTAGCTTGTGATAAACAATTTAAAATATATCATCTGTGAACTGAACAATGGTAGATGGATAAGATTAAGTTATTATGTCTAAATCATTTTATATAATATGAGGCTGCTAGAGGCAGAGTGGCATAATAACAAAAAACATGATTTTCAAAACGGAGGAAAAAAAAATGCGCATAATTTTCGGTCACTGTCTATCTTACTCTATTTTAAGGTCACTGCTATTTTAAGATTATGAAAATGTAAATAACTCAAGTCATTAAAATTGCAGTTAGGCTACTCTGCGTCTAGCGGCCTCATATTATATATGATGATTTAGAGATAAATTAAAGTGGTTGATTTTAGATTTATTCAGAGACGAGGCGATTTGTACTCCGACGCGCAGATTCCGTTAAGTATCTCGGCACAGCTGTTCTCGACTCCAGGGTGACAGCGGTAACTGCTACAGCTCTGGACCGCGCTTTGACCACAGCAGACAAGTATATGGACATTTATTTACCGCCCGACTCTCAGGACGCTGTTGATGGTAAGATGTTACTTGTCTCTAATAAAATTATCTTTATCAAGAACAGTAGAAACACATTTGGTAGTTTAGCTTAGAAGTTGTACCTTGTTAGGTTTTCCGAGATCCCTGTACTTGATAAAGACCTCCACCAATCTTGTTCACTACTTTCTATCCCTGCCGGTAACGAGTAATAGGATCTCGTTACTCCGGCTACTTCTAGGATGTAGTCGTGTTATCCTTTCTTATATTTTTCTTTCATATGATTCCATTATGTGACATTGTTTATTTTATTTCGTTCTGTTTGTTCCATGTCTCGGCTCATCTCCGTTAGTCGTTTAATAAATAACTATGATTTAAAATTTTACAACGTTTTTATACACATTTTGAAAGAAGAACTAATCAAATTATAATCAAAGTCTTATATATATTTGTATGTATATCTTAAGCGTAAGAGCCCTAACCTAGACTTATATTTATATCCGTCAACGTTATTTGCTACCGTTTCCTAAATGCTTTTTTTATAAATAGCTTCTAACATTCGAACGGGTCTGGGTAACGATTACACAACTAACACATTAATTCTATCTTTGTTATCCTATTTCTTTCTATTACTGAATTAGGATCTCACCTTTACAAATATAGTTTTTTCATAATTATTGATATATATGTATATAAATATTTTTTGCCCTAACTTCTGTTAAAGCTAAATACTGTCTATAGTTTACGCGAGTAGTACACATTTAAATAAAACACTTTAACGGTTTAAAACCACGGCTGCTGCAAAGCATCCGAAACGTCGGGCCGAAGTAAAAAATAATTTTCAAATAAGTTTAAATAATATATCACGTTTTAAACCGTTAAAGTGTTTTATTTAAATTCTGTTAAAGCTTTCTACAATATTTGTGTAATTAAAAAAGTACATAGTAAATGTTCGTTCCAAACCCCACAGGACATAGATATGATTCAACGTTTTGCACTGACCATAAACAGTGGAAAGTATTACGGATTGCACTTTTTATAATTCAGTGAGTCATTTATTATCAAGAGCAGATAGGTAGAGGGCAAAGTTTATCTGTTGTCTCGGAAACGAGTTAGATCCAGGATCTTAACTTGACCTTGCACAAACAATTTTACTATTGATTTATAGCAAGTAATAACGTATAAATGTAGAAACCTGCTAAAAAAACAAATTATAAATATTGCTGTAAGACCTCTGGGTCGAACCTACGGACCACAGCGTTTTGTGCTGTTGATCTACCAGCTGATCCACAGAGACAAAAAAGAAAATTTCGTAATGTAAGCATCTATGTAAAGAAGATAGGAACATTAGGATTTTAACATTTATAACCACTATAACTATAATACAATTTTATTACCTTACTGTAAGGAAAAGAATTGACTGCTTCTGTAGCTAAATTGTTAAACGTGTTGTGCCTAACAAAGTCGTTGGTTCGAATCCCAGGGAAATAACAGATATTCCAGTCGAGCAGGGAACAGAAATCTGATCACTTATTTGCCTGTAAATAAAAACGATCAGTGAAGTGGACACAGATTTGTTCAGGCCGGGGGAAACGGAATTCCACTTTTTGTAATAACAAGAAGAAGACGTTTAATTTATATGGCAGTGATTATCATAGTTACAAGCCCAGAAGCAGTGGACAAAGGGGAAGGTTCAGGACGTGCGAGGGCTGAACAGGCACTGCAGCACGGAGCCAGATTCGGAAGGAAACTGCAGAGGAGGCTCACACGACAGGCCTTAGCTGAAGCGAAAGCTATAAAGGAACAAATACACGTGCTTGTCTATGTTGCTGAACTGGTGAGTTATAAATGAATTACTCTTCACTTCTTCTGCTAAAGATGCATCTCTTATCATTTTGTATCTTAAAGAGTGCTGGAAGATCTTAGCAGTGCTTTTAATCTTTGCCCTTAATTAGAACTTACGCTTACGTGTCTACGTGTATATTCTATGATAAATGCTTTCTTACTTATTACTATCGATAGGAGCTTGCTGGTAAATAATTCACATACAGTGTGAACATGGAAAACAAAAAACAAAATATTAAATTTGCATATTTTAGAATAAGTTTAACTAAATACTGTCTTTATGTATATAAGTAGTTCACGCGGGTAGTATACATTTAAATAAAACACTTTAAAGCGCGATATATTAGTTAAACTTATTTTAAAACGATTTTAACTTTGCCTGACGTTTCGGATGCTTTGATGTGGTCACGGCGAGGGAGGATGTATCTGACGTCAAAGTAAAAATTGCTTAGCTAGTGCCATCCGTTCCGTGAAGTCGGTATTTGGCGAAACTGGTCGGGTCCTTACAGAATTGACTACATTTTATACAAATACACACATACTAACACATACACAAATAAGTTTAATATATCGCGTTTTAAACCGTTAAAGTGTTTTATTTAAATAAGTTTAACTACTTATTCGTATTTTTTTGTTTAAAATGTTGTTGTTAAACTGTTTAATTAAAGTACCGATGCATGTGAAACACATTAACCTTCAGTATTACTGTTTTCTCATTAATTGAATATTTATATTCTTAGAGCAAGTAAATTCTTTAAACAGAACCTAGTAAATATATTGGCAATTGTTATCCAGGTGGCAACAGACCCCGCACTAGCTTGGAAAAAGGCAAAAGAGCTATACGCATCTCTATCAAAACAAGAGCCAGAGAACCAAGCACGTCCAGCTACTCTTGAAGAATTGGTAGTTCTCTTAGCACGGGAGACCGCCAGAAAGGTGGTACATCTGATCAATTATACTCACTCCGATCTACCCAAGTAAGTACCTATTTTAGTATCTAAAACCGTTAATTATTGTGTTTGGGAATGTCACTAGGTACTTATTTAACTAACAAACATAAAAGTTACGTAAATAAAATAATCACAAAGCCTGTTTTGCTTGTAATATTCTAATGTTCATTTGAATTAAATAATTAGATGGACGATAATACTGTTTTTGTAATTTAACTTTGAAAACATAGCGAGGGTCCAATGATATAAATAATTTACAGAATTGGCTTCTTTAACAGTGATTTTGAATGACCCATAAGATGGCATTACATAAATTAAAAATCTATTTAGATTGAAAAAAAAAATTGACACGGGTGAGACTTGAACCGGCATCTACAGCTTCCTGTGCTGCTGCTCTGCTGTTCTTTCATTCTGAAGAGGCTTTTAATTAATATAACGCTATCGTGTGCAAAATATATATGTCTTTGACCACTAAGACCCCGAATTGTGTATCGATAAAAAGATTGTGTATCTTATGTTATCCAAAGTCAAAGTAGTTTCTTGCAGGATTTGATGCTTCGTTTAAAACTATCGAGATACGGATATTTGGATAATTTAGATTAGTTTTCATTATGTAAGTCATTTTTCATACTTAATAATTAAGGAATTTACTAATTAAACTAACCGGCATATTCGTTACAACTAATGTAATTGAATGCACTTACATATTGGTCGGGCAAGTTTCTCGTATTGAAGTTGAAAAATTTCTTTAACTTAATTTTTAATAATAGTAAATATGAATCTTCTTTCTCTCCCAGAAATGTCCGCCAAGGTTTATCTGTGGTAACCAATCATTTGTCACTGGCTGCGGACTCGCTTCTAAAGGTAATTATTTTTAAATATTACACTAAACGCCAAATAAGACGGAACAGATGGCGCTAGCATAGCAGTTTTTACATTTTTTTTAAGTCTTAGTAGTTAAAATATTTTTTCAATAAATTTAACTAATATGTTTCGCGTTTTAGACCTTTAAACAGTTTAACTTAAATTTGTACTACTAAACTACAAACAGTATTTTGTGTTTCACTTGCTTTCGAAACTTGGTTATAAACTTGTTACTTCGCGTTACTTCGCTTGCGTTAAAGATAGTTATAGGTGTGAATCCCTTCAAAACTAGAATAATAATATATGCAACCGGTAGCCAACATCCTAGAATTGCATATACACTTAATACTTTTATATTCAATATGACTCAATTCATTAATGAAATATCGTTGTGTGCTTCATCTAAATATAAAAAAAAATACCTTTCTACTCCCTAACAGACGCTGCCTGTGGAAAGTGCAATCAGCGAAGTAAAAAGCCTACGCAGCAGACTAACAGCTCTTCTTCAACAATTGCAGGATTCCTCAAAAATCTACCTCGTAATTTTTTAATGATTTGTATTCTCACCATTCTATTTAGATCCGACTCCATATTAAAGTGTAAAATTTTTGTTTAGGAACATCTGGCGATGTTTTTGGCGGGAAATGAGGAGCGCGAAAAAATAACACCGCGCTCTGTGTTTCAACAACGAGACGACTTGGCGGCCATTAATGGTGTAAATTAATACAACTACCCACGCTAGTGTTAATTCATATTTTCTCATTCATGTACGTGCCATAAGTGTAATTGTAATGATAGTGCAGCACCTGAGTACCTATCTATTTTTTAAGTTTAATTGATCTATAGTACTAATTATTTTAACTTTTAGTGTAGATCTATATATTCTTTATTAATTTACGAACGAAAGTAGCTAGGTTAATTAAAATTACATATTAATTGTCTATCATTATCGCCAAAGAGTAAAAATTATTTTTATTACGTCACATTTATTTTGAATATGACGTCACAGATCATCACCACTTACGTTTGACGATATCGCTTTTGTCTGTGGTAAAAATGACAATTTGATTCCAATATTTCAAATTATTGTTATTAAATTATTATATTTATTCACGGAGTTTTTTTAATTTTGTCTCATTTATTCCATATCACATGGCTACCCTGCTTCAGTTATTGAAAGACTTGTCGAATCGGGAGTACAAAGTGAGTACAAACAAACTTAAAAAAAAACGAGTTAGTATAGTAAGACTAGTATTTACACTATTGAATTCAATTCTAGATCAAAAATGAAACGGTAATAGAATCAGGGATTGAGGCAGTTGAGAAGAGATCAAAATGGCAATGGCAAACATCACTTGTGCTAGCAACGGTAGCAGTTTTATTTTGGATCTCTAGCTATATCCTTGCTGTCATAGCCATAACATTTTTAACTCCTGATGTTTCCTTCGTGCAATACTATTTTCCATTAGAATCTGACATTGTTTTACAGACGACCTAATACATATATATTAATTATTACAGTCTTATACTATAAAATAGTCTGAAAACATTAATATTTTTCACATGTTATTGCACATGGCGGCACTATATAATTTAAAAATCTAAAATAAATTGAAAAAAACAAAAAAATTCCTCTTTTGTCCTGCCCGAGTCGAAAATATTTTCAATTTATTTTAGATTTTTAAATTCTATAAAATAGTCCCCAAAATAGAATTTACTATTATTCCATGACTTCGTCTTGATCGGGTGAATTTTTGTATTATGTTGAAACTTTTACGAAGCAATTAAAATACACAAATGTTACCTCTCTTTGTTATGAATTTCTCATTTAACCCCTTTTGTAACATCTCCACAAGACTACCACAAAATCTGTAAGTGGCGCAATAGCATTGCGTAGCATTAAAATTAATTAAAAAGGGCCAAATTCAAGTCAGACGTGCTCACGAAGGGTTTGTACCATTGACTAAGTGCATACATATCTTCATATTGTAATCTTAATGAAATCGAGCCAGAAATCGATTTTGTTGTAAGAGAACCCCTTTTAAAATATATATATTTTGTTTTTCTCATTAATTGTTATAGTGACAATATAATAACAAATAATAAAAGTCGGTTCTTCATCGGTGATTCGGTCGGCCTTTGGATTGTCTAATATAGCAACACATATTTTATATGCAATATACAACTAACTCCGCAATATTATCTGTGTACATTAAAATAGCAGATGTTTGACATTGATGTAAAAGTCACCATACCATAATGACATTGATAAGCTTCGGAGCGGCCATTTGCTTTCTGTCACCACAAAAATATTTCATCAATAATTATCATTAACAACAACTTATTTTCTCAGTGATAAAAATTGTTTCTCGCATCATTTATTGATTTTGCAAAGGAACTAAATTAACGACACCTTTTATAAAGTGAATATAATTATGAGCTTAGGATATTTGACACCTACCAAGTGAGATAAATTCTAAGGTACAAACAACAAAATGCCTTCCATTGATGTAATGATGCCTCCGGGGCAAGTAGAAGAACCGCAGGAAGAACAACAAGCGCCTCCTCCACCAGTTATTGGTATAATTTATCCGCCACCCGAAGTAAGGAGTATCCTTTTTATTTAACCTCTGAGAAGTTTGCGCGTAAAATAACCTCAATATAATCTTTCTGCGCGGAACGCAAAAACATGAAAGAAACGTATCGTGAGTAACGTGTATTTTTAATTTACAAACATGACATACAACAATATATATATTATATTCTTATTTTTAACATTCTCAGCACTGCGAGACATTTATCTGGCATCATTCTTTGTCATATACAGTAGAGAAGACTTGACCACAGATAAGTATGTATTATTAGTATATTGGTTTTCAATTGATGCTTTTATATGATTTTTCTATCAAAAGTGAATAATGTTCCTTAGCACATTATTATAGATATTGTTGACAAGACTGCTAGTTTTGTAGCTCGAAATGGTCCAGAGTTTGAAGCTCGTATTAGACAGAATGAGCTGGGGAATCCCAAGTTCAACTTTTTGAATTCTGGAGACCCTTACCATGCTTATTATCAACATAAAGTGAAGGAAATTAGAGAGGGAAAAGGTTAGTGCAATGAAATTATTAAAATGTTTTTCAAAACATTTTCTTACAGGAAAGACTTAAATTTCTTAATCATACAAATAGATTACAGAAAACAAAATCCACTTTATTTAATAACAATATATTTGGTGTTAATTATTAAAATTTTAATGTAATTTACCCTTACATACACACCAACATTCTGATGGTTAAGATCCACTTCAGTTACAAAGACTTATATTTATTGGCTTTTTTTAGGCCCAGATGCATCTGCACCGGTAGGACCTCAAATACAAAGACCTGGTCTGGCACCAGCTACAGCTGCCAGACAGCAAGAGCTACTCAAAGCTGCTGCTCCTGTTGAACCACCTCCACCAAGAGATCCGCCACCAGATTTTGAATTCATTGCTGACCCTCCATCTATATCAGCTCTTGAACTAGATATTGTGAAACTCACTGCGCAATTTGTTGCTAGAAACGGCAGACAATTTCTCACAGACTTGATGAAAAAGGAGGAACGCAACCATCAATTTGATTTCCTGCGCCCACAACATTCCCTCTTTCAATACTTTACTCGTCTTCTAGAGCAATACACCAAAGTACTGTTGCCACCAAAGGAGCTGGTGTCTAAACTGACCTCTGAGATTAGAACTGGTGTATTGGACCAAGCTCGCACCAGGGCAGCATGGCATTCACATCAAGCTAAGCGCAAAGCTGCAGATGAAGCAAGAATTGAAAAGGAAAGATTGGCATATGCTTCTATAGATTGGCATGATTTTGTGGTAGTTGAAACTGTGGATTACCCAGCTGGGGAGCTAGGAGAGTTTCCTCCGCCTACCACACCATTAGAAGTGGGAGCGAGAGTCTTAGCCCAGGAACGTGGTGAAGACATAGCCCATCATGATGAAGACGATACAGAAATGCAGATTGAATCCGAGTCTGATTCCGAATCTGATGATGATTTGGCCGAGATGGAGGATCGTACGCATCAACAGCAGCGCCCTGATGACAATCGGGTTCAAGATATGGAGGAAGAAAGCTCATCATCTGAAGATGAGAGGCTGCCAGATACTCATAGACACACAGACGAGGCGCCATTGCCACCTAGGCCAGACCGCGTGGTAGTTAAGAAGTATGATCCGAAGAGAGCTAGACCGCAACCGGCACCGACCAGTGAGGAATGGCTTGTTTCGCCGATCACAGGAGAAAAGATTCCTGCTAATAAGGTGGCTGATCACGTCAGAATTGGATTGCTTGATCCTCGCTGGTTGGAGCAGAGAGATCGTGCAGCAGCTGAGCGTACAGACAGGGATGAAGCGCTTGCACCAGGGGCTGCTATTGAGGAATCACTTAAACATGTAAGTTACCAAATAATATGTGTAAGTCAAGGTAGATAAATGGAGAAAGAACAAAAGTTCACTTTATTTAAACAATAAATAATTTAATACAAACTATAAGTCTAAATTGTTCTTCCCAGCTTGCTGAACGTCGTACCGATATTTTCGGAGTGGGTGATGAAGAAACTGCTATTGGTAAGAAGATAGGTGAAGAAGAGAAGAAACGGGACGAGAGAGTCACATGGGATGGCCACACTTCCAGTGTGGAGGCGGCTACGAGAGCTGCCCGTGCGCACATCACGCTAGAGGACCAAATTCAACAAATACACAAGGTAAGTTACTAGTGACCACTAGACACTAATTTGTGCTAGTGGTGCTCTACCATTTCTTTAATATTGTTATTATTTAGATGTTAATTTATATTGAATAAAATCATCTAAATAATATGAAACGGTTAATGTTTATATATTAACTAGATAATTATTAACATTGACAATAATATATATATAGCAGCATTGAAAATTCCTACTTAGTGATGTAACTGTTACTACAAAGACTGATTATCTTCAAACGAATGGCACTGTACACATCGTTATAAGATTATTATTTTGATCGAATGAATTTTATCGGAAACATCACATTCAGCATGTAAATATACACATAAATAGAACTAAAGCGGTCCACACGTGATGGCGAAACGTCTAGAATCTCTTCTCGCTCACATCGGCCGAACAGCCCGTAAGACAATGATATGTTATAGTGGTCCATTTTAAAGCTTATTCTTGTAACTATATTATAGGTGAAAGGTCTCCTCCCTGATGAGGAAAAGGAGAAGATTGGTCCAAAACCCGTTCCCCAATCCTCGCGTATGGCGAGACCAGCCCCACCACCTGCACCGCCTCGCCCTCCCGCTGTACCAGCTCCAGCGCCACCGCAGGTCATCCTGCAGCCGATACCTCCACTCATGGTGATACCCCCAATGCCCCGAGCGCCATTAATTCCCACACCAGTCGGTGCTCCCTTCGGATATGTGCCCAACGTCCCAGTGGGTAACGTCAATGTCGGTCTCGGCACTGTTCCACTACCTGAAGACGATGAGCCGGCATCGAAGCGTGCTAGGACTGAAGATGTATTGGAAGCAGAGAGCTCTTGGCTTGCAAAACACCCGGGAAATGTTACTATTCAGGTAAATAAGCTCTTACTCCTAAACTGTGAATACTTGCAATACCAACAGGTAACCAGAAATGGTTAGTAAATAATGTGGACTTATCACCCGACCCTCTATCTGTATCTATCTAATCGATCTATTGATGTCCCCTATAGAAAATCTAATACTCTGTCTAGAAGTTACAATGAACTTTAACATAATAAACAGTTTATAAAATATTATTATTATTAACATTGAAATATCAATCTCCTAGATTATGTTGTCATGTTCTAGGTATCCCTGCCGCAAGCACCAGAAAGAAGCGAGTGGCGCTTGGATGGTCGACTACTGTCTTTTGGAGTTTCACTTGCATCCAGCGTCTCTGACCTCAAGCAGAATCTTCAGAGAGCGACAAACATGCCTATCGCTAAGCAGAAATTGCATTATGAGGTAAGTTATTTTTTTAAATTATTCAAATCTTTTAAATAAAACACTTTAACGGTTTAATACGCGATATATTAGTTAAACTTATTTGAAAATGATTTTTAACTTCGGCCCGACGTTTCGGATGCTTTGCAGCAGCCGTGGTCACGGGGAGACCCCCCCTCCCGGTCAGGAGAGTCTCCCCGTGCATCCGAAACGTCGGGCCGAAGTTAAAAATCATTTTCAAATAAGTTTAACTAATATATCGCGTTTTAAACCGTTAAAGTGTTTTATTTAAATGTGTACTACTCGCGTAAACTATAGACAGTATTTTATTCAAATCTTATTGAGAGATTTAAAATCAGAAGTCTATCTTAACATAAAGAATTGTGGACATAACATTTTTCCTTTTTTATAAATAGTAATAAATATGATCCGTTATCACGGAGAACGTCAGAAGCCGTTATCACGGAAACGGAGTCATAGTTAACCTATACATTTCGCGTTTTAAACTGTTAAAAGTAGTTTAATTTCTGTATTTAGCAAGTTGTTTTGGTACTTGATTAACTTAACTAACTTAACTGATTCTTATTACAGGGTTTGTTCTTCAAGGACACAAATTCCTTGGCTTACTACAATGTATCACCGGGAGCGATTATACAGTTGCAAGTCAAGGAGAGAGGTGGACGGAAGAAGTAAAAGGCTTTATATAATCATATACAACAATGTATGTAGTTTTAAAATGTTAATAGATTCAAATAAATATGGACTATCAGAATGAAGTTTTTTTATAGCATATAGTATTTTCCCTTTCTTTCCAATTTCTCAAAATTATACTTCTGATGTTTAACGCTTCTAGTCTTAGGTCAAATGTTAGACTAAAACAATATAAACAAGGTACAAACAAACAGCTAAGATAGGGTTTAATTTTTTATTAACATGATTGTATAAAAAGCAATGAGATAACATTTTTGGAATGTCAATATATGGTTATAAATTATAACGTGATAATAAAACAAATTCCCAAAACCTTTTTTACCCCCCCCCCCCCCCCCCCCCCCCCCCCCCTCCCCCCCCCCCACCCCCCACAAAAAAAATTTTTACCACAAAAAATTTTTTTTTTTTTTTTTTAACCAAAAAAAAACCCCCCCCCCCCCCCCCCACCCCCCCCCCCCCCCCAAACCCCTTTTTTTTTCCCCCCCCCCTTTTCCCCCCCACCCCCACCCCCCCCCCCCCCCCCCCAAAAACCCCCCCCCCCCCCCCCCCCCGGGGGGGGGGGAAAAGGGGGGGGGGGGGGGGGGGGGGGGGGGGGGGGGGAAACCCCCCCCCCCCCCCCCCCCCCCCCCCGGCGAAAGGGGCCCCCCCCCCCCCCCCCCCCCCCCCCAAAAAAAAAGGGGGGGGGGGGGGGGGGGCCCCCCCCCCCCCCCCCCCCCCCCCCCCCCCCCCCCCCCCCCAGGGGGGGAAACCCCCCCCCCCCCCCCCCCCCCCCCCCCCCCCCCCCCCCCCCCCCCCCCCCCCCCCCCCCCCCCCCCCCCCCCCCCCCCCCCCCCCCCCCCCCCCCCCCCCCCCCCCCCCCCCCCCCCCCCCCCCCAACCCCCCCCCCCCCCCCCCCCCCCCCCCCCCCCCCCCCCCCCCCCCCCTTGGGTGGGGTTAAATAAACTGCGATTATATCACATTTATGAGATTACAGATGCGTCCGTACAAAACGTAGGAATGTTTTAATTCAATTAGAAAAGCTTGAATTGTCTAAATATGTAAATAAAATATTATATATACATGTAGCTTGGGCGAAAAATTTTCTATATAAGTAAGTAAGAATTTAGTAGTTAGATGTAATAATAAATATTGCTGCGTTAATGTTCTTTATATGTAGTACCTTTTTTATTTATTATATAAATACATGTCCATCTTACTCGTATGGATGTGTAAAGCGCATTTTATTATGGAATGATTGAACTTATCACAATGAAAACATATTCACTTCATACCATTGTAGAATGAGAGTTAAAATATACCTCTCTCGCTCATAATTGTGAAGCGTGAAAGGGATAGCAATAGTTTATTATGTAAAGCGCTATATTATTATTGTAATTTTGGAATAGTGTCTACGTATTGTCGGTATCGCTCCAACATTGGCGTGTATATTGCTTCAGAGTCTGGGTAGGGTGTCGCCACTGGAGATATACTAGGTTCAGATCCTGAAAAGAATATATAATACACTTTTAAGTGAACATTTTTGAAAAGGCCACATAATGGGTTAATAGATTTTAACTATGCGTTGCCACAGCATTTTAAAGTATGCGAAACAGTTCTTAGTTAAAGATTAAATATTTAATTTAGATTAAATAGTTATTGTTTTAGCCGTAAATGCGTTATATTTAATTAAATTCTACTCTAAAACTGTTGAAAATACATTACCTGTAAGTTTAGTATTGGTGTGTACACTCCACACTTCAGCCGCACGAATAGCTGCGCCGAGCAGTGCTGCATTTGCGTGTTTGTCCTTGAATAAGTAGATGTTAAAAATTATATATTTTTAAAGTAAATCATATCAATTAATGATGCCTTTGAATTTTTATAATATTCACATCTAAATAGAGTTTATGTAAATTTAAAAATGTGAAAATTATATATATTGTTTAGAGCAAACTATATTATTGGGTTTAAGAAGATGACGGGTGACACTGTAGCTCAAATGTTTAGAGCAACAACACGTAACGTCGGGGATGCTGGTTCAAGCCCTATGTCGTAGCGTGTTTATAAATAAGAAAAATATTATAGCTCACGTCCAATTAAGCTATGACACGGTATGCTATTGGGCGTGGGTTTCTTAAATTAAAGTAAATAACTCAATAAAAAATAGTAACCTGGACGTATACGGGCGTGTGGAAGACATCGGCGAATATCTGCAGCAGCTCTTTATTGACGGAAGCCCCACCTGTCGCTATCACTCGAGACGACGAATCTGAATATAATTATTTTCTTGCAATAATATTTTTAAGACCGTGAAGTAACCGAAGGAATAATAATTATAAATAATTATTATCTAATGGTTTTGAATACATATGTTTGTATTATTTGCTTATATTTAATAATTATTATGTCTATGCGCACTCATAGGCATACGCAGCTTTTAGCTGGCCTAGGGGTCCAAGTATTTCTCCAATCAAGCATCAATAATTACATAAAACACTCTTCAATTGTTTATACTCCGAAATATTTTTAACTTATTGTAACTACAACCCGACGTTTAGTTTTAGTTTTAAACCGTTAAAAGCTTTCATCTAAATTAGTACTACTCGCGTAATCTACATATATGTATAATAGGCATCAATACTGACATTTGATTTGCTATGCTGGAGGAAGACAGACAAGCAGCAGTCATATAACATCTACACAAGATGTGCTGCCGACCCATTTCAGCTTTGGATATTCGGAAATCCATAGACTGATACCAGAAACGCGATTGAACTTCGCAGCTCTTCTATCTGTATACAGCCGATCGAGAATTTATATTTGAATGCACATTTTTCTTAATATATTTCACACTCACCAAGCTTGAACCCCATGTCTTCCGCATGGACTCGCCTCGCGATCGCCTGTCCCTCGAGTAGGGCCCGGGCCTCAAACTGCGGGGCACATTTGTCCAGAGCCCGACCAGATGCATCATACAACCAGCGGCCTGACACCGCGCGCGGTACTATCTCCGCTGTATCGTAGTATATACCTTAAAATTAACCATTCGTTATAGAGAATTACACTAAAAATACATATCGTAAAACTATGAGAACCTCGTCCTTTGTATGGTAGGCAAGACAAATCTCAGCTTAAGTTTATTATGCGCGCACTGCGAATGATTTCTCTACGATCCCAAAATAATGTCCTACTCCTAGACAATACGTATAGAGTTTTTATGGTAATAAAATTTGGTCGAATAATAATTAATTTGTTAGAGTTGTATCAACATAATAATAATAATTTTGCAAACTACAAAACATTTATCAGATAAACTAGTAGTTCCACTTTTTATTCCTATTAAGGGGCCCAGGAGTTCTAACACAACTATTACTAGTACTGGCCTCAGTAACTCACCCATGTAACCCATATTGCCTCTAACCGTTGCTTGAAGTAGCTCATTAAAAGCTTCCCAGCTAGCGCCGACCAATCTATCTCTATGGCTCTGTCTTGTCAAAGATCCATTCGCGAAACATAGTAGAGCCATATATGGGGCTTCAGAGGTAGGGCCCACAAGTATGTGCCCAGCAGGTGGGGCCCTCGCTTCTTGGAGCCCCAGGAGGAGCGTGTCGCTTGTTCCCAAGCTTAGACCCACCCAGCCGGAGCGGAGACGAAGGCCTGGAATACAATATTTAGTTTTAATTTTATCTTTTTTTTTAAATATTTCTCTTCTTGTTCCTTCTAAGAACTTGATTGAACTGCTCATCCGTTAATTAATAAATATAACGATAAAAACTTTTTTTTTTAAAGATTGCGTAAATCGAGATATGAAAAGTATCTCGATTTACGCAATGTTTTAAATTTTAATTTAAAAGATTGCGTAATTATATAGTTGTATTTTAATTTAATAGTAGAGATATGTTTCATTATTTCATTCAGATATTTCAGCAGACACAAGTGTAAACTAAATCATAATCTACAATAAAGTTATATGAGAATAAATTGTAATATAAAGTTAAAGGATTAGAAAACATGTTAATCTAAATATTTTAAATTCTATTTTTATTTCTAACGGTTGTGTAAAAATAACGGCCACCTAAAAAAGCTGTTTCAAATATCTCCTTAACAAAACTTTAAATAGCATAATATAATAGTAGATGTAATTGACTTAAACAAGACAAGATTGAGGACAGAACAAGAGTGCATTTCTAATCAAATTAGACGATTCCTGTTGATATTTTAATCTTATTTAATGTTAAACGTAACAGAGAAATAGCTGTTTTGTCAAGCGTATAAATAGTGCAAGTATACATTTTCAAATTGTTTTCTTTTTAAGCACAGGACTCGAACGCACAACTGTCTCTATACGTGGGATTGTTCTGTGAGGTATAATGCCAGACAAGTAGTAATCTTTATCGATCAGAGTTTTAAACTAAATCTCTCAGTCTTATTTGAGTAGGAGAAATGTGGTAAACATTCTTGCGATAAGTTATCTCCGTAAATAAACGTAAAGTCGATCCACTTAAGATTGTGCCGATTATATGAGCATTACATGTGCGTACGAGTTGAATTATGTTTGAAGAGGATAAACTACTTTTTTAATAATACCGGTAAACCGATAAAGCGGACGAGTTTGTTTGTTTGAATGCAGTAATCTGCGTAACTACTGGTTTAAGAAACTTTAGAAATAGCGGGAAAAGTGGAGACGTCAAGTTAAATTATTCATCTTTTCTGGTTTCGATCGCGTACATTGGGAAAATGGTTTAATATACTCAAAAAAATGTAAGAAATAATGATTTCTTTTTAAATGCCGTAAAAAAATGTCCTCGGCAGTAGGTCTATTTTTTAAGATTAACTTGCAAGAACCAGGACAATTTAATGCCCAAAATAGCTATTCTACGCGGACGAAGTCACTGACACAGCTAGTAGCTATATATGTACTTTTATACAAAAGTGAACTTACCAGCGAGAGCTGAACAATTATCTCCCGTAAACGCGACCACTTTGCAATCGGGTTTAAAACCATATCTCTTCACAAAGTATGATGATATATTTCCCACCACAGTGGCACTGGGTACTGGCACACCAAGTTTCTTTGATAATTTTTCATCACCACAGGCCTAATTGAGTAACATAAAATACTTAATTGCTACGTTTAAAATGTTTTTTTTTTATGTTGTTTAATGATTTAATAATCATTTATTATTAGTTATTTAAAAGAATATTTTAAACAATTTAGTTTATGTCGGATAAAAAAAAATATTTGAATGATGGAACTATATAAATAAAAAATCGATTATAAATTAGAAACACTTTTCAAGTGTTAAGCTTGAAATTATATTGTGTGACGGGTGCATGTATCATGTTAGAGAAAAGCACGGAGCCCTGTAGATGCCGATTCAAGTCCTACCCATGTACTCAACGAAACGATATTTGTTGAACTTATAATCGATTTTTAATTTATACAAGTCCACAATAATTAGGAAGCCTAGTGAAATTTTAACAGGCTTTAATAGTAACATAATCTAATCACTACCTTTAAGGCTTCCTCACACCACTGCATACTATGTATATCCAGCAAGTTCATTCCGGAGCCATCAGCCAAATCTATTGGTGCATATTCTCCAAGGAATAGGGAACATGCAAACGAAGAAACCAGAGATATCCTCTCAGTAGCTGAGTATGACCGTGGTCTTGTTCTGTGCATCTTTCTTATCTGAGCTCCGGTAAATCTTTCATAAGCTCGGGAACCTGTAACTTTGGCTAGTTCCTGTAAGTAAACATTTGGAAAAAATAACATTGTAACTTTCTTACTATTTGTACAATAGAGCAGTGTGTATGATGTAAACTGTAAAGGCTTTGTTACTGATAGGTATTTTTTTTTCTGAATCTTTATAACACAAAGCAATTATTAGTATCTTTGAGATAAAACACTTAAAATGTTTATAATTTGTTATACATTAGTTAAACTTTTTTGGAAATAATTTTAACTATGGCCTGATGTTTCGGATTCCTTGCAGCAGCCATGTTCACGGGCAACGGAGGGTGTCTCAAATGTCAAAATAAAAAGTCATTATCTTGATTTACAACAATGTAGTGTCTCTAAATTTATATATTACTTCTGGTCCTCCAACAGCCTCCTCAATGGCTCTGCAATCAGCACTAGTACTGGAGTCCATCCATACTGGAGAGTCCGCCATGAAAGTTGAAGCCAACTGGGTGTGAAGGAAATCTTCTGATGATAGATTCTTTAACCTCTCCTTCGATCCTTTTGCCCACCAAACTGAGCCATGTTGCTGGAAAAGATACTTTGCATTATTTTAAATAAATTTTAATTTGTTTTATCTGGACTATTATAATTAATATTGCTTGTAAACAAAGCTGAAATAAATATGTTTTATTTGTGCAAGTGTGATCCCAAACTTGGCATTGCCTGTCTCTGGGAACCACTTTGAGTTAGTACTAGTACTAGTTATAATAGATAAGTCATTTCGTAATAATACCCAAGATTGTGTCTTTTTGTTTTATCTTATATGCATTATTTGTTAAATAATGTATGATATATAGTGTATATTGTATAAGTGTAGGGAGTATGTGAGTATTTATACATATACAATATAATCTGTGCTTTATAACGATTTTGTGTAATTTCAAAATAAAAAAAGATTAATACCTGTGCAGCGCCAGACAGAGCCTCAATTGTAGAAAAATCTACTCCAGCCACAATTAGCCTATCCATTACCATATCTAGAGCTTTGACCCACAACAGTGTTGGCGCAGTCACCTCACCTTTCTCGCCCCGCACCACTCCACCTGATGTCCTATAAAAGTACTCATAATTTAAAATTGATATTCACTCTCACTGTTGTCTATTAAAGAAATAATGTTAAAAATTAATAAAGAAAGTCAAATATACTCCTAATTAAGACTTAGGAAAATAAATTATTGGGAAGGCTTATAATGCCTTATAACCAAAATTAATTCTGATCTAACCTGTTAACTACTTACTTCTTCATTATCTTTAATATGGTAAACACTAGCAACATACATCCATTAAACCAGATCATTTTATGACCTAACATTTTCAGCATTCAAATCTCAAATATATATTACATATCTAATCTATGTATATATTCTTTCTTTTGTAATATTGTAAGTTCTACCTGAACTCGGGGAGGTCCACATCAAATTCCACGTCAGCTTCATGGCAAACTTCATAATTTTCATCTATCACTACAGCCTTTAGCTAAAAATAAAAATACACAATATTTTACTTAAATCTTACTTCCGTCTATCATAAAATTTAAAACGAATAATATTTGTTAAGAAGTTTATTGAGAACACAAAGTACTTAAAACATTTGACAATAGTTTTTTCACCTTTAAAATAATTATAATGAATTCTCACACTTTCTTCAGTCCAAAATTAATTATACTTTCTAATTAGATCATCATGCATAGACGATACTTAACTAAAAGTACTTACATTTTCATTTGATTTTTATTTTACGAAGCGCGTTTTATAAAACTTATCGTTTGAATTAAATATATTAAACATACCCTTTGCGTACTAAAATCAAATCCCAAGAAAGTTTTGCTTTTGTTTTCGTCGCTCATTTTTTATTGTGACAGCGCGGCGCGCACAGCTTACTCAAAGGCTGTTCGTTTAGAAATACGGCACAATACAGACTACTTTTACTGTTAACAATGATTAACAAAGTGATTATTGTCGTAAAATAATTTAAATTATAATCATTGTTTATTTAAGTTTTTCGATAAAATAAAGCCAAGGTCACGGTTATCACAAGCATCTCTACAGAAATAAAGATAACCTAAAGGTTTAGCGCTAATCGCGTTAATTATATCGTTAAAAATCAAAATAATGATGTACAAAATTATAACGTCATTGTATGTTAACTAACTATAACTATATTGTAATGTAATTATATGTACTACTTTAAATACTTTCAAAATCCAACAAATTGAGCGCCTGTTATAAAAGAAAAGCAATATGAGATTGTAATTTTGTAGGGCGTTAGAAATTTAAGCTAAGCTTGTAATTTTTTATTGTAAAGTTACCTCAAGTATCAAGTGGAGCCAAAAAACATCGTCGCTTTAATATAAGGTGGGTTTATAAGGGCTTTAGTATTAATATTTCCGCTATATACCAGCAAGTGTTGCAATTAGGACTGTTTTTTAAGTCGAAGCTTAAATGAACTTACTAAATATCAAAAAACCACATTTGGCCGAACTAGAGAATCTAGAATACACTTAATTTTATAAGATTTCTCATTCTTTATATCATTCTATATAGTGTAATTTTCAAAGCAAGTAAAGAATAAATTCTTACGGTGAATCCATAAAACGTCATTACTACCACACAGTTTAAGAAATTTTAATTAAACTTTCATAAAAAAAAAACAAAATCAGACGTGTATGTCCGTGTAGTTGTGACATTTTGAATTGTAAAATGTTTATTTATGACTCGTTGAGTTCACAAAGCCTTTCGGCTCCTTCAAAGCCTAGGCCTATTTCTGTTCCTGCTAGTGTCTACGTGCGTGTAACCACGATCAATACAGGTATCAGGGTACTGGCTAATCGGCTGGAAAACCACACGGCTCACTCCACACCTCTATTTATACCCAAACCTCATTTGCGGTCGCCTCGAGAGGTAACAAGGTCCGACGGTGATTTGAGAATTTTAAATGTAAAACCATATCATACTTTCATAATAATTGTCCCAAATATGTTTTCGACATAAGCGTCCGCAAAAGTTAAAATTTTAAAAAGAAACTAGAACTCTACTATTAAACTGTATGTATTACTATATACACTATTTCACCAATGATAGAATTCATTAACTGATAGTGTATGAAATCTTGTTTCCCCCCGTGGGGCATGGGGCGAACACATTTCTGTGTACGTTTCACTGATCCGTTCTTTTAACAGGCAAGTAGTTGATCAGACTTCTGTGCCCTGCCCGACCGGAACAATCTTATGTTTCCCTGGGATTCGAACCCAGAACCTCTCGCGCTTAACGCAATGCTAGGCAATACGTCTAATCATTTGGCTACAGAGGCGGTCTGATAAACTGATAATAGTTTCCGTTATATATATATTCGTTTGTTTAACTTTGTAATAGTTGCAAAATCGCGGATACTTACTTATAATAAAAAATGTATATTTTTTAAACAGGACTCGATCCGGGAACCGCACTACCCTAAGACCTAAGTTAGGGCTTCCTTGCCCAACAAAACTCTTCTTGTCTGTGTTTCTTGTTTACACATTTACGTCACTCAGGACCGGCTTAACATTATTTTAGGCAATTTATGATTAAGGACTGTCATTGAGAAAAAATACGCATTTTATTTACTTTTTTACAAAAGTAAAATTAATATATGTTATTATAAAATACAAAAGGTAACCTTTATTTATTTATAGTAAAAATCGATTTTACATTGAAAAAATTAACGACACCCGCATCCACGGCTGCATCTTATAGGTTATATTACAATTTTACATTCTTTACATTACAGTTCCTTATAATAGAGACATAATTGTAACGTAATAATAAAATGCAAACACAACTTTTTTACGAAGAAGTACTTGCACATCATGTTGTACACTAATCTTAACTACTACAGAGTATTATAAAAATTAAACTCTCAAAGGGTATAAACAGATTGAATACCTACTATTGTTGAATTAATAATATTTAACCGAACGTCGAAACATCGGGCCCAAGTTAAAAATCATTTTCAAATAAGTTTGACTAATAATATATCGCGTTTTATTTATTTATTTACATTGCTTGGAAAACTAAACAGTGCTGTCTCTTATGATAACTTCAAACTAATATTCTTAATGTCTAGGGAATAAAAATAAAATTTTATAAAAATCTAAATGTACGCAGGCATGTACTCAGAGACAGTAACTTTACAAGTTTCTCTAAGAACATTTGAGTTAAAAATTAAAAAAAAAAAGCTTCGAGGCGTAAAACAGTGTCCTCTACAATATGACAAAAACCGTATTCTTTTATACTTAGATTTTATATGTGATATCTTCACAGGTTAGGAACTTTTTAAACTTATATTTAAACGTTAATTGCGAGCACGAAAATAAATCAATCAACGCGTTATTGTGCAATGAAACCATATTGTGGAGGGGGGCACGTTTACCAGTGTTACATCTAGTCGTTGGGACATAGAATATTTTTTTGGTACGCGTAGATCGAGCGGGGATGTGGAAGTAAATCGGGACAATCTATTTGGGCACAACATATCTTCCTCAATGTTGTTAAAAGATGAAGTAGTTTATTATTAATGTCAAAGACACAATTTATCTGATTTAAATTTAAAAAAGAAAGCTAAACTGAACAGTCAAAGCGATTATTATACGAATAATCGCTTTGACTGTTCAGTGACAGCTGACTCAATTAACTTTTCGGACCCTTCAGACCAAATCAGGTAAGGCAAATTAAAATCGCTAACAAATAAATAGTTTAGGAAACGGGCACTAGAGCACGGGCACTAGAGCGCGGGTACTAGAGCACGGGCACTGTATTTGGTGAAGATTATTAAAATATGTGTCATAAGGAGATCGAGGAGATGAAGGAGAAATGAAACAACCTTTTTCATGTAAAAGAAAAGGTATACTTAAGTGACAATGTAAATTGTCATTCTTCTCTCAACAATTAAAACCATTCTTGGGCTGTACAACTATGGATTTTTATTAAATCCAACAACTATATAAAAATAACATTAGCTATGAAGTTCCGTAAGTTTTTTATGTGAAGTACAAAAAATGTAAATAACAATATAGTAACTACTTATTTATAAAATTTAGTGGTGTGTGGTTGACCTCAGCGGTATAGAGCGATCTCTTTCAGACAAGCCTAATGTGCTACGAATCTATTTCATTGCAAATGATTTAAAGCTTTTTACATTTAAAAAATGGTAACTAATTGAGCTACCGTGTCTATCGTCATGATCGAATTTCTTTAAATATATTTTAAATTTATATAAAGTACATCATCGTCATCATTGTCATGAAAAAGTAATAATGCTTTAAAAAACGAAAATAACTAGAAAAACCGTAACCGTGTTGGTAGAACAGCTCGGAACGCTGACGATGCCGGTTCAAGTCCTGTCCGAGTCGAAAATTTTTTCAATTTATTTTCGATTTTTAAATTATATAGTGCATTCATGTGCAATAACATGTAAAAAATAATAAAGTTTTCAAAAGTAATAATGCTTACAATTGTGTTCTTGTGAACTCAATAGATAAACGCGTTGCCTAACATTGCATTAAGTTCATGCTATTGGGTCAAATCCAGCGAACACAATACAATATTTCGGGCGGGCAGTCTATTCGATTACTTGTTAATAAAAAAAAATATTCAGTGAAGCGGAAGCAAAAACGTGGTCGCCCTATGTCCCAAATGACGGTTACACCTCTATTTTTATAAATATTATATTGTCTGTTTTTTATTAATAAAAAAAAATGTTGCAATACGGTAATGAGAGCTAGTCCTTAGAGGAACAAAAAAATGTTACAATTCACAATGACTCGAATTCATTACGTCAGTTCTACCTTTATTGTTAAATCAAATTGACTAATTTCATACAGTACCCAAAATATCTAGTAAAAACGTATATTCTAAATAACACACTTTAATTACGAACTTAAATAAAACAATCCCGTTTCCCCCCGTGGGGCATGGGGTGAACACATTTTAGTGTCCGTTTCATTGATCAGTTTTTTTACATGCTAGTAGTTGATCAGACTTCTGTGTCATCCTCGACCGACACAATCTATCGTTCCTCTAGGTTTCGAACCCAGGACCTCTCGCGCTTAACGCGATGGTCGGCAACACGCTAATGATTTGGAAACAGGGTGATAAGAAAAAACAATAATAATATTTTAATAAATTATATAAATTTCATTTCAATATTGAATGAAAATATATTAAATACTGTCTATAGTTTACACGAGTAGTCCACATTTAAATAAAACACTTTAACGGTTTAAAACGCGATGTATTAGTTAAACTTATTTGAAAATGATTTTAACTTCGGCGCGACGTTTCGGATGCTTTGTTTAACGTATAGTTAACTATAGTTAACTTAGTTTAACTAATATATCGCGTCTTAAACCGTTAAAGTGTTTTATTTAAATGAAAATATATTATTTTTCATAATCGTTTCTGTTTCCGGTAAAGTATAGATATTAGATATAAATAGAAGATATAATAGATTAAAAAATATCAGAGTTATTTTTTAATCTATACTAGCTTTTGTTTGCTTTGTAATTAGTAGGTATCTATACTTTTAGCAAATAAAATATTCAATGTAAGGATTTATTACAATAGACTATTACAGAGCAATGTTGCATTTCAGATTAAAAAAAAATAGTATTTCAGCAGTGATATTGGCGTATTTACGAAGGTAACTTCAAAATGAGTTTCTATATATTGTAGTATAGAGACTAGAGTATTTGCTACGTTGTGCGTTCGAGTAAGTTGTATGGCGTCGAAAATCGCGCCTCTAGGATGCTGGGCGTTTGATATTGTAAACACGAGCTTTTTCGATTGGCGGCTTCTTACGCGCATGCGCGGCTACAGGTGATCTTGGCAGAGCGTCCAAAATAAATAAATATTATCCTGCGTAATTTTTATCCTAAATGAAACCTATCATCATTGTTATAAATACCTATAAACTTTTGTAAACATCTCATAAAATTAATCAATTTATTCCGTTTTTTAATTATTGTAAAAATAAACTGTCGGGTCTATCCTACAGTTATACGTTTAAACAAGCTCGTCTACCCTTGTACATGTTAAAATGAATGTTAACAGTGCAACATGAAACGAATCTTAAATATTTGTACAAATACAATTACGTATCGATCGTTTTAGGCGGCAGGACGTCATTCCTAAGTCACACGTGTGGCGTGCGCGAAGGATAGTCCGCGCGGCTTGCGGGTAGCGGGGAATAGCGTGCGGGGAGGGAGGGGAGAGCGTAGCGCGTGCGCGACGAGGAACGGGCGAGGGCAGGCTAGGGATGTCCACAATCTACCGACGTAAAAGCTATACTTTGATTTCTGTAACGTGTTATAGAAATACCGTTTTTATGTAAAGATTTCCAAATATTTTTCTATAAATCGCCAATGTTTAAAAAACAACTAATGTTTTATTAAGTTGTAGTCGTGTTAAGTCTTTTTTTTAATCTAAATTTTATGTGGAACAACATACTCTAATAATGTTTAGTTCTATATATAATAAGTTACTTTAAGAATCTTATATTTTAAAAATAAAAGTTCTTATGAAAATAATCTGCATAATAAACGCTAAGGATAAAATTGTATAGGAAACGCGCTGTATTTTGATTATTTTTGTTAACCTTACTTTTAATACTTTCCCATATTTCTTCAAGTTCAAGTGTTTCCAAATAAACGTAAAGTTGAAAGTCGATATATCATTTCTTTATGTGTAGGGTATACAACAAATACATTTAATGTAAAACCATTTTTACGTACTAAGTAAATGCGAGCAACAAAACGGTAAATGAAAGATTTCTACCGATTCGAACGCGTCGCCTCTCCCGAATTCCGTTTAGGTGTAGCACGAGAGGCGGCAGACGCGCCGCGATGGTGGGCCGCGACAGCCGCTCTGAGAGCGCGGCGCGCCCTTTGGCGCCGCGGCATGAGTAGCGCTCGCTTGGCCCGGCCCGCGCGCCCGCCATGGCGCAGGCCGCGCCCGCACAACGCACCCACTCCTTCGCCAAGAAGACCTTCCACAAGCCCACGTACTGCCACCATTGCTCCGATCTGCTCTGGGGGCTCATCGGCCAGGGCTACGGCTGCGAAGGTACGCGCATGCGCCTCATACGTCGATACGCGCGAAGCACGACCAGTTATGCAACCCGGGCGTCACCCGTCCCCCATCACAGCCTCCGTCACCCAGGATCCCGGCTGTTCCCACCTACCGACCGAGACCTTCGCTTTCCACCTTCCCGATACCGCCTGGCCCCCATCCCGTGTCCCACCGGCGGCACCGGTTTCAGAATCAGCTGAAAAAGATGTTGGCGAAAACTGTGAGATATCGATCGGTCTGTTTTGTATGAGGTTTTTTTCCAAGCGGCGCGGGGCGGTGGGGGGTGACGTACACCCCACCCGGCGCGTAGCCTACTGTTTGGTAAGTCACCATTAACTTTACATGGGCCCAAATGAAGGTCAGATTTGCGAAATGCCCTTTTACGATCGCCGTTAATTGCGCAGGACCATGGAACGTATTTCAAGCAGGATATCGATACGGTGCACTCACCAATCGATTTTCTTGGAATCGGCGCGTTATAACCGTATTTGCACTTGTTTCCAATGAATTTGTTATCCGTCGACTTTCAGCGGCTAATCTACTTAAGAAATACCAAACATTCTGTAGTTTTCCTTAATCAACTCATTTCTTACTAATTATTCAAAGCTTTCGCTCTTAAAAATATCATCTAAAGTCATGAGTCAGGGCGTAAATATATAGATTACGGTGACGTATCTAGTAAAAGGTCCCTTGTGCAGCTCCAATTTAAATATTTCAAAGAATGTGTAGATTTTTCTTTCTTTCTTTTAAATGTATTTGTGAATTTATATTGACGCCAATTGAAGTCTGGGTGATCATTCCACATAAATTGTTCACCACTTCACTCATATTCTCACTAAATGAAATGATATAAGTAAAATGTTGTTAAAATATTTATACTTTTTTATTGATATTCTAGTTTTGCATAGACTAGGTATATGTAGATAATATACCATATTCTTATAAGGCTTTCTAAGAAAACATCAAAACGCACGCTTAGTATTAGAGTGACCTAACTCAAAATTTAAGTAAAATTAGATAAATGGACTGACATTACTATAATAACGCCATCATCATAGTTTTATCCGATTTGCCAAAAAAGTGTTTTTTTGAATTCGGACACTGTAATACTACAGCGTGCGAAAAGAACACTGTTGGGTTTCAAAACCAGTTAACATTAATTTATTAATTAATATAAGTCATTAAAACTTATTTTTTTTTTATTTATATATATATTTATTAATACGTTTCTACATTTATCATACAGTAACCTTATTAAGCTATTTATTTTAGTTTTTTAATGCTACAATGATGCAGTTAAAATCGGAAAACATTAACTCAAATACGAAGAATAAGTTCATTAACAGATCCGTTTATTGCGTATTTTGAATATTAAAGGTTAACGCTTCGACATTAAATTTAATGCAATAACTATGACAATGATTTAAAAAAACGTAGATAATTTTTATAAGAAAATAATTTAAAGTTTAAATTTTATTGATTTGTTTATAACCGATTAAGCAGTTATTACGAAATTTATTAACATCAATTCAGCTTCGACCTAATGCAATAATTTTATTAATTTTTTAAGACTTTCATCTTATATGATGTTGTTTCCAACATCTCCCGAAGATTCCAGCCAATCTTGATGGTGGAAAGCCAAAAACCATTCCTTAATCTCTTCCGAACAGCTCTAAAACCCTAATTAGGGATTACCAAAATGGTTTTTTACCTTTTTGTATATCACTTAAGTTAACTATAAATACAAGTTCTTTTATAAATATGTAAATTTATAAAACCACCTCAGATATATACTTTGCGTAGAGCCTCTACGAACACCGTAGAGCCTTCTTTGCCTACGATTATTTTGTAGCAAGACACCAACTCACAAGTCCACAGAGTTCATAAATTTTCAAAATACTTTTGAGAATTAAGAAACTACGTCATTGAAGAAGAAATAAAATGTACATATAATCAAAACGTGATAAAATGATTAGTAGAGTGTTATATTGCTTCTAAAATATTGCAAGGCACATCCATATACATAGTAGTTAGTAAATTTAATGAAATACTACAAATTGCAATTGCTTTTAATCTAAAATGATCCAAGTAATTTTGAGCGAGCTCTGTGTGAAGCTTAAAATTCAAGTGCGTACTTGCCAAACTAAAGCAATTTTTTAACTAAACTCAACTTACAGCATTTTCGATTATAACTTCACTCACACAATCCATATTCGGGAATTCACAAAAATATTGTCGTCATACTATTTACAGCTTTTGTCATGAATACTCAATATTTCACATATTATATGTACATAGTAAAACATATCGATATTGGAAAGAACCAAATAAAGCATTGCAAACTGTCATTCACAATTCCATTTATTCCCCACAACGGACACAGGTGGGCGTAGACAAGGCGGTAACAATAATATTCATTATGCCACTTCCTACATCAACGTCACGGCACTACAAAAGCAGCATAGACAATGAGCCGTGGACAATAGAGAAGTAGAGCGAAGTTGATAACGTGTGCCGGTGTGGGTAGCATTGTCTATGCCTCATTGTATTTGAAATAACGTAACGTTTTCTTCCATCGACAATTTCCTTACGTTTTCATGCTAAATAGAAGTCGGAGTGAAAAACTTGTTGGAAGTTTAATTTAAACATTTATGAATATTTGTAAACATTTGGTAGCTTAGAAAAAACAGTTTTATTATATATTTCATTACTTTATGAATGGGATATATAGAATAGGAGAAAATAGATGGCTGCTGCATTACGAACCTGAAAAGATAATTAGTAAATAAAACAAACACTTTGAGTTTGAATGTGACAGCTTTAAGTAGAGAAATCGGGTTTCAATTTTACATTTTGTTTCGCGACAGAGGCCGGCGTACAAGCATAGCCTGTTCTTGATGGTACATGAAATACTCAAACCATATATCATCTAAGCAAGTTGCGCTGTCGGCCATTTTTGCTTTAGACATTTGAAAATCGACAGACGGAAAACACTACGCGATTACTCTTTTCGGCTTTTTAATCTGTGGACGGTAGTTCGTAGGACGGACGAAATTTCCGTATACCCATTTAACACCCAGATTTTCTTTTACTTTTACATCTTCGGGAATTTAGAACAAAATGTAGTCCTCATATATTCAGTAAGTAGATCACGAAAATCCATTGACTATACATTATGATCGTTTTTGAATTACGATTTGTGTCCAAGTACTTGTATATTTTTATCATTGTCCAGTAGTTACTGGTTTTATTTTTAGCTCATATTTCCCATGAGATTGTTAAGTAATTAGTTTATAGAGTGACTTGCCATACTTTATTCTTGTCTCACTTACACACTGCTAAGTAATTACGATGTTAAAAGCGTCTAGCTGTAAAAACGCCTGAATAATATGATAGAAACCTATTTACTTTTAAATGCTTTTAACTATGTGATAATTTCTAATAACTTACAAAAGCGAACTTATAAAGTCTAAAAAATAATTTGTTTGACAAATCAATTTCTGATTCCTATTTTTATACATTGCAATCGTGTGTTTTGAAATAATCGTAATATTATAATAATAATTTTGACACCTAAAACAAACAAAATAATAGGATAAAACAATATATTACGTCATGTTACGTTAAATGTATTTATAAGCAAGTAAGTGCATGAAAAATAGTTCAAAGGCCTGTTCTGTCAAATTTGTAACCTCTATCCAAAATTATTAAAGCTAGTTAGGTAGCTCAATTGGTTAGAGCAACAGCATAGAACGCTGACGATACCGATGCTGACGATGCGAGACAGTTTATTATAATGCATTTATCACGCTTTCAAAACCTATATAACAAGAGAAGTCAATAATCCTGTTTTGTGACGGTTAAAGCGGTAATCTTTTATAATTACCAGTATAATTATTTGACAGCGAATTCGAAATTCAAAGCGCCTGTCAAAAGTTCCTGACGCCATTTGTCAAAGTGCACTAAGCAGGCTTTAATCCTTGCACTGTATATTTAAAGCCCCTTGCAAGTAATCCACGGGCCCGGATCCGAATGTAGGCCATGACTGACGTCACGATGGTGACCCAGTTCTTGTGCCATTGAGAGATGCGCGTCAATGGCCCCCCCTACCCGGAGGGGTGTGTCCAAGTGGCTCTCATTACTGGCTCATAAAAATTTATGAAAACATTACCACGTGTAGTAAATAATGTTTAGGGAACTACGGATCTGTATAACAACTATAGATTTGATTACAGGGAATTTTTCAATCTCGGTCCCTATAATTAAATTTTGGCCTATAAGACAATCAATGAAATCTTTAGTAGCTTAAAATATTATTTAAAAACTTTTAAAATAATACCGTATACATCCCAGAAGCTAAACAATGTTTTGTATCTTTACCGTAACAATAGAATAATCTTCAATGTCTTAACATTTAAGTAGACGATTTATATTCATTTTTTTTATTCAAATACAGAGTAACTAGCTAACGGACATTAACGTGATTCAAGTTACATGATAACTAGGTATAAAAGCAGCCTTTTTACAGAACTATATAATATTTCAACAATATATTAATAATTAGTAATGTCTGTGGTTTACATGAGTAGTATACAATAAAATACTTTTTAATTGTTTAAAATGCCAAATATATTATAAATTTAATTTTAACTGCGATCCAAGATTTCTGATGCTTTGTAGTAGCCGTGTTCAAGACTCCAAACGATTTTTTTATAAAATATTTCTAAAACACTTAACATATGACCAAAAGTACAACAAAAAGTTCTTTAGGAGAACTTGTCAAGTAAACGGAATAGGTTATGAGTCAAATGGTCGCCTTTGACTGGAAGTTACGCCCTCCCTCCTACCAGCGAATTCATTAAAAATTAAATCTCTTTGTTTTGACTACTGAAATTCAGGTTTTATTCTACTGTGAACTGTGTTCTTTTTCTACAAGTACATTTACAACAAAGAAAGCAAGTTGTGGATGTGTTCGCACATTCCTATATACCTTTAGACGGGCTCTTTAGTGTAATGGTATATATGGTAATAATTTCAGTCTGTGGATATCCAAATATCCATAGCCGGGGTATTTAACCTATTATCAAGGGAACCCCATGCTCGTCTGTCCTCCTGTAACATAAAAAAAAAACTTTATTTATTTTTTAAGTTAAATTACGATTTTTAGGATTCCATACGGTTATCTTTTATTAGTAAGACTCCGCTGTCCACATATATATATATATATATATATAAATTACCTCTATATAATACAATTAAAACAGAATGATTATTTAAGAAAGGCTTATAATAACACTATATTCTGTCTAGCTTTCTTTAAGACCAATAAATGGTAA